AGCAAAAGCCATAGACTTTAAGGGGTTGAATGTTAACATGAGAAATTACAAAATAGCTAGTTCAGTTGGTTAACCCACAGACCTGAAAGAGGGATGCAGGTGCAATTGTAAATTGCAGTAAATCCTGGAAATGTCAACACGGCTTTAAGTTTGATTGTTAAGTCTGAGAGCATAAGAATTTGGGACAGCAACAAACTGAATTATCCTAATTTACATATAGTGGCTTTGTTATAAAACAGTGATAGTTCTAGAGATCGCAGAACCTCTGTTAGTCATGTTATTTTTTTGAAGGTTCCATTTTGGTAGAAAGGTTCCATTTTGGTATATAAATATTAAGCCTTTCAGAGCCAGCACGATAAGACTCCCAGTGAGTTCTTTGTAAAATAACCAGGTGGCATGTAAAAGGGGGGAGCCTTTTGCCCCAGTAACTCTAGTAAAGCATACTGTGAGTTTTCACTATCTGGCTAGCATCTGCAGCAGTTAACATCAAGATGTAAATAGGGGTCTTCCAGCACACATTATAGCCCTCTTCATTCTTCCTTGAAGTGTGTGCTTGTTCAGGGTACACAGGTCAGCATACTATGTTTGTGATAGAGGCTACAAAGGGATGTGGTTGGGATAGAACATTGCAACCTCAGTTCTTGCCATTTGCCTCATCACATGTCTATAGCACCAGAGGAGTAAATCCCTGATCCCACCATATAGTAAGGGGACTTTGTGATTTGTGAATAATGCCTGAAAGAAAGGGCCTATGTGTGTTTTAAAGTGTGCTTGTGAGAGAGTATGTATGTGGGCATTGGTCAAAATGGCATGTGAATTGGAAAAATGGCATGGGGTGAGAGCTGAGGAAGAATGGTATGAATATTGAGAGGGAAAAATTACATTGGGATGGGCATTGAAACAAATGGCAGAGTAGGAATGTTTATTGAGAGTGAAGAAACTGGGAGAATATAAAAAGCAGAGCAGTGAAGAATTAACTAAGGAAACAGTGGAATGAGAATTGGGATATGAATGGAGCATGAAACATTTTCTTTATGCAGTGTCTGTGGCAGGTGTTTGGTGTAGGCATGGCTTCAGAAAGTGGATTTTTGGTGGATGGGATGTGGGAAATATTTTGTCCTTGAAACCAGATAGTTAAAAGGGACACTTCGGGCACCAACACAACTTTAATTAATTTGATAAGTTTTGGCCTCATTCATATGCTGCATTGTTTAGAATGTTGAAATCATTAGTATATTTGCACACACAAAATGAATGTTTTGCGTCATAAGCCAGCCTCCTTAGCCACGCCCCTCATGCCCAAAATACTTCCTTATCAAAGGCATGCATACAGCTCAGCCGCTGCCAGTACTGAATGATCTGAACTACAAAGTAACCTGCATTAGAAGGAAAGGGCACTCAGGGAGACATAGAATAAAAATATCACTACCTGTTTATAGTGTCTCTATCTGCAGCCAGGTTGTGAAGTAAATACAATAAATTAGGTCCAGTTTAACTTAATTTAACCCTAGCCCTGATAAGCACCTGGATTCCTAAGTGTGAGTGGGGTATCCTCTGTTTGTGAATTACTAAGATTGTGAAATAAAAGCAGCTCAATCAGTGCTGTTAGGGCTGAAACTGTGTGCATACATTGATAAAAACACCTTTCAGGCAAGATGGGGCCTGGCTAAGGAGGCAGGCTTATGGAGCAGCATTCTGCAACACATTTATTGTTTGTGGAAAAACGATAAAGATTTAAACGTGCAAAAACAGGCAGCATTAATGAGTCCAAAAATCTATGAAATACATTGCAATGGTGCAAATAGTATCCCATTAATACCATGGGCCTTGTCAAATACCAGGGCCGCCATCAGGGGGAGACAACCATAACGGTTGTCAGGGGCCCGGCGGCCCTGAGGGGCCCGGTCGCTCGGGCCCCACGTGTAGCGATGGAACTGCCACCGGTGCAGTTGCACCGGGGCCCATGCACTTAGGGCCACCCGATGGGCCCTATATCTTCAGGGGCCCAGTCAGCGATGTGGCCGTGGTATAGCGCGACCGGCCCTTTTAAAAAACAAAAAAAAGTAGCCGCAGCAAGTGCTGCTGGGAGGAAGTGGTCATCAGCCCCAGCCACCCTCCTGCAAAGACAAGGTAAGAAACAGGAGGGTGGCTGGAAAATGAGCTGTGTGTGTGTGTGTGTATGTCTGTCTGTATGTATTTATGTATGCATGTCTGTCTGTATGTCTATGTATGTATGTATGCACGTCTGTCTGTATGTATGTCTATGTATGTATGCATGTCTGTATCTATGTCTATGTATGTATGCATGTCTGTCTGTATCTATGTCTATGTATGTCTGTCTGTATGTATGTCTATGTATGTATGTTTGTATGTATGTATGCATGTCTATGTATGTCTGTATGTATGTATGTATGCATGTCTGTATACATGTCTGTATGTATGTCTGTTTGTATGTATGTCTGTCTGTATGCATGTCAGTATGTATGTATGTCTGTATGCATGTATGTATGGTGCTATGTCTGTCTGTCTGTATGTATGTATGTCATTATGTGTGTATGAATGTCAGTGTCGGTATGTCTGCATGTCATTATGAATGTGTATGGATGTCAGTGTCTGTATGCATGTATGTCTGTCTGTAAGAATGTATGCCAGTATGAATGTATGTCTGTATGTCTGCGTATGTATGTATAGATGTCAGTGTCTGTATGCCAGTATGAATGTGTCTGTGTCTGTATGTCCATCTGTATGTCATTATGAATGTGTCTGTGTCTGTATGTCCTTATGCATGTGTGTCTGTATGTATGTTAGTATGTGTTTGTCTGTCACTATGTACGCCTGTGTGTCTGTATATGTGTGTATGTCTCAGTATGTGTGTGTCAGTATGTATGCCTATATGTGTATCAGTATGTGTGTCTGTTAGTGTGTGTGTGTGTGTGTATCTGTGTCCTTTTGTATCAGTGAATGTGTTTGTGTCTGTGTGTGTATTCCTGTGGGCGGTCTTGGAGCTCAGTTAGGGGCTCCAAAATTTCTACTATTATATGTATAATGGATATAACAGGATATATTATGACATTGCAGTGCAGGAAACCTTTCTGCTCGTTAAGTAAAATAATATATATGACACTGATTTGTAACATTTCGCAAATATCTTATGAATTCTCCATAGTAATATGTAGCAAATGAAACATAAACCTTGATGAATGAATACATGAAGACATTATTAATACAATATGCAACATCACAATATCAGAAGATAAGAAATATTAGTATAATTAAGCATACTGGTAGAACCATGGTATATTCATTATGTATATGGATGCAGCATACAATTCATTTATTTTTAAAAGCATATCTGTGAATTTGTGTCCAGTAATGTCAGAATACAAAAAAAACCAAAAAAAAACGAAGAGCCCATTGTTCGCCCGTGTTAGTATACTGTAAAATGTCTAGCAGCTGTTAGTGCTATTTTATGCAGTGCCTATTTACAGCTGTACCAAGACAAAGGTCATATCACCACTGCAGGCAGTTGGTAATCTGGATTTGCCACTAGCTGTGTTACCTGCACAAACCCAATTGCTCAGTTATTGTATGAAAAACCAGGATTTGTGTTTATTTAAAAAAAAAAAAAAAAGTTAAACCTATTTTATCAGAGGGTGTGAATATTTAGCTATCTTTTGTTTAGGTGAAAGAATGAAAGATTAGGAGTGGTTTAGCTTATCAGTGATTGGTAAATATAGGCTTGTCAACCTTAAAAGAAGTATATTTTCATTGGCTCCTATTAAGTCTAACTAGGCGTCTTTTCGTTCTAATGCGTTAACTGACTGAGACTGGGCTTCAGCAGCCTTTCTAGCAGAGTAACAGCATACTACAACAATATTTTTTTTTTGTTAACTGGAGAAGTATTCACTGTACTGTGAATTGTGGCAATTTACTTACTGAATTGCAAAAGTGTAGGAATCCAAGGGGTTTTTCCCGAGTCATCTCCCGGGCCTCCCAGGAGGTGGGCACAGGGTAATCCACGCAGTGTGCAGCTGCCTGTTGGTTGGGGATCCCTGGCCTGACCAAGATCATGGACTCATTTTCATGCTGGTCGATTTTTGCTAAATACATTGGTTACTTGGTGGTTTTTGGTGTCCCTCATAGTACCTTTTTAACATACAGAATTAAAGCACATTCACACACTCACTAAACACCAGCTTCAAACCTCACAAAATGTAATAGGTTTTGTAAACCACCTGACAAATAAATAATGGGGGTTTAGTTACAGTATATGATCATACGTTGTTTAGGCCTGCCATTGCATCAATTTACCCCTTTCTGGCAGGTCCTACTCTGCTCTGAGATTAACCAATTTATTTGGGAAATTAATCCTCCTAGAGCACTGATGGCGAACCTATGGCACGCGTGCCACAGTTGGCACGCAGAGCCCGCTCCGTGGGCACGCGGCCACAGGTTGTCGGAGGGAGGGAGTGTGCGCTCCGCCGGCACATCCATAAGGCGGCACAAGTGGCCGCCTTAGGGTGCACCAGCCCGGCGGGCGCAAAACCGGAGTGACCGGCAAGAGGTGAGCGCATAGCACTCCCTCCTGCCAGGCACTCTTTGTAGCGTGGCCGAGCGCGCCGTGGTACAGGAACTTATGTTTCCTGTACCCGGGCGGACGGAAATGAAGTGCTCACAGAGAGAGCACTTCCTGTCCGGCCGGGTACCGGAAACTGAGCTCCGCGGTGCGCTCGGCCACGCTACAAGGTAGGAGATCCAGGACAAGTTGGGGGAGGGGGAGGGGGGGAATGAAAACTAAGGGAGGGATGGAGGGGGGAAACTGAGGAAGGTATGGAGGGGGGAAAGAAAACTGATAGAGGTATGGAGGGGGGAAATGAGGGAGAGATGGGGGGAACTGAGGGAGAGATGGGGGAAACTGAGGGAGAGATGGGGGAAACTGAGGGAGGTATGGGGGGAGAAAACTGAGTGTGGGATGGGAGAAAAAAATTAGGGAGGGATGGGGGGAAGAAAACAGTGTGGGGGGACGACATACACACAGCACCCCTGCCCTACACATATCACCCCACACAAACACACACACATCACCCCACACAAACACACACACCACCCCACACACACCACCCCACATCACCCCACACACATCACCCCACCCACACACACACCCCACCCCCCACACACACACCACCCCACATCACCCCACACACACACATCACCCCACTCACACACACATCACCCCACACACACACATCACCCTACACACAAACACATCACCCCACACACAAACACATACACTGTACCCCTCAATGCAGTGTGTGTACACTCAGCAGTCTGTCTGTGTGTGTACACTCAGCAGTCTGTCTGTGTGTGTACACTCAGCAGTCTGTCTGTGTGTGTACACTCAGCAGTCTGTGTGTGTGTGTACACTCAGCAGTCTGTGTGTGTGTGTGTGTACTCAGCAGTGTGTGTGTGTGTACTCAGCAGTCTGTGTGTGTGTACTCAGCAGTGTGTGTGTACTCAGCAGTCTGTGTGTGTATGTATTTAGCAGTATGTGTACTCAGCAGTGTGTGTGTGTGTGTGTGTATTTAGGAGTCTGTGTGTGTGTGTACTCAGCAGTCTGTGTGTATGTATTTAGGAGTCTTTGTGTGTGTACTCAGCAGTCTGTGTGTGTGTATTTAGCAGTCTATGTGTGTGTGTGTGTGTATGTACTCGGCAGTCTGTGTGTGTGTATTTAGCAGTCTATGTGTGTGTGTGTGTGTATGTACTCGGCAGTCTGTGTGTGTGTATTTAGCAGTCTGTGTGTGTATTCAGCAGACTGTGTACTCGGCAGTCTGTGTGTGTATTCAGCAGTCTGCTAAATACAGACAGACTGCTAAGTACACAGACAGACTGCTAAATACACATACAGACAGACTGCCGAGCACACACACAAACTGCTTAATACGCACACAGAGATGTTAATTAGTCCCTCAACTTTTAATCTGTCTCTGCATCTCAGAAAGACAAATTGGATGTCATCTACTAAGCCACACATTACAAGAACTTTCCTGCTCTTCACTGTACTTAAAGCAGCACTGTCATGACGTTTTTCTTTTTCCTTTCCTAATGCCAATTGTATGTTAATGATTATATTCTTCTACTTCTTTTAATTTATATTTATGGTCTTCCTTGCACTGGATCACAATATCTGGGCTCCTCCATTTTGTTCCCCCGGTCCATGAAGCCTGCAATTTGTTGGTGGATTGTGGATAAATCAGCAACCGAAATGGAACTATACTTAAAGGGCTACTCTTACTTTTTAACATCCAACCATTCCTCCCCACACTGTTGTAACACTTTAAAATAAAAAACAAACCCATAGAGATGCATTTGATTGTCTCTTAAAAGTGCCTGCACGCACTCTGATCCAGGAGGGAGTATGGGGTATACAGAGGGAGGAGAAACAATAAAAATTGTGAGGAGGGCTGAATGAAAGAAGGGAGGGAGGAACTCTTGCAGGTACTGCCTGTATGGGAGAAGATCACCATGTCTGTCGCCTGAGCTCTGATGTATTTTTTGCACAGAATTGAATTTTTTTGCACAGAATTGGCAATGCTTCAGTAATATTAGGCAATCACGTTAGGCAGTGTCGGGGGTGTAACAAGTCCATGGCACAAAAGTGCAAATATCGTGCTACACATACAGATTTCCACCACAATGGTCATGGTGCTTTGAGTAAGTGGTCGTAGTGGCTGAAATATTCCTTTAAGCTCTGCAAAAATTGCCAAATATTATGCTCTCCATAAGAAAATGTAACCACGCCCCTCATGCCCAAAAAACTTCCTTATCAAAGGCATGCATACAGCTCAGCCGCTGCCAGTACTGAATGATCTGAACTACAAAGTAACCTGCATTAGAAGGAAAGGGCACTCAGCGAGACATAGAATAAGAGTATCACTACCTGTTTATAGTGTATGTACTTTTCCTTATACATAACTAAAACAGTAAATAAAAACAAAACAAAAAACACTAAGGAAAATAGGTTAAAAAATGAATAAAAAAAAACTAGAGTGCTACTTTAAAGGGTAAGGGCACAACAAACTGCACAGTAGAAGAGTCCATGACATATGCATGTAGTATACCGCACCTGACTTGCAGATGCCGTTGCCTTCTTTTATTCAGGAATTGTATATCCAGCATGTGGCTTAATAGCTTGTATAGTATTATTTTACATATTGTGCTACAAGCAACAATTGCAGTTGATTTTTCTTGTATACCTTTCATTGTTACACTGATAGTATATTGTCAAATGTATATGAGTCCTTCTTTGACAGTTATTCTAAACCTGTAAGAAGAATTATAAAACCATGGCTATTCTTTATTCCATATGTATCCTGTAACAAATCTTACGCCTTACTTTACAAAAAAACTACATTCTGTTCTGTTTTTTTGGGAAGGAGTTTAAGTGTGAAGCCACAACAGCTGTATAAGCCATGTAAATAAACAGAGATGGAAATAAAAAATGGTATGTTAGACGAGGAAAGTAAATGTTTAAAAAAATAATTTCTATAATGTGCAGTAATTATATGGGTTGGAAAGTAGAGATTTAGCATAGAAACATAGAATGTGAAGGCAGATAAGAACCGGTCGCCCCATCTAGTCTGCATGAATAAATAAAACACAGTAAGAGAAATTTAAAGAAATATTAAAAAGAGAAACAGGCAATATGTAAGTAAATGTTCTCAGTAATGAGATTTAGATGATGATTTGTAACCAGCAAGGAGAGAATGACAGGTTGTATTGATTTTATGCACACAAAAAAATTCATCACTTGCAGTGTTTTTATGTTAGGTAACAAAGCTAGATTTCATTTGGTAGTAAAGCTAGATTTCAATAAGCCATTGCTGATTACCATGTTCAACCAAACTTTCTCTGTGAACTAGCCTGTATTTGTTTTCAAACGGAAAATATATAATAGAAATTACATTCCATAAAATGTCACCACTTCTCTTTCTACTATACAAAAACCATTCTGGCCGTTTGCCTATCAGTCTGTTTCTGCTGCTCACACACCTGTCAGCCCACCACACTTAAAAAGAGCACAGTTAGCCAGTCTTGAAATGTAATGGCGCTACCCCCAGCTTGGGAATCCAGCCCAACCTGGTTTTGTTGTGGCGGCCTCTCTGCCTGCTTTGAAATTATAAGAGATAATGGTCTCATGCCAAATGTAATGCTTCTCATAGAAAAGCATCCGGGGGGCAAATGCATGGCAGTCACCAAACAGCTGCTTTTCATACTGATTGACCAATGTTAACAATGACAAATTTTTAAGTCTGAGAAACGACAGACTGCAGGGACAGTCTGTGTTCACCAAAAGCACTATATTAGGATGTGGTGGTTTTGGTGCTTAGGCCTTGGCATTTACCGGTAATCTAGATTTTACAGAGAGTGGTTCTAATGCAGACTGTTACTGTAGATTACAGCTGTGCTGACTTACGTGTCTGCAAATTACATGGGGGTATATGCAAAATGGGCTACGTAATAAGAGAATATTGAATTAGCTTTTGAGGGTAGTTAAGCTATTCACATTGCAGAAAGCATAAGTATCTCTTATTTGCGATTTTGCAAAATAAGAATATTGATTACTAATATTATATAAGGATTTTATCTCATTAGAAACATGCTATACACTTTCAACCTGAGATTTAATTGAGTATTGATTCTGGGTGAAGATGCACAGCTTGTCTGACACTCTTCTCTGAAACTAGAGTGCATATGTCATGACCACACACATGCACAGCCGTATGCTCTCATGTATAATCCATGTGACCTCCAGCTACAGACCAACATACTGACTGTATAACTCACCCATTTCGAGACACCATGACAGTGGATAGCCAGTGGAAACAAAATGCTCCCTTGCTAAAGAATTGACCTTTACATTTCTTGACTGCTCAAACTATCATCAATATAAACAAATATTAGAAAATAATAGTATCTACATGTATTCAATTAAAAAAATAAATATAAAAAAATATGGATTGCGTAACAATGAGTATAGTTGAATGGATATTTTAAACAAACATTCTACACAGTTTTCAAGCAGGGCTTTATGACTTTTAGCCAAATGAGTTCTATCTGAATTTTAAACGCATCAAAGCAATTTAGTACCACATGTGGAGGTTTGATTTATATTGTTTGATTAACTCATTAACTTAGTAACTAAATACTCATTAGCTTGATTAACCAACTCATTAACTCGTCCTTATGTATATTCATGTTGTGTCTCCAGTCACCAAGTTTCATTGTGTCTGGAAAACTCGTAGTGTTGGCCACCTATACTCATGCGATGCACTTGGTTGCCATACACCAGCAGGTATTGTTATGCTTTGATAAGATATTAATCTAGCTCTGTATATAGGATGCTTATATAGTGATGGTGTTAAGTATATTTCTTATCCAGCTGAGGAATTCACTCTAATTGAGCTGTAGGTATTTTGCATGCCAATTAATGAAACTATGAGTACTCAATTCATGGTTTCACTAATAAATCTCATCAATAAAATGCAACTAGACACCTTGGAGAAGCATTAAATGATGGTTTAACGGTCATTTGGCAAGAAGGACATTGCCTGAGTGGTTTAAGTTACCATTGTGTTTGGATGGAAAGAATAATAAACTCATTATAAGGAAAGTATTGAGCAAATGTGTTTAGAAATTCAGAAAATATTGATCACACATAAAATGCTCTTAGACACCAGTTATCACTAGAAACATAATAGGTCGTTTGTTTTTGCTTCCTGTGATCAGTGTGTTTCTTGTAGACCCTGTTTTTTTTTTTGTGTTTGGCATAAATTCCTAGCTAAGCAGTGAGACAGCTGGACCAAATTCTGGCATTACTTACATGTGACTTTTTTTTTTATCTTTACGTTAAGTCCACTGAACCTTTATCTATTTAAAGACTACCTACTGTATGTTATGTATAGTGCCCTCCCTAATATTGTCACTCTTCTTGGTAAATATGAGGAAGAAAAGCTCTGAAGAATTGTCTTTATTGTTTAATCATTTGAACTTTTGTTCAAAAAGTACTCAAACATATTCTGCTCTCATGGATATCAAGCTATTGCAAACACCATACAGGTTTAAAAATATATATTTCTTAAATATATGTGTGGCACAATTATTGGCATTCTTTTAGTCAATACGTTGTGCTACCTCCCTTTGCCAAGATAACAGCTCTGAATCTTCTCCTACAATGCTTGATGAGGTTGAAGGGATCTAAGATCATTACTCCATACATAATCTCTCCAGATGTCAAGGCTGGTGGACTCTCATCTTCAGTTCACCACAGAGGTTTTTATGGGGTTCAAGTTAGGTGACTGGGATAGCCATACAGATATCTTGATTTTGTGTTCAGTAAACCATTTTTGTGTTGATTTTATGTTTTGGATCACTGTCCTCCTGGAAAGCTCAACGACTCCCCATCTTAAGCTTTCTGGCAGAGGAAGTTAGGTGTTCATTTAATATCGGTTGATTTTTGATAGAGTCCATGATGCCATGTAATTAAGAAAATATCCAGTCCTTTGGAAGAAAAACAGCCCCAAAACATTAAAAAGCCACCACCATATTTAAATCCTCTGGTGTTCATTGCCAAAAAGCTCTGTTTCATCTGACCTTAGAACCCAATTCCATTTGGAGTCTGTTTTTGGATGAGAGTAGATACTGGTGGGAATGGGCATTTTTGAATGCGTTTGTTATTTTGTTACAGCTACTTCCTATTTTGTAAAGCTCAACAACCTTTTGCCACACATTACAGCAATACTCCTTGGTATTATCCATTGTGATGAATTACTAATGGAATTGGACTATGTGTTACCTCAAATTTACACCCATGTGAAACAGGAAGTCATTGTTGAACAATTTCTTGTTCCTTGTCACCCAGGTATACTACAAACATATAAAATATCAAAGGGAATATACTTCCAATATATTTTTCTCATATAAATAATGTGTTTTACCCTGTCCTAATGTGTTTACACCCCACCTCCTATAGAATGTAAGCTCGATTGAGCAGGGTCCTCTTCAACCTATTGTTCCCGTAAGTTTTTTGTAATTGTTCTATTTATAGTTAAATCCCCCTCTCGTAATATTGTAAAGCGCTACAGAATCTGTTGGCGCTATATAAATGGCAATAATAATAATAATAATAGGGGTGCTAATTGTGCCACGTATATATTTAACACATTTTTTTTTTATAACAAAGTGTTGTGTTTGCAATTGTTTGATATGCATAAGAGTAGAGTATTTTTGTGCATTTATTTTTAACAAAAGGTCAAAAGGTTAAGCAATAAAAACACAATTTCATAATTTTAAGGCAAGATGGCACCTAGGACCTCATGCACCATAGTAACATCAATGATATTTGTTATAATGGTGCCCAGAGTGTTCCTTTAATAAATGTTTTTAGTGCATTTATGCTTGCTCCGTGGGGGCAGCCAAAGACCTATTTGATGAGATGCACAATCTATCTGCTAATACTGTGTACAAATCACTTCAGGGTACATTTCTGAGATGGAAACAAACTTTCTCTTAGAGATGGCTGGCCACATAAGTAATGATAAACTGAGATGAACTGGAAACAAGTATTTACTTGTGTGTATGCATTACAAAAAAAAACTATAATAAAAACAATGACAGTTTTCCTTTAGAGAATGAAATACAGAAAGATATTTATGAAAGGAAAACCCAAAACAGTCTGTTGCAAATGTAGAGTAATAGACATGAAAACAGCTGAAATATATGCTTGCAAATCCATTAGGGACCACATGAAACTGAAAGGACAATACCCATAATCCTCTAGTTCATTAACAGAGGAACTACATGAGGAGAATTTACCAAAGTGGTCTGTTCTAAACTGGACTAACATACTAAAAGTGGGACAATCCCCATAGAAGCCAATGGAACGAGTAGTTGCATTTGACTGGCGGTTCCTCCCTTTTTACAACAGTGCACGATAAATCTCTCCCATTGCTTTAATTCATATAAGAGACTGACTATCTGCCAAACAACTCAAGTGCTGCTGGAATAATACTGCCATCTTTAGACACATAGTGCCATTTTGGTTAAGGATGATGCAATGTAGTCTTGAAAAACCCGGAAATCTGCAAATTGGTGGCCACTGTCCTAAATCATCAGACAGAGCAATTTAGAAACAATTAGCCATTGATTATTTTTTTCTTCGGCTCAGATAACACATTTTGATGTCTAACCAATAACACAGCATTGCTCTTAGTGCACTGCACAAATGTAGCTCTATTATGCCACTAGCTAAAACCACATGATAAATGTCATATTCAGATAAAAAAATATAATAATAAAATATATATATATATATATGTATATATATATATATAATTTTTTTTTACAACCATTAAATCACATGTTCAGTTTATTGGGTCAACAACGTAAGCCATCCATCAACATGAAGGGTTTATTCAAACACGTGTATTTACTTTCTTTTCTTTTCTGTAGAAGGTAGGGATCATTGAAGTATATGTTGATTAATGCATGTTTCTGTATGTTTCCTGTTTTAACCACATTTGTATTATTTTGCACAAATTAAATAATAATCAGTGGTCTTCAACTGTCTTTACTCCACAGAAATGTGACATTATCTACCTGTAAACAATAAGAGAATGACAGAGATAAAGAACTTATGTAGGGTTGTTTTATTCACAGTTTTCTATTGAGATAGGCAGGAGGTATGTACCTACAGCTCTTTACTTTACTGTTGAATAATAGATGGCCAAACTGATATATTTTACCTGTAGATTATAAGCTTGTTTGAGCATGGTCCTCATCAACCTATTGATCCTGTAACATTTTGAAATTGTCTCATTTATTGTTACATTTTCCCCTTTATAATATTGTAAAGCACTGCGGAATAAGTTGGCACTAGATAATACCAAAACTAATAATAATTATTACAGATATCCATTTCTGGCGTTTACTGAATGTTCCCCATTGTTATACATGTATTTATTAATAACGATGGAGTTTTTCTTTAACACTATTTACTGCTTTTGTTACATTGTAACTAAAGATCAAACCGTAATCTCACACTTGATGTGTCTCTGCCACTGGTTTGTGTAACTGCTTGTGGAATAATAAAAATCTAAATAATGGAAAAATTAGTGAGAAATTGCAATTGAATGTTGTTTGAGTCACGTTGCTAGCACAGGCCCAGCACAATATAATGATAGAACTTACATCCTTGCAACATTTATGTTATTTTTTTTTTGTGGTTGATCAGTCACTTTTTACAATAACAATGCTGTGGGTTATGTATAAAAGGCAATTCTGGGGCAAAATTCTAAAAGTGGATCAATCAACATCGAACCTATGTCTGGAAGTGCCTAATTTGGCCTCCCCCCTGGCTATTTGTTCCAGTTGTATAATATCAGTTGTTTTGTACAGCGTGAAGTCATAAATCAGTTATACAAGCAGGTCAGTGCAGTAAGTGCAGCGTTTATCAAACAGGGGTCATTTAGAGGAGACTAACAGATTGATTGGGGACCACTGATATGCTGAAAATCACATACATTCAGACTGTATTATTGGCTTGTTTGATATTGTTTGTTTCTTTTTTTCTATTAATTTCTATTTTGGTTTTTATTTTTACTTTCACTGTTTTAAATTGTATGTTTATGCTGACATTTTGATTTTCCACTAACTAAGAACACTTGTAAAACTCATGTTTGAGAGATAAACTATGTGATTTAATAAATTTTACTTTAACACACAAACAGAGGATGAGTTGATATTTTGCTATGTGGGCTTTCGGATAATCACTTAATCTCTTCTCCATACAGTTTTTGTTTTAGTGCTACTGAATTCCAGAGATTATCAGAAGACAAGGTCAAATAGCAGGATATATTGAGAAAAAAAAATAGTCTGCTGAAAAAAAACCCATATACTTTTCAGTCACATAAACATGCATATTTGAATCAATCAAGCAAAAACAAAACCACACGTTTGTCACTATGGTACCATATTCCTAACACTATTCATTCACATTGCATCATTTTGCCTAATGTTTGCACAAAATGAGCAAAATCAGTGTTGTATCAAAGGAAATGATTCACCAAAGGTGGGCTGTTGATTGCTAGCAATTCATTTTAGCAGACTGAAAAGTTAAATACACAAGGCTGCCTACCCAGTTCTAGAATCTATCTACAATTGAAATACTGTGTGCTCTTATATGGAAGTGCATTGTGTTTCTTTCAGCAGTGTATACATTAATGTTTCAATACCTTGACAGATCTTGTTGTCTTTTACAGTAATACATGCTCATTACACCTGTTTTACTTGCAAATAACATGAATATACAAGTAGCATCAGTAGTCCGCACGATATGTTCTCTACGCCTTTTGCATATTTAACCAATATTTTCGATATTCTACAACCAAGATCTTAAAGCAGTTCTGCTCTCTTTACATTTTGTTGCATAATAAAACACATCATCAAATCTGGTTATTGTTTATTTTGTTTTTCTAGAATGATTCATTTTATTAGTGTATTCTACTCATGTGATATACTATTTTATAGCTATTAGTTCTTAGTTGCAATACCAGATTGTTAATTGCTGGGTAATGTTGATTTCCAGTAACATTGGTAAAAAAGGGGACAGGCTGGAAGTCTCAAGCACAACACTTATTTTTGGTCTTAGACGTATATATATATATAAAGTACACAATACATATTCCACCTCCCAACGACACCCAGTGAAATATATTGTTCAGACCCCAACTAAGGAAAGGCAAGCCTAATAATTATATGATTATATGATTATATGATTGTACTTTTTTTTATTCATTGCCAAAAGACACAGATAATAAACAAAGGTAGGGACAGCAAAAGAGGGTAAAGAGGGTAAATGCGACCATTGTCTGATAATATTTAGTGCTCCAAGAACTTCATCAAAACTCTGCTTGATCAAGTCAACAGCAGTCAAGTTTAACTTGGTTGGCTGCAAGAAAAATGATGAAGGCTTAGCACAGACCTGTCACTTCTGAGTTTTCAATAAACAATAAATATGTACGCAAAATTGCCAATCTCTTGATTACGTGTTTTCCTGAAAGGCAACCAAACGCTATGCCTTTCATTTTACGATCAACCATCTTGAGCGAAAGCTGTTGGGAAAAGGCATGTTCTCATGCAATGCATAGTGAAAACCTATGTCATTGCTTTGCGCATACATGATAAGATTTGTGAAGAATCTTCTCCATACAGTGGGGGACTTCCTCCACAACTGTAAATTTGCAGGGTATTTTAATGGTCTCTGTTTGTTTTTCCACATCCAGGTCTGATGCTATTCTACGGCTAAGATGAAAATAAAGAAGACGTTTTAGTTGTCACCTACCCTGAGTTCTAAAGGACAAGTCTTCCAAGTGAAGCATACCTTCTACTTACTGCCTGTACCAATAAATTATTGTTTCTGAATTGCCTTTTAATTGCTGTGGCACCATTTATATTGGCACTGACTGAGATTTAACTCTATTGCTGTGCTGACAAAAGTGAATTATGTATTATTATTATTATCATTTTATTATTTATATAGCGCCAACAAATTCCACAGGGCTTTATAGTGGGTGGATGAACAAACATGTAGTTGTAACCAGACAAGTTGGACACACAGGAGCAGAGGGGTTGAGAGCTCTGCTCAATGAGCTTACATGCTAGAGGGAGTGAGATAAAGTGACACAAAAGGTAAGGATAGTATTAGACTAGTGACAGTTGCAAGAGAGGAATCAGTCAGGAGCTATTAACAGTTTAATTGATACGCTTTTATGAAGAAGTGGGTTTTTAACGATTTTTTGAAGGAGTGGAGACTGGGTGAGCATCTAACAGAGGAGGGAAGTGGTGTAGCCCTCGAGAAGTCTTGAAGGCGAGCATCAGTGTTGGGAGTACGGACAGAAGATAGACGGAAGTCTTCAGCAGAGCGTAAGGGCCTAGACGGGACATACTTGTGGATAAGGGAGGATAGATAGGTGGGAGCAGCATTATGTAGAGATTTTTAAATTGAGCCCTATATCTTACAGCCAATGTAAGGACTGAGAGAAGGGTGAGGCGTGGGATGTGCGGGCGGACAGGAAGATGAAGAAGTAGAAAAAGGTTGTGTCACAGTGATAATATGTACAATTATATATAAGCAAGTAATAATATAGAAATAAACAATGATATATAATACAGAGAGAGAACAATAAAAAAGAAATAGGTATTTATATAAATATAAAGAACAGTCCAAAAGTGTCCAGTAAAACCTTGGGATGAGAAAAAAATCACAGTTTTATCTGAGGTAGAGATGTCTATGGAGTAGTGGGATCAAGGGGTTTGTGGGATCCGTAAGAAAGAGAAAAGAAAATGTAATAGTGCAATAAAACCCAAATAGGTAGCAGCCAATAAAAAAGCTCTATATGGTCCTACTCACGTTTTTGAGAGCTAAAAACTAGCTCTAGTATAAACAGTGTACATTAGTATAATCCTCACTTATGGGATACGTGAGGGAGTGTTGTAAGTAGACATCTCATCAAATGGGGACCATATGTAACATAACCAGGATAGTTTATAAAAATACCAAATGGTTACTCACATTTGATTGGGCAGACGCACTGCTCAATGATAGGGTGTAAGTGGTATAATTCCAATCAAGGAAGCTTCGGAGTAGTATCTCTCTGGAACAAGTAAAACTCAGATGCCAGGTAGTGAAATAATAAAAATGGTAAAAAATATAAAATGGCTACCTCACAACAAAGAAAGTGGCCAAAAAGGACAGTGGAATGGACCAGCACCATAGTCGCATCTGGCGTTACGTAGGGACGGATGCACAAAATGTTTTTGAGATGGAAGCAACAGGACTTTGCGATAGACTGAACATGAGGCGTGAAGGAGAGGTCGGAGTCAAAGAGAACATCTAGTCAGCGAGCCTGCGTGATGGAGCTGATGGTAGCACCGTTGACTTGGAGGGAGACAGACACAGGAGTAGCAACACTTGAGGGAGGAAAGACCAGAATTTCAGTTTTAGTCAAGTTGAGTTTAACCCCTTAAGGACACATGACATGTGTGACATGTCATGATTCCCTTTTATTCCAGAAGTTTGGTCCTTAAGGGGTTAAGGAGTTGAGCAGCCATCCAATTAGAAATAGCAGAGAGGCAGTCAGAGACACTAGTCAACAGGGACGGGGAGAGATCAGGAGAGGACAGTACTAAGCAGACCCAAATGTAAGTGTCATGGCACCGTGACATTATCTTGGAACATGAATAAAGGGACAGCATGACTTCACCAGAGAGTCCTTCCATATTGGATATTTATATTAATGTTGGTAGTTGTGAGAGGTCAAACATTTGAAAACTAAAACCTCAATGAATCAATAATCTACCAAGTTCTATATGTTATAATATGTTTTCATTTTCTTACTTACTAGTAGTCATCATATGATTAAAACCTACTAGATAAAATATTATTGCAAGTGGACGCATTTCCCTTAATGCAATATTATTGTACGGTAAACTGCTTAATGGTTTTATCAGTATTGTAAAAGATAATATCTTGTACAACATAACATCTTAGCATGATTCTTGTTGCGAAATCACGCCGATGCAAATTCTTATGGAATTTAGCACCACAAAGTATGTGCAGAGGTTGTGCTATGTCTGCCTCAATCAGTTTCCTTAGCACAGCTTTCAAGTGCCCATTATGAACTGGACAAACTCAGTCACCTTTGCAGTTACTGGAAAAACAAATTAAGAAAACCAAACAGTACAAGATGATATAAAAAATATTTATTCATAGCTAGCCAGAGTTCTGTCCATGCACTTGGCGTGACTTCATGAGTGAACAGGAGCAAAATAGATGTTTGTGGAATTCGTTCTAAAATATTTTCTATCGCACTTACTGACCCAGTGTGCTTGGTTTTCTCAGTACCCAGTGTTGCATACAGAATGCCAAGTCAGAAAATTAGAAGCAAATGCAGTTGGATTTGTTAGGTTTTTGTTTTTTGCTATGTGTTACATGCATCAAGGAACTTACATTCTTAAAGGGAAACTATAGTGTTAGGAATACAAAGTTGTTACCTCCCCCCATTGAGGATCTAATGTGTGTGCTTATGAAACGTAGAGTATAGGGATACCAGTTTGTGTAGGCGATGCAGTGTGTTTTTGTGTAGTGGATGTATTGTGTTTTTGTGTAAAGGATAGAAAGCAGTGTGTGTTTGTGCGTAAGGGATGTATTGTGTGTGTATAAATGGCAATAATAATAATATTAAGGGATGCATTGTGTCAATCTGTGTTTGTATGGATAAGGGATTCAAGGTGTGTTTATGTGTATGTAAGATATGCAGTGTGTGTCTGTAAGGGGTGCATTGATTGTCTCTAAGGGGTGAATTGAGTGTGTGTAAGAGAAGCCGTGTGTGTTTGTGTGTGTGTGTGTGTGTGTGTAAGGGATGCATTGTGTGTTTCTGTCTGTAAGGGATGCATTGTGTGTGTAAGGGATGCATTGTGTGTTTCTGTGTATGTGTGCAATTGGGATGCATTGTCTTTGTGTGTAAGGGATGCATTGTGTGTGTGTAATGGATGCATTGTGTGTTTCTGTGTGTGTGTGTGTGTAGAGATACATTGTGTGTTTCTGTATATGTATAGGAATGCATTGTGTGTGTGTGTGTGTGTGTATTGTGAAAGAGAGAGTTTGTGGGGTAGGATAGGGACTGAGAGGGGAGGAGAAAAAAAATTTTTTTTTTATGTTTTGTGTCTTACATCCCCTTACTTTATGTTTTTACTTTATGTTTTGCGTCTTACTAAGTGAGCACTTACTGTCAGTCAGGCCGGGTCCTGTACCGGGGACATGACTGGAGCAGAGCTCAGTCCCGCTACACTGAGGGACTGACAGCAGAGAGCGCGGATGCTTCCCACCTGCCAATCCCTCTTATCTTGCACCCCAAGGCCAGTGCGCCCTAGTGGACGCGTCGGCCTGGGCAGTGCTCCAGCATGAGGGGGGCCGATGAAAAGTCTGCTAAGGACCCGGAAGCGCCTCTTGTGACTGTTTGGTAGACAGCCACAAGAGGTGGAGTTAACCCTGCAAGGTAATTATTGCAGTTTCTGTATAACTGCAATAATTACAAGGGGACAGGGGCACTACACCCAGACCACTTCAATTAAAACCTTACTTGAATACAGTAGATGATAGAGCACCAGAGTTTGAAGGAACACTATAGCCTTAGGAATACAAGCCTGTGTACCTAATGCTACAGTGTACTTGTAACTAGCTCTGCACAACCCCCCTCCCATTTGCAATAATTATTAAAAGCATAAAAGTCTATCTTTTAATCTTTTCCCAGCTCCTAGACTTACTATTTGTTGTCACATAGTTATTAATTATTAGTGCATGTGGGATCTTGCCATCATTGGTAGTCCCCACATTGTAAAGTCTAGAACCTCCCTCAGAGAAATCAATGGATGAAGTCATAACTTGGTCACAAACACTAGCCAAAGTTAGTGTTAATATTTGCTTGTGTGTGAAAAATGCAAAAAAACTAATTTGAACGCCAATGCTGGCCAGTGTTTGTGACTAAGTGGCTACTAAAAAAGACTGGACATACCCCATTTGCAATACCTTGGGTTCTCTACTATTGCAAATGGTATGCCATCAATTTTCATTCCTGGGCTACCATACGGTCTCAAAGGCAACATAACCAATCTGGCGAATTTCAATGTGAAAAAACTGAAACGCAAGCCTTATATTTGACTCTGTAACTTCTGTAAACACCTTAAAACCTGTACATGAGGGGTACTGTTATACTCGGGAGACTTCGCTGAACACAAATATTTGTGTTTAAAAACAGTAAAAAGTATCAGAGCAATAATATCGTCAGTGTAAGTGCCGTTTGTGTGTGAAAAATGCACAAAACGTCACTTTCACTGACGATATCATTGTTGTAATATCATTGTTGACGATATCACTGTTTGTGTCCGGCGAAGTCTCCCGAGTAAAACAGTACCCCCCATGTACAGGTTTTATGGTGTCTTGGAAAGTTATAGGGTTAAATATAGTGCTAGCAAATTAAATTCCCTATACTTTCGGCCTGGGTTGTCAGGCAGGTTTGTAATTGTAATTAATAAAATTACCTAATTATATAAAAATATTACATAAATATATACGTAGAATTAATATATATACATATATATATATATATATATATATATACACATGTATGTATATGTATAGATATATAATTTTTTTAAATTATTTTTATTTAGATATCGGTATATATAGTGATATATACGTATATACTTATGTATATAGATATATATTATTTCATTCTACTTGTATTTTGATATCAATACATGTATATACATATATATATATATATATATAAATTATTTATTTTACATTTTTTTTTTACGTATTTACATATTTTGTTTTTTTATATTATATATAAATATATATATATATAATTATATAATTATATATATATATAGATATATATATATATATATATAATCAATATCATTGTATGTGTATTTTGATATTAATATATATTCCAGGCAGTCCCCCTGCTGGCAATGCTGTGGATGTCAGCCGTCCATGTAATGGCAAGGTCCTCGCAAGAACCTTGTGATCACATGGCGCAGGAGGGGCGGATCGGAAGCAGGGGGACTCCCTGGTATGCCAGGTGAGTTCCCCCACCGCGATCGCCGGTGTGGGATTGCTGGCAACCGGGTAAGTATTAAGGATGGCGGGGACATTCTATGCCGCCCGCCGGCATTTAGGACCGGGTCCCCAAGGACGTCAAGAACGCCCACCGTCCTTAAGGGTTAAACAAACATTCATTCATACACACACACAGAATGACAATGTTACACAAACACCAGCATATTGGTCTTCAAGGGCATGGCTCCCCGGGCTTTGTTTTATGTGTAGACCCAGGAAGGAGTTAACAGGGTCTATAGTAGAATCAGAATCAAACAGTGGTGAAATATTGTATGAGTGCAATGGAATCTTTTGATGTTGGTTCTGGAATGTTCCTCAATCCAATCCAGGCTCATATTGCTCAATGGGAAACGCCTGGCTCGTGTTGGCAGGTTGGCAGTATAAGCAACAACTCCTCCAAGTAATTCTTGGTATCTTTCACTTCAGCCAGAAGGAGTTACAATTAAATTCCACTGTTAGAAAAAAACCAGATGATTATCTTTATCTGCGAGACAGCTTTTATATTTCCCCCGGACGAGGATACTGAATACAATAAATAGAGAATTTATGCTGCTTTAATATGCTTACATAACTTTTAATTTCTCCTAGAAACTATCTGATACAATAAAATAATTCACACTTAAAGGGACACTATAGTCACCAGAACAAATACAGCTTAATGTAGTTGTTCTGGTGATTATAATGGCTCCCTTCAGGCATTTTCATGCAAACACTGCCTTTTCAGATGGCCACTGGAGGGGCGTCCTGGCTCAGGGCTGCACAGTAAGCAGCCCTGCCGTCCAGCGTCCCCACGCTCTGCATGGAGACGCTGAACTTTCCTCAAAGAAATGCATTGATTAAATACATCTCTATGAGGAGATCCTGATTGGCCAAAACGGCATTTGGTCCCGCCTCCGTGCTGATTTTAACCAATCCAATACTTTCCCTACGGGAAAGAATTGGATTGGGTAAAAATCGGCCATATTGATAATGTCACAAAGGGGGCGGAGCCATCACCAGCAGACCCGTGCGGCACTGGAAATAAGGTGAGTTTTAAACCTTTATAGGGGGCTTTGGAGGGGTGAAGTCACCTAAATGGTGGGTTTAGCACTATAGGGTCAGGAATACATGTTTGTGTTCCTGACCCTATAGTGATCCTTTAAAGGACCCCTCCACACCTCAAAAGCACTTTCAGCTTGCTATTAAATTATCAGTTACCAGGCATTTAAAGTGAATTTCAAAATTTAGGCTCAAATAGCCTAATATTTTTGAAAAAAATCTATTACTCAATTCTGTTTCCAGTTTGGATATTTTGGCCTTAAACTTGAACTTCACTTTGAATTAACATTAAATTCCTGACAATTCTGACTTAGGTGAATAACCCCGATGGAGTTTAAAGGGACACTCCAGTTCCTAAATACAAAATAAATAAAAATCAATGTTTGGTAGATATACCCCAAATAAAAACCTGCATGTAATTCATTATGCATTTTTTCATTGGGGGTATATATAAAAACAGCTTGCAAAACCTGCAGCTCTTTTGTCGTCTGCTTCTAAGCCCACTCAGCTATGGGCAATTGCTGCCTCTTAAGTTGATCTCCACTGAGCTAACTAAACTATGAAGTAACAGGACCCGTTTGCTTGAAAGCCAGGAACTGTAACCAGGTTAAATTAGAAAAGTGTCAATTTCTAATGAAATCAGCTATTTTGTAAAATGAAGAAAAGCAGACCCATTCTTCACACATAAAGCTTTTCAACAAGATAAAGTGTTTTACGGATGTGGAGTGTCACTTTAACGGGACACTATAGTCACCCAGACCATTTCATCTCAAAAGTTTCTATAGAACCTGCAATGTTTACATTGCATGATTAAATCCAATACTTGACTAATAGCAGCATTTGATTGGAGGAGTGTGGTGTTTAGTTGAACATGCACATCTCCAATCCATTATGAGAAGCAATGGATTAAACTATATCGCGGTTTATGACTGGTCATTTCCTCCCAGCTAACAGAGACTGAGGAGCATCGAGGAAGAGGAGGAGGCAGAGAAAGGAGGGAATCCTAATTTATTGAGTATTGTGTGTGTGAGAATGTGTCTCGTGTGTTGTGGAGGCTGAGAGCAGTACATGGGGGAGAGGCTGAGCGTGCATGTATGTGCTGGTTGACTGTTTTGTTTGTGGTGGCTGAAATTTGTGTGTGGAGGAGTCTGGGTGTTTTGGGCAAGGCTGTGCTGTTTGATGTCTGGAGTTTGGTGGATGCTTTCTGTTTGCCCACTCACACCAATTAATAAATAATTTTTGTTCTCAGACCCATCTTTAGTTTCCTTCTCAAACGCCACTTTCCTTCTCTAACTCCATTTCATTTCAGCCTTACTTACAGGCGATACTCGAAAAATTAGAATATCTTGCAAAAGTTCATTTATTTCAGTAATGCAACGTAAAAGGGGAAACTAATATATGAGATAGACGCATTAAATGCAAAGCAAGATAGTTCAAGCTGTGATTTGTCATAAGTGCAATGATTATGGCTTACAGCTCGTGAAAACCCCAAATCCACAGTCTCAGTAAATTTGAATATTGTGAAAAGGTGCAATATTCTAGGCTCACAGTGTCTCTAATCAGCTAAGTAAGCCATAACACCTGCGAAGGGTTTCTGGGCCTTTAAATGGTCTGTCAGTCTGGTTCAGTAGGAATCGCAATCATGGGGAAGACTGCTGACCTGACAGTTGTGCAGAAAACCATCACTGACACCCTCCATAAGGAGGGAAAGCCTCAAAAGGTAATTGTGAAGGAAGTTGGATGTTCCCAAAGTGCTGTATCAAAGCACATTAATGGAAAGTTATGTGGAAGGAGTAAGTGTGGAAGAAAAAGGTGCACAAGCAGCAGGGATGACCACAGCCTTGAGAGGATTGTCAGGAAATGGACATTCAAAAGTGTTGGGGACTTTCACAAGGAGTGGACTGAGGCTGGAGTCAGTGCATCAAGAGCCACCACACACAAACAGATCCTGGACATGGGCTTCAGATGTTGTATTCCTCTTGTCAAGCCGCTCCTGAACAACAAACAACGTCAGAAGCGTCTTACCTGGTCTAAAGAAAAACAGACCTGGTCTGCTGCTCAGTGGTCCAAAGTCCTCTTTTCTGATGAGCGCAACTTTTGCATCTCATTTGGAAACCAAGGACCGAGAGTCTGGAGGAAGAATGGAGAGGCACACACTGCAAGATGCTTGAAGTCCAGTGTGAAGTTTCCACAGTCTGTGTTGATTTGGGGAGCCATGTCATCTGCTGGTGTTGGTCCACTGTGCTTCATTAAGTCCAGGGTCAATGAAGCCGTCTGCCAGGAGATTTTGGAGCACTTCATGCTTCCTTCTGCAGACAAGCTTTATGGGGATGCTGACTTAATTTTCCAGCAGGACTTAGCACCTGCCACCACTGCCAAAAGTACCAAAGCCTGGTTCAATGACCATGGGTTTACTGTGCTTGATTGGCCAGAAAACTCGCCTGACCTGAACCCCATAGAGAATCTATGGGGCATTGCCAAGAGAAAGATGAGAGACATGAGACCGAACAATGCAGAAGAGCTGAAGGCCGCTATTGAAGCATCCTGGTTTTCCATAATACCTCAGCAGTGCCACAGGCTGATAGCTTCCATGCCACGCTACATTGAAGCAGTAATTGCTGCAAACGGGGCCCAAACAAAGTACTGAGTCCATATGCATTCTTATACTTTTCAGAGGTCTGATATTGTTCTATGTACACTCCTTTTTTTTATTGATTGCATGTAATATTCTAATTTACTGACATTGTGGATTTGGGGTTTTCATGAGCTGTAAGCCATAATCATCGCACTTATGACAAATCATGGCTTGAACTATCTTGCTTTGCATGTAATGCGTCTATCTCATGTATTATTTCCCCCTTTTACGTTGCGCAACTGAAATAAATGAACTTTTGCACGATATTCTAATTTTTCAAGTATCACCTGTACTTTCCAATGAGACCCAGGCTTTTCCTGCCCCCTTGCCTTGTTAGACCACACCTTTTCTTATTGATTCATTTCTATTCAGAACCTTTCCTCATAGATGCTCAGGTCAATTTTTCCATCCCATTCTCTTTCAATGTATAGATTCCCTCCTTTCCTTATTAAACCTTGAGTCTCATTCTGAATTTCTGACCATAACAAAGGTGGAGCCGCACAGGATAGCCACTCAATACAAAGGAGGAGCCCGGGCCCTATACTTCCTTATGTATAATTTCATTTTGTTTAAAATGTATATATTGGGTTTTTGTTCACTGCAGCTCACTGTTAAGTGAATAGGCCACCCATTATTAAAAATGTTATTTTCTTTTGTCTCTAAAAGTGTGAATCATTTCTTACAATAGAATAAAAAAGGACAGGTTTATAATGGCACATTAAATGGAATTTAAGCAGTTTACAAAATGTGTTCATGGCCAGCCACAGCAGTTCAGAATAAAACTATTCTTCTGGGGAACAATACTTTCAATTTGGAGAACAGTAATGTAGTACAACTTAAGTGCTGCTGGATGATTTGCATTACTAAAAGCTAAATTACAGACTGTTACCATTGCAATGTTACATCTTATTAAAAATGACAGTAGTGTTTTTAACATAAAATAAAACATAATTTAACATAAAATAAAAATAAAAACGTATTGCTTCTATCTGCATCCAAGGAAAGTCTCTGCTGGCATGGCCTGGCATCTAATGCAAATTTAAAATTATGCCATGTATAAATATATACACAGCGAATGCTGAGAACTAGGCATGTGCATGGGGAAAATATTCGGCTTGGTTCGTCAATTCGGGACTTCGTCAATTTGGGACTTCTGCAATTTGGCACTTCGGAACTTCAGCACTTCAGATCTTAGACACTTCAGGACTTCAGAACTTCGGAACTCCGGCATTTTGGGACTTTTCTTGCAGCCGCTTGGTAGATAACTCCCTAATTCCCACGATCTTTCAGCCAAATTTACTAATACTAAGTAAAAATTACTTAGTATTAGTAAATTGTGCCCCTACTCGCTATACCGTGAGCAGGGGCATGTCTAGTAAACAGTGAGCAGCCTGTGGCAGGTGGGTAAAAAAAAAAAGTAAAAAAAGAGGGGAGGACCTATTGTCCTCCCCACAAGCCCCAACCCCTGAGCGGTGGGTTGGGGCCCTAAACACAAATTGGGGGGGGACCTAATGTTCTTCCCCCTGGCCCCCACCCCTGAGCGGTGGGTGGGGGCCCTAAACAAGAATAAGGGGAGGGGACCTTATTCTAAGTGGACCTACTGAGCGGTGGGTGGGGGCCCTAAATACAAATTGGGGGGGAACCTAATGTCCTCCCTCCTGGCCCCCACCCCTGAGCAGTGGATGGGGCCCCTAAACAAGAGTAAGGGGTTGGGACCTAATGTCCTCCCCCCTGGCCCCCACCCCTGAGCAGTGGGTGGGGCCCTAAATACAAATTGGGGGGGAACCTTATGTCCTCCCCCTTGGCCCCCACCCCTGAGTGGTGGGTGGGGGCCCTTAACTAGAATAAGGGGGGGGGACCTAATGTCCTCCCCCTGGCCCGCACCCCTGAGTGGTGGGTGTGGGCCCTAAATAAAAATTGGGGGGCACCTAATGTCCTCCCCCTTGCCCCCTACCCCTGAGCGGTGGGTGGGGGCCCTAAACTAGAATAAGGGGGGACCTAATGTCCTCACCCCTGGCCCCCACCCCTGAGCGGTGGGTGGGAGCCCTAAACAAGAATAAGGGGGGACCTTATGTCCTCCCCCCTGGCCCCCACCCCTGAGCGGTGGGTGGGGGCCCTAAATACAAATTGAGGGGGGACCTAATGTCCTCCTTCCTGGCCCCCACCCCTGAACAGTGAGTGGGGGCCCTAAATACAAATTGGGTGTGACCTAATGTCCTCCCCCTGGCCCCCACCCCTGAGCGTTGTGTGGGGGCCCTAAACAAGAATAAAGGGGGGACCTAATGTCCTCCCCCCTTTCCCCCACCCCTGAGCGGTGGGTGGGGGCCCTAAATACAAATTAGGGGACACACCTAATGTCCTCCCCCCTGGCCCCCACCCCTGAGTGGTGGGTGTGGGCCCTAAATAAAAATTGGGGGGCACCTAATGTCCTCCCCCTTGCCCCCTACCCCTGAGCGGTGGGTGGGGGCCCTAAACTAGAATAAGGGGGGACCTAATGTCCTCACCCCTGGCCCCCACCCCTGAGCGGTGGGTGGGAGCCCTAAACAAGAATAAGGGGGGACCTTATGTCCTCCCCCCTGGCCCCCACCCCTGAGCGGTGGGTGGGGGCCCTAAATACAAATTGAGGGGGGACCTAATGTCCTCCTTCCTGGCCCCCACCCCTGAACAGTGAGTGGGGGCCCTAAATACAAATTGGGTGTGACCTAATGTCCTCCCCCTGGCCCCCACCCCTGAGCGTTGTGTGGGGGCCCTAAACAAGAATAAAGGGGGGACCTAATGTCCTCCCCCCTTTCCCCCACCCCTGAGCGGTGGGTGGGGGCCCTAAATACAAATTAGGGGACACACCTAATGTCCTCCCCCCTGGCCCCCACCCCTGAGCGGTGGGTGGGGGCCCTAAATACAAATTGGGGGGGGACCTAATGTCTTCCTCCCTGGCCCCCACCCCTGAGTGGTGGGTGGGGGACCTAAACAAAAATAAGGGGGGGGACCTAATGTCAGGGGGGAGGACATTAGGTCCCCCCAATTTGTATTTAGGGGTCCCACCCACCGCTCAGAGGTGGGGGCCAGTGGGGAGGACATTAGGTCCCCCCCAATTTGTATTTAGGGCCCCCACCCACTGCTCAGGGGTGGGGGGCAGGGGGGTGGACATTATTATTATTATAAATATTATTTGTATTTAGAGCCCCAACCCACCGCTCATGGGTGGGGGCCTGGGGGGAGGACATTAGGTGCCTCCCCAATTTGTATTTAGGGCCCCCACCCATCTCTCAGGGGTGGGGGCCAGGGTGAAGGATATTAGGTCCCCCCCCTTATTCTTGTTTAGGGCCCCCATCCACTGCTCAGAGGTGGGGGCCAGGGGGGAAGACATTAGGATCCCCCCCCCTTATTATTGTTTAGGGCCCCCACCCACCGCTCAGGGGTGGGGGCCAGGGGGGTGGACATTAGGTTCCCCACCAATTTGTATTTAGAGCCCCAACCCACCGCTCAGGGGTGGGGGCCTGGGGGGAGGACATTAGGTCCCCCCCTTATTCTTGTTTCAGGCCCCCACCCACCGCTCAGGGGTGAGGGCCAGGGGGAGGACATTAGGTGCCCCCCAATTTGTATTTAGGGCCCCCACCCACCACTCAGGGGTGGGGGCCAGGGGGGAGGACATTAGGTCCCCCCCCTTATTCTAGTTTAGGGCCCCCACCCACTGCTCAGGGGTGGGGGCCAGGGGGGAGGACCTTAGGTCCCCCCCCATTTTGTATTTAGGGCCCCCACCCACCGCTCAGGGGTGGGGGCCGGTGGGGAGGACAATAGGTCATCCTCCCTTTTTTTACTTTAGGGCCCCCACCCGCCGCTTTGGGGTGGGGGCAGGGGGGGCAATAGGTCCTTAGTAGACATGCCCCTACTTGCAGTATAGCGAGTAGGGGCATAATTTACTAATACTAAGTAATCTTTACTTAGTATTAATAAATTTGTCTGAAAGACCAATTTAGGTCTTTCAGCCTTTTAGTAGATAGCTCCCTGATACCATGGGAATTAGGAAGTTATCTACTTATTCATTCTTGTCATTACATGACTGGCTAAGTAACTTACATTTTATATGAACATATGTTACTTGATTGTTGTAAGTGTTGCAAATGCTTACAGCTGAATCCTGGCTATGTTTGTATACTTTTTATTTGAAATTGTATGCAGTGTAACTTCTTCTTTCACAGGGTAAGTATATTAGTACTTAGGCAATACTGTGCTTCGGAACTTCGGAACTTTGGCACTTTGACACCTCGGAACTTCAGCAACTTCGGATCTTAGGATCTTCAGCAATTCGGCACTTCGGAAATTCGGTACTTCGGAAATTCGGTAATTTCGACACTTTGGGACTTCGGCACTTCGGCAATTCAGCTATTTGGACATTCGGAAGCACCCGAATGTCCGAATTACCCAAAATTCGGCCGAATTTTAATTCGGACCGAAACCAATTGCACATGTCTACTGAGAACATGATGGTGCCATTTACCCAGAATTTGCAGTGGAGACAGTTGTGTTTTTTTTTCACCTGTTGCCACATTAACAATTTCAGCAGTGTTTCACTGTTTATTAGATGAGAAACAGAGGAAATGTCCAGAGGAAATGCCCCCCAAACACTGTTGTTTTGGTCTAGATTTGCAAGACGGTTACATCTTGCCACCACACCCTGTCCAAGCAAAAAGACTTTTAAATTTAGCGTACTTCATGGCTTCTAACGCTCTTTTAGATAGTGACTAAACTTCTAAACAGGGGAGGGAGTGCTCATGCCACCAGCCCAGTGCAGTTCACATTACAAACACACACAAAAAAACTTGACAGATGCTTTGACCTCTAAAGAGAGAAACGTGTCACATAACTGGACAAGTACATTGTTACAAGTAACAACTAGCAGACAAAGATTTTAAAGGCATATTCTAATTTTCCGTAGCAAAGAAATCCATCACTCTCCACATTACTGATATTTATGTTCCAAATGGTATGAATGCAAATATCTTCTATAGAGTACTGCTCATTCTTTCAGAGCCATAAAGATATGAGCAGTTGGAATGTTAAACCTATATTTAGCCAACTGATGTCACAGGGATGCCAACCACTTGAGTCCCCCACTTTCCTTCTGTACCGGTCACTATTCACGGAGAGATTGCTTAGAATAAGGAAGGTCACTCACATCCATAGTTGCAAGCAGGCGTCTGATTGCTTTCCATCTCAAAAAGGTAAATGCTTTATTCATTTCTACTTTACCCTCCTGTAGAATTATGTAGTATTAGATTGCCTGGTTTGTCTTTGTAAAACATTTCCAGTGCGTGGCAAAGAGCTAGAATATTCCCTAATGACTGAAATTATATTGAATGGGCTTAGTGTAATGATCCGTGAAAGAAACATTGATGCAATAAGTAGAACATAAGATAAACTCCTGCTAATAAATGGAGTGACTTTAAAAAAAATAATCATATATTTGGTTCTGATTGTTTAAAGAGTTCACTAGATCCCTGCCAGTTTTGCAGATTACGTTGCTAAGCAACCATTGTTGTTACAAAGAACAGTGAAACCTTTTTAAGCGACAAGTTTCCCTATGACACTAAGTAGCAATGTACATTAACGCTACAGTAACTAAAACCCCGGCAGACAAGTGATATTTAGTTTTTTCTTTTTGTACAGATTGATCTATTCTTTTATTAGCAATTTTATTTTCTAACTTAAAGTGTTATATATTTTTTTTATCCAAAGTACGAGTATACTTTTTTTGATCAATGTCTCATTTTGCCATTTTTAAAATAGGAGCAATTTATGAGCAGAATGAAAAATGATGAGAGTAATTTATTGGTTATTGGCTGATCCTTATTTAGCATTTTGCTTGAAACTTACACCTGTACTGCTCTAAATGCATATGGCATTTACCCTCTAGAGAGTGTTAACACTTATTATTTCAGACATTTCCTAAAGTGGAATGGAGAGGTGCCCATCCTCACTAGTAATTTTGTAATGTTTACCTGATATGCCATTAGTTGACAGTTTGGTGTTTCAGACAGGATTAGCATGGCAAAAGAAATGGTCAGCCACAAAGGAGTTTGTGTTCTGAAACCTGTTCTAGAAAAGTGCCAATCTGACACAATGATGTAGAAAAGTGCCAATCTAAAATGTAGTGCAATGTTCTAGAAAAGTGCCAATCTGAAATGTCCTGCAATGTTCTAGAAAAGTGCCAGTCTGAAATATCCTGCAGTGTTATAGAAAAGTGCCAGTCTGAAATATCCTGCAGTGTTATAGAAAAGTGCCAATCTGAAATGTCTTGCAATGTTCTAGAAAAGTGCCAATATGAAATATCCTGCAATGTTCTAGAAAAGTGCCAATCTGAAATTTCCTGCAATGTTCTAGAAAACTGCCAATCTGAAATGACCTGCAATGTTCTAGAAAAGTGTGAATCTGAAATGTAATGCAATGTTCTCCCATCTGAAACGTTGTGCAATGTTCTAAAAAAGTGCCATGGAACTCAAAAGCACCAGCAATTACATTAATTTGGTGATTACTCCACTTTTACAACTTTGCTCTACATTTCAGACAATAACCATTCATAAATTGCAGCAAACGTCAAGTTAATCTTAGGGGCAGCTCTATCTGCATACTACTTGAGTGCTTCATAACATTTTTGATTTACATGAATGCCCCACGGGTTTTCTTTTTTTTACTGATTTGGATAGAAAGCAGTTTTAGAGAAAGTTTGGAATGGTATTTGAGGAAGACTAAGTTATATCAACAATTATAACTGCCGTACTGCAGAGCACATACGACACCAGCGGCCATAATGAATACTGATAAAACAACTCTTTATTTTTTTCCGTGATCCTTTTAAATATTATTATTAGCATTTAGATAGCACCAAAATATTCTGCAGAGCATTACAATTGTACAAAGGGGATATTTGAAAGTGAAGAACGGCCTGCTCAAACAAGGTTACAATCTATGAGGAATGGAGGTAGGCAGACATATATCGTTAGGGGTCTTGGTCAAGGACACTTACTAGTATGGTGGTCTGACCAGAAATTGAGCCTGGGTTTTCCAGTTCTAAAGTAGTGCTGTTACCACCACTCTATCCAGTAAATATATGTTTGCTGATTGTTATATTCCCATGTACCTGTGATCATATGGCAAGTTTTGTTATTCTCTATACGTATTCTTGTGTTTTCTACCTTCTGTCCAGCACTACTCTTTCATATGGCAACTGTACACACAATATAAACACATACTGACAAACATGGTTAGACATACAGAGATGTTCATACTTGCAAACAGTCATTTTTATACATATATACTAAGAGTTAGAGACCAGGTCATCCAGGCCACTGACAAGGCTTTAAGGGATTTGGGTCTGGGGCCCCTTTGCAAGAGCACTACTATGAGGCCTACCTTCCTGGTGACATAGGTGAATGATCCACTGATATGGGAAATCTGTGCTGCAAGGTGCACCGGCTTGTCTTGTTGGAAGGCTGACCATACCCTAATGGTGCGGTGTAGAATCCAAGTCATTGGGTTCAGAAAGGTCCACAGACAAGATGGATAAGGTGATAAGGAATGTATAACTCATTGGGTGATATACACTTTATCTTTTCTGAAGACACAGCACTTGATGGGCTTGACAAGATACCTAATTACACGAAGATAACCAGATATCTGCAAACAAGTAGACATCAAGGTTCTGCTGAAATATATAGGGCACCTGTGCACAGAAAAGTGTTGGTCATGCGAATGCAAAACTTTCAGGGCTACAGTGTTTCAATGAAGGAGACCTGCAGATCTAGTAGAATACCGTGCCCCTGGCTGTTCAGCATACCAACAAATCCCAAGTCAAGCTGTAAGTGAAGTCAGCAGTGCTGGAGGACAAAACCTGTGGATTAGAGGTATCCATGAGAGATGCTACATTTGGTGGGGCACTTACTGACTTCTCTTATGCCTCCTTCAGGTCTATGAATATGGACTTCTATTTTTGCATAGCTATTTTAAAAAATTTGCCAGTTATGGGTTTCTGAAAGTTATTATTGAAATTTAATTCAAAGCTTCACAAGAGCACAGGCTCTTGGGAGACAGTTCAGTTCGAAAGACATCCTATCGAACTCAAGTTGATAAACATTCTTGGAATGTAATCATGTTAATATTGAGGTTTATGGGTGGTAAACTCTCACCTGGAAAGCAATTATTGACCTCAACATGTAAATGTAAACTTAATGTGACTAGTTTATAGTACTCAATAAGTAAGTGATTAATTGCTTATCAATGTTTGGTTACATGATATACATATTGAAACAGGGTATATAAGCTACATCAATGAAGTTCATATTGTTGTCCTGCTTAAAAAATGAGCTGTTCTTAACCTCACCAACCTTTTTCTCTTGGTTCACGTAGCCACGTGGAAATGTAATTTTTATACATATTCTTGTTCACATATAATGAGAGCTGTGGTGGGTGGGAGTAGGGGAATGTGGAAATTAGGCTGAGAGTGAGTAAAAGGGTTATGACGTTCCTATGCAAGATAAAGAGATTGCTATGCTATAGTGGGCAGTAAACGTGCAGTACATGCTTTATGTACAGATGCTGTAATTTTAAAGTAGAACTATACCTATGGTTATTTTTATAACTTCAAAGGAAAGGTGCATTAAACCAGTGCATAGTGATAGAGTACAACAAACGTTACTGGCGATATATTTGTATAACTTGAGCACTAAGCATGTAAGGTGGGCTGGGTTCATTTTGTAAATCTTGTAGGGCTGCATTGGGTTTAAATAGGATTTGTGATAAATATTTTCACTAGATACTCTAGCTCGGGATACGATATCCACCATGTTTTCCAGGACAATTAACATGTTTACAAATTGATGGACAGCATACAGAAAGTGTTGCCCTGCAGTTGTAGAAGTCACATGCTGCAGGTAGTAAATCAGGTGTTAAATCAATCCAAAATCCTGCAGCATACACATTGTCCATAATACAGATCAGCATTTTCAGGTGCTGCCAATCAACATGATGGAATTATGTGTTTCCAGGAAAACATGGCAGATATGTCAACCCTATCAATACCATACTGTTTCTCAACCCATATTATGTATATACAGGTGTACACTGAAAAAGCTAAATTGGGGGGGGGGGAGAAAGTGACAGGAAGAGAAACTAGAAGGGCACCAACCTTACTATCAGATGATGAATGCAAACTTCCCAATATAATTATGCCTTATATCTTCTAATATTGTTATATGTTTTTATAGGCCACCTAGTACCATCAAATGTTGTTACCAGTGCTAGATTAGAGGATTAATTGGCTGGGAGCTGAAAATTAGTGTGGGCTTATTACAAAATATGAATTTCTATTGCTCCTAACCCCATCTACAACTATACTTTGCAGGCATATATAAAACCTTTTACGCATGGAATCGAACCATATATTTGGCAGCAAGTGAACAGTCAGTTCTTGAATTTCATATGTTGGGAGCTCACAAAATTAACAAGCAAAAAGATCTGAGTGATTTTGACAAGGACCAAATAGTGATGGCTACATGACTAGGTCAGAACATCTCCAAAACAGCAAGTTCTGTGAGGTGTTCCCGGTATGCAGTGGTTAGTACCACCCAAAAGTAGTACAAGGAAGGATAACCAGTGGACCGACGTCCATGTCGTGGGCAGCCAAAGCACATGGGGAACAAAGGCTAGCCATTCTCATCCGATCACAAAGAAAAGCTATTTTATCTCAAACTGCTGAAAAACTTAATGCTTGCCATGATAGAAAGGAGTCAGATCACAAGGAGCATCACCATTGTTGTGTATGGGGCTACATAACATCAGACTGGTCAGGGTGAACTGATAAAAACACTTTCAATGGGGACATGAGGGTCAGAACTGGACCATGGATTAATGGAAGAAGGTTGCCTGGTCTGAACATGTTTTCTTTTAGATCAAATAAATGTGGTTTACCTGGGGAAGAGATGGCAGCAGGATGCACTATGGGAAGAAGGCAGGCTGGCAGAGGCTCTGGACAATGTTCTACTGGGAAACCTTGTTTCCTAGCATTCATGTGGATGAATGTGGATGTTACTTGGACACATACCAACTATCTAGAGATTGTTGCAGACCACGTACACCCCTTCATGGCAATGGTGCTCCCTGATGTTACAGCAGGATAATGCACCCTGCTATACTGCAAAATTTGTTCCAGGAATGGTTTGAGGAAAATGACACAGAGTTCAAGATGTGGCCTCCAAAGTCCCCAGATCTCAATCAAATTGAGCATCTATTGGAGGTGCTGGAACAACACATCTGATCCATGGAGACCCTACTTCGCAACATGAATGACTTAAAGGATCTGCTGCTAATGTCTTGGTGCCAGATACCACAGGACAAGTTTAGTGTGGAGTCCATGCTTTCACTCATCAGTCCTAGTTTTGTCAGCACAAGGGGGCCCAACACAACATTAGGCAGGTTGTTTTAATGTTGTGGTTGGTCAGTGTATGTCACACAGCATTCCACAACAATATCAAGTCACAAAAAAACAACAACAACAAAAAATACGTAATTTGGGCCTATTATGAAATTGTCATGCTTCCAATTGTCATCTTGTTACTTCCAATACCTCTCTTCAATGGCATACCATTACTAACCTTCCTCTGTGTAACTATCACACCTTTTTTGTTTACTCTTGCAGACAGCTCAGGTTTCAAATCTAAAGTCTGGAAGGACATTGGGGTACTATTGTATGTATTAAATTGAATCAACGGAAAAAACAACTTTGTCCTTTTCTTGTACTGCATAAGCAATCATTAAATTGTAATATTGTGCAAAAGCAATAAGGAACACATATACACATTTGAAACATAAGGTAAAGGTGACAGAATGAATATTAGTAGCTGCAGCCTGGCTGTGATATATGCATGCATTGATGTCATGTAGCCTGGGACACGTATTCTACTTGCACATACAGTCATCGAGAAATCCTACGTACAGTCATGCTTGTGAGAATATGTGCAGCTGAATTAGAGTCTCAGACAGCTGTGCAGATCTAACTTGCAGAGCTGCTTCTAAGCTTATGCTGGTGGGGCAGCAGCACCAATCACCCAAACCCACGCATATGAACAGTGTAGTTTGCAAACAAAATATTTTGCAATAAATTGCAAGGATATAGTTCCTGTTTGGGGATGGGAGCATATTTCTTGATCACACAGAGAAACCGGTCACTTGGAACACAATTTAATATTTTTTAGAAAATATTTTTAAATGACTTAATATTTTTGTGTATATATATTTTTATATATTTGATTTTATATATTTGATAGTACTTAAGTACTAATAATCAGAAAAAAAAGTGAGAGACTAAAAGTTGTGGATACTCTGTTGCAGACAGCTCTAAAATAGCAGCAAGGCCAGTGTTCAGGTTTTATTTGTAACATGCCAACAGAAAAAACAGTTTAATTATATTGACAGAGAAACAGCTCACTGCTATCTGGGCAGGGAGAATAGGGGATATATAGTCTAAAAAAATGAGGGTATAAATAAAGTATCAGAAGGGAAAAGGAAAAAAATTATCACTCTCAGCCAGCCTCCTGTATATAATTACAATTAAAGATTTTGCGGCTAAATAACACAGAAGAAAGACCCTTCCCATCAGCAGGAAAAAGAAATAGAACAGAAATGTCTGTCTCCAGGAAAGATAAATATAGGGAACCTCCCTCAACACACTATATATAGAGTGTCCTGAAAATCAAAAAGGCTATCAATACTAAATCCTAGATCCTATTACCTCGGTTGTCTCACATAGGTGATGCAACCTACAAACACCCTTGGCTATGCTGGCCTCTGTGTCCTGAACATGCCTCCTTGCATGTGTATAGCAACCAATCAAGAGGGGCTGAGTTGTAAAAACACAGTAATATCAAATTGGGCACCACATTCAGCCTAGAACTCAGAGTGAGATCCCCAAACATAAAATTGACAAGGGAATAACATTATCATTATCATTTATTTATGCTAATTAAATAGGTGATTCTTTTTTTGTGTGCAAATTAGTGTTTTATTGTAATCCAAAATCATATAAAAAAACAGGTAAGTCAATAGGACACACAGGTCCTCATCAATAAGTAAATCATTAAATAACATCCTGAACTAAAGTCGGACTTGCAGGTACAAGAGTTGAACGTAGCGACATAAAGTACAGAACATAAAACAGTAAAGTGACATCAAACAAAAGGCTCCTCCACAAAACCCTGAGGTCCTATAGAAACAAGCATGTAACACTTTATTTTTGCAGGGAGAAGTGGGAGTTGTAAACTTTTGTTTTTTTAACCAGCATCATTCCCATACCCACCGTCGCGTTGCCAAACATACTCAACCATTCTCAAATGTGAGGTCATCGCAACCAAGACTAAGAAAGTGTGACTAGCAAGAGCGAGTGAGGGAGCTGCAACTAACGCAATAAGCAGGGCCGGTGCAAGGATTTAGGATGCCCATTTTGCCACCTCCTCATGAAAGCAAATACAATGTCACAGAGGCAGTGGTGTATTTTGGATTTGTGCTGCCTTAGTCAGGACGGTGCTCGGGCGACCCCCAGCTCCCATATTTAAATGTTCCCCACCCCTTCCTGTCAAGACCACACTTTGACTTACAGACACTTTCTTACTGATGCATTCACTGACATACACTCACTAAAAGATACAATCATTGGCACACATACTGTTTAACCAACACACACTTTCACTGACAGACAGACACCCACACACACCCACACTCACTGACAGACACACACTGTCATATACACTGACAAACAATGACATACACACTCACTGATTTAACACACTCTTATAGACACACTATTACTCAGACACACAATGACAGACTCACACTCACTGACAGATGCACACACTCACTGACAGATGCATACACTCATTGACAGACACACACTCTCATATACACTGGCAAACAATGACATACACAAACACTCACTGATTTGACAGACTCTAACAGACACACACTGACAGACTCACACTCACTGGCAGACGTACACTCACTGACAGACATTCACAGACACACACACTCACACACACTTACAAGCGAGCTGAGCAGGAAGAGTTCAGGTGAGCTGCCGCCCGCCTCTGGGAGGCTCAAAAGTGGCCAGCCGGCCAGCTCTTTGCCCTTGCTGCCCCCTGCAAAGTGCCACCCAAGGCAAATGTCTTGTTTGCCTTGTTTAAGATACATCGCTGCACAGAGGTTTATTCACTAAACTCTGAGTTGCAGTAAGTTGAAAACCAAATTGCAAAGTTTAAGCAAAAACAGCTGAACTGTGACTGTAGCCGAATTGAAGAATTCTTCTAGATCACCAATTTTGGCCTAAATTTTGCCATATGGTTTTCAGTTAGAGCTGCCTAGTACACACATATTGCTTAATACGTACATCCATAAACAAACACTGACAAATACCTACATCCATTCACACATGCTGCCTAATACATGCATCCATACATACATACTGCTTAATGTGTACATCCATACACACATACTGCTTAATGCGTATATCCATACACACATACTGCCTAAAGCCTACATCCATACACACATACTGCCTTATACATGAATCCATACACACATACTGCCTAATACCTACATCCATAAACACACACTGCCTGATACATGCATACATATACACATACTGCTTAATACCTACATCCATACACACACAATGCCTAATACATACATCCATAAACACACACTGCCTAATACCTACATCCATACACACATACTGCCTTATACATGCATCCATACACACATACTGCCTAATACCTACATCCATTCACACATACTGCCTAATACATGCATCCATATACACATACTGCCTAATACTTGCATCCATACATACATACTGCTTAATGTGTACATCCATACACACATACTGCTTAATGCGTATATCCATACACACATACTGCCTAAAACCTACATCCATACACACATACTGCCTTTTGCATGCATCCATACACACATACTGCCTAATACCTACATCCATAAACACACACTGCCTGATACATGCATACATATACACATACTGCTTAATACCTACATCCATACACACACACACACTGCCTAATACATACATCCATACACACATACTGCCTAATACCCTCATCCATACACACATACTGCCAAATACATACATTGTCATTGAACACATATGCATGTATTTAATGCTTTTGGTTTAATTTATAAAAAGACTAGCACAGACGAGTACACACACTGACAGACACTCTCACTCACTGACAGACACACCCTGGCAGACACACATTCACTGACAGACATACACTCACTCACTGACAGACATACAGTCAAATACTGACACACATACATTCACTCGCTGACAGACAGACACACACACACAGACACTCATTGACAGACACTCACTCACTGACAGACACATACACACACACACTGACATACATTCACTCACTCACTGACAGACACACACACTCGCACACAGACAGACAGACACTCACTGACATACATACTCACTGACTCACTCACTGACAGACACAGACACTCACTCACTGACAGACAGACAGACACACACACTCACTAACAGTCAAACACTCAACACTCACTGCACTGACACACACAATTTTATTTTTCGAGGCTCATCCAGGGTCCTCCCTAGCGTCCAGTGTGGGGCAGAGCACATACTAATAAGCCACCATCAAGGTAAAGAAGGTGCCTATTCTGCCTTACCTAGCACTGCTTTAAAGGTGCCCTAAGGTTGCCAGATGGAGTTCCTCTCGGCACCCCTATTTTCAGGGGGCATGGAGGAACAGCCCGGCGCTGGGGTGGGGGATGGCTCAAGACAGGGGCAGCCCACCAGGAAATGGTTGTGCCAGCCCTGCCGATAAGGGTGGATACATCCTTCCCTAAGCCTGTCCCGCTTCTCTGGTAGGGTGCCTGGCCTCCCCCAAAAGGACTGTCAGACATCCGTAAGTGAACAGTCTTTAAAAGTCGCCTTGGTAAACTATGGTTAACCAGTGCGTCCATATGTCCATGTAAGTCTAAGAACGATCCTGAGCTGAAACTGTCAGGCCCTCCAATCTGTGTAAATCTTCTATTTTAGCAAACAAGACAGTAAAGGGTGGTGGTGTGACTTTTTTCCAGAATAGGGGCACTACTTGCTGAGCTGTGTTAAAAATCCAAACAGTTAAGGATTTCTTGAATCTGACAGTGGGTGTGGTAGTGTGGTGTAAAAGATAAGGAGCTGGCAGGAAGGGAGGGTTGTTGTCTGTGAACTTCGACAGATTCTCTCGGATTGCTTGCCGGAATGGTTTGATCTTGGAGCATTCCCACCAAATATGCAGGAAAGTGCCCGGGCTGGCGTGCCATCTCCAGCATTCATCACTTAGAAAATATCGATTTACTATATTAATAAATGTATAAATTTTTAGTTGATGATTTATATAAAATTTTAGTTTTTATATTTTATACCACATAATTATTCCTACATATTTCAAAGATACTTTATACTTAATCGGCTGTCAGCAGGCACGTTAGTCACAAGGAATGATTATCTCCAGTAGATAAGGATCATGTTTCATAAACATAAACATGTCAAAATATAGGTGGAATGTTGCAAGTCTTAGTTCTATAAGGAACAAAATGGTGGGTAGCAATATTACCATCCATGTGTATTTTAACTAAAGTAATTATCCTAAAGCTTAACAGTCTGACCCCATAATGGTATTTACCTCACTAATTAGGCACGGTATATTGCAGAATTCATAGTGGTAATTAGAAATCTCATATCCACCTCCATCTGAAGATAATAAAATATGTAACATTCAGTTGGATAATAATAAAATGTGTAAATAAACATTTGCAGAGAAATTACCATTTAGAGATAGAAAAATTGCCATTGTGCATGCACAACGGTAATCATTCTGTTTGCACTGTGCAAAGTGTTCTTTTGTTTGGTCTCACCATGATCTTTTTGGCATATTTTTATGATACATAGACAGACAGATCGCTCATTCAATCAATCCCATCATCTGATGGCACAACTAATGTGTGAATGTACTATTGGTCTATGCTATTTAATTTGCCAACTTGTTTTCAATATAAGTGAGTCCACACAACATCCTTCTGCCATTTGAGGGTTTGCCATGTCACATATCATATGTAGTTCCTAGAAAGAACCCTATCAATTTCCTGTTGTTGCTAGAAGTTGTCCCAATTATGAACTTCACATACTAATAAGCCACTAAATGATACACTGTATAAATGTGGATTGATGAATGATAAATAACAGTAATTTTTCAGAACTTCATCCACCTAGCATATGACCAATGACATTAAGGGACCCAGACGCTTAGAGTAGATTAACGAGCCATAATGTCCATGTATGAGGATATATACCATACACAGATTTCTGCATTTGTTTTTGGCAGGTACCACTCTTTCTCCCCATAACTTGCTATCTTTTCATTTAAGCCTTGCAGGGTTATTCACTAAAAGGAAATTTCCTGGAATTTCAAAGTGAATTTCAAATTGAAGGCCAAGGTAGCCAAACTAGAAGCAAACGTGACTAGGAGAATTCCTCCAGTTATTGTGACCTTAAATATGAAATTAATTTTGAATTCCAGACAATTCTTTGTTTAGTGAATGACCCTGTTTACGTTTCCCAGTTCTCCCATCCCAGTGCAGATTTAGGACACCCTGGAACAGTGCTTTTTTGCCGCTTCTACCTCTATATTACAGCAATATTTTGCCTCAACATTACTGGACTAATGTGGCAGGTCAGATATCATTACTACTTGCATTCGTACACTATCATGGAACTTCCTGTTTTTTTATGAATTAATGAATAATTACTATTTTATATGTTTTGTTTTCAGGGAGCAACATCTGAATCCAGACAGGACAATGTTATCTCAACGTGCCCTTCAGAAGGAGAGGAGAGAGCAAGCTTCTGCCATATTTAATGAAATCCAATCTATTGGTACAAACAAGCAATTTCATTACCTTTTTAGTACTAATTGGATCTTGTGGAGTTAACACTATAATTGTCACATGGGCGCATGGTTAAACAAAGGGGCCGCATGCCACCAGTATGCTCAGAGTTAACCTTTATTCTAACAACTCTTCCCTAATTGTCTCAAATTCATGTCCATAAATAATCTGTCAAAATATCTGGCTTCCTTTGGTAGCTGAGGCCTTTTGTAGTCCGTTCAGAAGCTATTTTCAGCTGGACAACTGTTGAGATGGAATGAAGCTAAGTAACAGCTGATGGGTGGTGTAATAGGATTGACTTTCAGGCTTTTTGTTTAGGGTTAGCAGCTCAAGCGGCCACCGTAATGGAGGTTTTGTGTCCTAGATGACATGTGACACACATGCAGAATTATTCCAACCCTTTACACATTCATATCTGGCAATTTATGATTACAATTCATGATGTAGGTTTATGCTTGGAATGCCCATAAACGAAGACCTCCAAGAATTGTAAAACAACAAAAACAAGAACTCATACATTCCTTTGCCAGTTTTAACAGAACACTCCTATGTGGTGTAATATATTGTGGAGTTCTGTGATACATTATTACGCACAGGAGTTTTCTATGATGTATTGCTTTGAGTTATCTGGCTGTGGAGCTCTGTGATACACACTTTAACACTAGACATGGTTTTAATGTTATAGAGCTCTGTGATACACATATTCTCTGGATCTGCTGTTGGACATTTTGTGGACTAAAACTCCATTCTAGCTTAGCCAACCTCTGATTCAACTTGATTGGAGTTCTAATCCAAAACAACTGTTTGGCAAATGATTGTCTCATTCAGCGGTTAAATATGATGTGATTGTGAACTCCCACAAACTTCAGCCAGACAATGAGTAAGCATGACAGGGTTTTTAATCCACTAGACATAGGAAACAGGAACTACATTTCATGGAATAGGAAATATTATGTGGTGCAGCATTTAGTCTTTTCCTAATCTGACCTTTGCTTCATGGAATTGCAGTGGTAAAGTATGACAGAAAGTTAAATCCAAACTAATTTATGTTTACAGCCATTTAAGATCTTCTGTTTGTGTGTTTATTTGTTCTTTAGTTAAAAAGACACTCCAGGCACCATAAAGATTTCATCTAACTGAAGGCACTCTTATCTCAAGGGGTTGAACTGTTCTTGAATAATGTAACCACAAAGTTGCCTTTAGCAGTGAAGTCCACTCCCCCCCAGGCGGCATCCTTTTTTAAGCTGGTTTTGTGAATGGGGAGTCACTGGCTGAGTGTCAGCTGACCACTCTCAGCCAATCGAAAGCCAGATGCAGCATGGGGGGAGTGGACTTCGCTGCTTGAGGCAACTTTGGAGTTAAACCATTTGAGTAGACTTTAACCGGCTTAGGTAAGAGCGCCTCTGGGGGCCTCTTGGCACCATAACTACTTTATTTAGATGAAGTTGGTTTGGTGCCTGGAGTCTCCCTTTTAGTGTGGAGTACTGTGTATAGTACCAGATTCTAGTGTTCCTTTAACGTTATGTGACTAGCAGAATTATTTACTAAAATGATACTTGTTGAGAGTTCAAAGTGAGTTTAAAATTTAAGGTTAAAATAGCTGAATTTGGAACTTCCAGTTCCAGTTATTTTTTTTCTAAATGTAATATTCACTTTTAATTCCTGACAATTTTCATTTTTGCAAATAACCCTGTGTGTTTGAGGACCTTCGTGAAATACGTGCACACACAGGGGATGGAAAAAAGTTGACAAATAGTCTGTTATTCATGCTTATATATCCAATGCATGCTTATTTTTAAACTGGCTTAAAGCACTTGTCTCACCATTTGTTTGCCCATGTTTTATCAGATCTGTAAAATAAATAATGAAAATAATGTAATTATGTTGCTATTACATGCTGCACACAAAGTAGTATGTACAACAGTCACCAAAACAAATGTTCTGTCTGGAGGATTCAGACTTGGCAGAAGAGGAAGCGATAGTTTCATATGTATTTTATTTAAGAGATCCTTTCTCCCACTACCAATGCCACTGAATGCGTGAATAGATTAACTACAGCTGCTGGCAACATTTCCTCCACAAAGCCTCTGGCACTAGATAAATAGAAACACAACACCATGTGGGTAACGTAGCCAAGCCTGTGGCTTACATACAAAGAAATATTTTTTTCTGCAAACAAAGGTCCAGGTTTATGGATTATTACTATACATCATAGGCGTGCGCACGGGGTGTGCCTGGGCACACCCTAATCCCCGTGGCACGCCTATGGATTGAGTCCTGCAGGAACAGCGTTCCTGCACTTTTTTTTGAGCAGGAACGCTGTTCCTGCAGGCACTCAGCGCCCCCAAATGCCCCCCTTCCTGCCCCCATGTTGCCCCTGTCATGGGGGGGGCAAGAGATGGATGCCCCCTCCTCTCTCCATCTCAGCCGCGGCGAGGGAGCTGTGTGCTCTCTGCTTCCTCTCGCCGCGCGCGGTTTACTGATGCCGGGAGCCGGAATATGACGTCATATTCCGGCTCCCAGCTACTGTAGACAGCCCGCGTGGCGAGAGGAAGCAGAGAGCACACAGCTCCCTCGCCGCGGCTGAGATGGAGACAGGCGCCCGCCCCAGCACTCCAGGTAGGGAGGCTGGTTGGACATTTTTTTATTAAAAAAAAAATAATTTGTATGTGTGTGTGTCTTTGAATGCATGTGTGTGTGCCTCTGTATGTGTGTGTGTGTCTGTGAGTGTGTGTGTGTCTGTGAATGTATGAGTGTGTGTAAGCATATATATATATATATATATACACACACACACACACACACGTGTATATTATTTTTTTTGGGGGGGTGGGAATCTTGAGAGAGTTCCCACACATTATTCCGCAGGACTTGTACCTTGCTGGCAGGGGAGATCTCCCGATCTCCCCTGTCGGCTCACGCAGAGCCGGCGCTATCTGAGTGCCGGCTCTGCTCTAAGCCTCCATGGGCCGGCGGGGAGACCAAAGATCTACCTCACCGGCCCACAGCAGCATGGAGGGAGGCAGGAGAGGACCCAGGGAGCTCTAGACAGCAGCTCCACCAGGTTCCTCTTGCGATATATGAGTGTCGCCTAATAGAACCGGTATCAAGCTTCATAAGGGCTTTGTGAGGAACCAAAAACTGCTGGTCTTCATCTATTACAGGGACACACCACTGCCCAAATCCAAAACATTAAAAATCACTGTTTAGTCTACCCCCAATCAAAACATGCCTCAACATTTCATCATGTCTTTTTTATATCAGGGGTGTAGCTAAAAACAGCTTGCAGAAGCTACAGACCTCTTGACTGAAACCTTTACCAGCCCTCCCCTTCTAACTCCGCCCAGACTTTCTGTGACTGTCCAATCACAGACTTCTCAATGCAGCTTGATGAGAATTATTTTTGCTCATTTTTGAGTTTAGCCCTACTAAGCTAACCAAACCAGGAAGGAACTGTACTTGTTCTCTGATTGACAGCTGGAGGGGTGTAACAAGGTTGGTTAATAAAAGTGCGAATTTTTATTGAAATCTATACTTATACTTTATAAAATGAAAAGAGAGGACACACTCTTCACACATAAAGCATTTCAGCAAGTTAAAATGCTTTGAAGTCTGGAGTGTCTCTTTAAATCTGCCTGGATCTTAGTCTTGTGCCATGTAATTAGCACGGGACTCGTTAAAACTTCATAAAATATGCTATGGGTATTGTAACAAAGTCAAAATCAGATGTGGCAGTACACTGCAGTAATGGTACTATCATAAGCAGAGCTAGATCAAGTTCTAATTAGATAATCCCATAAAAGTCTGTTAATTATTTTGCAAGGGTCTCAGGATCTTCTGCTGTTTGGTGCCCATAATAATGTCAGTCCACCTATATGTCTAGAACACTAATAAAACAATATGTATCCTACAATTTAGTAAAAGAGGGTTTATGTGGAATTCTTGTTTATCCTGGAATAATTTAAGTTTGTGAATTACTTGTAATTAATATACTTTAGAGTTATTTCTATATCACTGTAACATTATATGAATCAAATCATGCAATATTTCCTGTGTGACAGATGTGTCAACCTTGAAAAAAATACATGCATTCAAATTACCTTGCCTTGTTCGAGTTGTTTGAGAACACGTGAAACACTATGTGGTTTTATTTTTTGTGGAAGTTATTTTAACACTTTTGTTGGCAGCATCTCTGTGGCTTGTTATTTGTAGAAATCTAGCATAACATAACATAGTTTTTTTCCTTCTGCCAGTGGAATCCGCTAAACATGTGGATTCCTCTCTTATCTCTTTACTTAGACCTGTTTGATGCTTTCAGGATGGCAGGAAAGGCTAAATCATTCAGGAAATCGTATTTAGAAGAGAGCAAAACTTTTCCTTACTAACATGGACGACACAAAAGATATAGAATCCAAAAGTTGACGTTTAAATTGGGGTTTGACATTTACAATATACATATAAAAAGAATACTATAACAAGTTTACTAGATCTGTCTGTCTGTCTGTGCATCCACCCATCCATCTATCTATGACAGGTGATATAAGAAAAAAAACTAAAAAAAACCATCAGAGCACAAGACAATAAATGTATAAAAATGTATTGTTACTTTGCCATGAATGATCAGATGCATGTAATAAGCTTGGGAGGTGGTAGATTTAAAAAAAAACAAAAAAAAAAACACTAGTTGAATGTGTAAACTATAAAAAAAACGTGTAGAGCCAAAACAATGGGAAAGGTAATAGAATTAAAGGTACATAATGTTGATGGGAGCAGGCCATGTTAAGAAGCCATATCTTCAGATTCAGTTCAGCCTGCTTATGGGACACAAACTCATCTATTTGTCTTGAATAGTTTATCATGGATACATGTTTCTGTTGAGGACATAAGGGATATTTCTAACATATTTTTATGAGCGGGGCCTATTGATAGGCTGAGATCATCAGCTGACACTCTCAGCCTATCAGCGGAGCTCAGTCAGAGCCTTCTGTTTTAAAGCTTTGGACCATCACTGGAAGAAGAGGGGCATAGCCAAGGGTCATTATTTCTCAACTTTTCTGCTAAATTAATTGTGAATAGTTTAACCCCTCAAGGTGGCACTGAGGACATCCTGGCACCTTAACAACGCCTTTGAACTGAAGTTGTTATGATGCATTGAGTATTCCTTTAAATATATACATATCCAATGGAAATTGTGGTCAACTGTTATGGGGTGTTGTGTGGACCATAGTAAGAAGTTTGAAGGATATACAATCCTTGAGTTAGCCTGAGATGTGATCATACTGTCTGTGGCCCCGACTGGGTACCTCCACCAAACCCGTTTCCTAGTTATCAGTACTTCAGCCCCTAGCCGCTGCAGCTTGGCTGGGGTCTTGCTGTTACTTCCCACCCTGGCACGTGGTCCTGGAACCAACTTCCAGTAATCAAAGCTCTCCTGCAGAGAGTATAGCTGTGTAGTAGTTATAGCATCCCCCCACACATTAGTTGAGACTTAATGCTGGGAGTAGATCTGTCTAATTATTTTTATTATTTTATTATTTATATAGTGCCAGCAAATTCTGTTTAATGCAGGCAAGCACTCACAATGTATGCACACAGTAAACTCCTCCTCTGTGCCTGAGAGATAATTGAGTCAGGAACTGTACAAACTCAAATATCTCCAGGTACAGAAAAATACAACAATTTTACGACACTCCAAAAGTACCCCCAAAATACATTGAACCCCATCAAGAGTCACATCCTGGATAGCCCTGATCTGAGCACCTAACATATCCATAAAGCACCCAGACCAGTTCTGTGGTTTAGATTTTCCATCGAGCAAAACCTTTGACCAACCGCACATGTGGCTTCTGCCAAAAATAGTTCCATAAGAAAAGTAGCAGTCGGTCACTTTCCGGAGTCCAAAACCAAATAAAATACCTAACTAATCCTCTGGCTCCTATGTAAAGATTGTTCGCCTAGTTCATGCGAACAATCCTACCAAACGACGCTCTCCTGACATGAATGGAAATGAAGCAGGCATTCGTCAAAGTTCAGCGGTGTTCGCAAGTTAGTGTCCGATTGTAGTTCCATGCACTCGATGACCAAACACCACTGCCCACATTCGTGCAACAAGATGGCTGCCAACTCAGTTCCCATGTGTTCGTGCATACGAACGGTGGCCACCCAGCCGAACACTTAGCATTCATAGTGTGAAAATTATAATGGAGGTGTCAGGAGAGGTTAATAGGAGTTAACAAGCCCAGAGGTGGTCCACAATTCGTGCATTTCTCAAATTAAAAGGGAAATCACACGAACCAAGTGTTTGAAAGGTCGGATACATGGCCCATAGTCCTTGGGCAGGAGGCTAGGCAGCAGGCTCCTCCAGGAGCTCGTGGCAGAGGCATCTTTGCCACACTGTCATTAATCTGTAGTTATGTACATAGCTGTATATTTTATTGTCAGTAGGAGTGAGAAAAGGTTGCCTGGCACACTTACATACAAGGCATTGTAGTGATATAGGCACAGCATTACTTTAGGGTAATTTATGGTGTCTTAGTGCCCAGCTGATATGCTATACAGGGTTATCATTTTAGTTAAAGCTTCTATGTATAGTTTGAGAAATTGATAAAGGGTAAATAGGGTCAGAGACTTTGCCTGACATCAACCTTGGTTCTTCTGTTGCATCACTGGTTGATGTAGACTGTTAAATTGTCTTTATGATCATAAGATCAATTATGCTAGTACTGAGCTACATGAGATTTGCTGTTAATAATTTATGAATATCCTTGAACACTATTGTGATGGTTGCCGCATGTCTTCTGTGAACCATAAATACTCCAATGTAATGCTGACAGTGTGTAGGTATAAGTGTGGGTCTGTTTGATTCAAATGTTAAACAGTACAAGTAGTGGTGAGGATCCTTACAGTACAGTGCATGTTCCCTCAATGTTTGGCAAAACGCTGTCAACCATCTTCACCTTGTGGGTTTGGTTGGTCAGGAATCCCCTCTTGTACTAGATCCCTGAGACCTGTGCATCCATGGTGATCATGATGCAGGAAAGTGCTTGTAAAAAGTTTGACAGACTATTTAAATAGAGATGTAAGTGTTTTTTACATAATCAACCGCATGCTACTTATCAGTATATAAAAATATATATATATATATATATATATATATACATATTCTAACTCTTTTTTGAAACTTGAGACTTGATAATTTGATAATATTCCCAGGAATATTTTATACAAAATCACATTTTTCGCAATATAATTCTGACTTGATACATAATATTCTCCTCACACTTGCAAACATTCATCAAGAGGGCACCATCAGTAAAATGATGTTGAATGATATGATTTGATTGCTTCTACATGACTGATATTACAAGTAAAACAGAGTCAAATAAAATAAAAGCTAAATTTCACAATATTTGCCCCTGAGGAGAGGGTGACCCAGATGTTATATTAACGTATTTGACCACTTTCTGTTCTCACAACAGGATTAACTTTAAGGTGACCTTAGGCAGTAGCCACAGTCCAGGGGTAAGACAGGCGCCGTGGACCCATTCAAAATGTCTTTGCGAAGAATAAAAGAGAGACCTAAACTATTAACCTACCCATGTGCATCTGGTGTCTGAATTCTTCTCTGTCTAATCTGTACAGCCAAGCTTCTTTAACTGAGTCATAGCCTTGGTGTGATAAATATCCTAACATTTATGCCATATGGCTGTTTATTTTATTCATGCATATACCAACTAACTATTTGATACATTGATAGATACATGATCCATGCTTGACTACAAGTCAATTTAATTGTTTTCTACCAATACTATCTTTTGTATTACCTGAAAAGGCAGGCAACTTTGCAATCATAGCTAGAACCATGGGACCAATGGAGGTCCAACAAGTCTATCTTGTCATGGTGCTCTAGATCTGGGAGGTCTATACCTCTGGAGGATGAAAGAAACAATGAAGAAAAATATCTGGTGCTTTTCATAGATAGTATGTAATGGGTACAGAAATAAAGGTCTCAAATTATTTTTGCAAAAGCATGTCTACCTTACCCATAGTACAGAGTGAATGTTATGTTGAGCAAAATGTCCTTAGGTAGAACATGATGGAAGTACACAAAATAAGTCAATTATGAAAACAAGTTTGGATCTCACTAAATTCAAAAGAAATGTAATTACAACTGAGATTCTGTGGCTGCATGCCATCCAAACAATATTGTTATTGTTTTACAAATAGTATAATTTTGCACAACTTCCAGTTATTATTATAATAACCATTGTGTGCATATAAATAAGATGGAAATGCAAATAAATAAAAGTATTTAAACATATTCTCTTTCATCATTAATTCAACACTGATTGACTGTCACAGAACTGCCGCAATATGTTCTTTACACAAATAAAATAAAAAGTTGTTTTAATGCTTATGCACGTTACAGAGTTTACATGCTTATCAGTATTGGTAAATGTAAGTATGATGGAAGGGGGTTCAGACTATGTATAGTGGGTATTTATCAAGGCTAACCAGGTGCTATTTTGGGTGTAAACTGCTAAGTACTGTGATACAGTTCATTGGTTTCCATGGTGATTGCTCCTTATTAAGCTGTTTGTCCAGGGCCGTCTTGGGGGGCCCGAGGCACCTGCCCCGTGGGCCCCGCTGACCCCGGCGGTCGGGCAGGAAGGCGGGCGCGCGAGGGAGCACTCACTGCTTCCTCTTCAGCTCCCTCGCGCACCGCACTGATGCCGGAGCCGGAAGATGACGTCAGCGGCGCGCGAGGGAGCTGAAGAGGAAGCAGCGAGTGCTCCCTCGCGCGCCTTCCTGCCCGACCGGCCACCCGCAGCCCCAGCCCCTGGACCCCAGGGAATCCCCCCAGCACTCCAAAAGGTAAGGAGGCTGGGGGGATTACATTTTAAAAAAAAAATGTGTGTTAGTGTATGTGTGTGTGTCAGCATGTCTGTGTGTGTGTCAGTATGTCTGTGTGTGTGTCAGTATGTCTGTCTGTGTGTCAGTATATATGTGTGTATATATCTGTGTGTGTGTGTGTCAGTATGTATGTCTGTCAGTGCATGTGTATGCATGTGTCAGTATATCTGTCTGTGTGCCAGTATGTCTGTGTGTGTGTGTGTCAGTATATCAGTCTGTGTGTGTCAGTGTATGTGCCTGTGTGTGTGTGTCAGTATTTCTCAGTGTATGTGGGTGTCAGTATATCTGTCAGTGTGTGGGTGTCAGTATTTCTGTCAGTGTATGTGTGTCAGTATGTTGGTCAGTGTATGTGTCTGTGTGTGTGTGTCAGTATGTCGGTATATGTGTCTGTGTGTCAGTATGTCTGTATATGTGCCTGTGTCAGTATGTCTGTCAGTACGTCTACCAGTGTATGTGTCTGTGTGTGTGTCAATATATGTACCTGTGTCAGTGTGTCTGTCAGTGTATGTGCCTGTTTATCTGTATGTAGTCAGTGTATGTATCTGTGTATCTGCTTGTGCGTCAGAGTGTGTACCTGTGCATCTGAGCCGCAACTTTAAATACAAATACACCCCTCCATTCAAACTTCAACACTACATATAAAACACACTCCTGCATTGAAACGTCAACACTACATACAAGCACACTCCTACATTCAAAAACAAACACTACACATAAATGCACACTTGCATTCAAACTCCAGTACCACATACAAACACATTCACACAAACATACTCCATACAAACACATGCTTACATTCAAACATACTAACATGGCTCAGTGCTAAATACAACCCTGCAAGCATGGGAAATTGGTAGAATCCCAGCTGTCAAAGCATTGTTGGAGTTGCACGACAGATGGGGTTCTACCTTTAGTCCAACCTTGCAATTGGGGGTCCCAATAAAATTCATTCTACTTTAGTACCGCCACTGCGTTGGGATGGATGCCGTGATTGCATACCAGGGAGTGAGGGGCGAGAGCGGCAGGGCACAGGGGGCCCAAGCAAACACTTGCCCAGGGTCCATTCGTTATTAAAGACGGCCCTGTGTTTGTCCCAACTTATTTGCCTTGATAACCCCCACTCCTGTGTGTTTAGGCATAAGAGAGGGTGGTAAAACGAATTAAAGAGAGAAATGAAAAATTGGTGGTTATTATTATTATTATTTTATTATTTATATAGCGCCAGCAAATTCCGTAGCGCTGTCATAAAGGTATATAGTCAAATCGAGATCTTTCTAGAGAGTTTCAATAAACAATAATTATATCAATCCACATACTTTATGCAGAGATTCACACATAATCTGTGAGAATTCCTTACACGTCTGTTCACAGAGCCCTATACTGCATACAGATCCCCATTTATTTTCCAAAATGCAGGAGGGGGTTGGGGACTGAGTATCTCATTATTTCATTGCTTGTTTCTCTGATGGAGAGCTGGAAGCTCATAAGTAGGAGCTTCTGTTAGCACTCCTGACCTTCAGTTGATTGCTCTCAGACAATGAGCTAGACCTTGCACTGCTGAGCTTAGCTCACACAAAATGCTTCCTGGTCCCTGTCCAAAGTAGTGGAGAGTGGTAAGGGTGTGCTGTGGTGATTCGAGTGCATGGGGTGTTCCTTTAATCAGCCTGCCATATTTCACTGTTTAGTAAAGCTTTAAAATAGTAGGTGAATTTTTAAATGGAAATCTAAAATACAGTAAACTTTACACTGGTTAATATTCACCTTTTAAACATACTTATGAAATATGCTGAGGATGCAAACGGTAGGTTCAGGCTTCCCACACTCAGGGTCAACCATATTCAACATGAGCTTCCCCACTGTTCAAATCCAGTGAGCCTGGTTTCCACAGTTACCATTGTGGTAAATCATGCTCTACATTTTAGTTCAGAACTAAATATGAATATTAATACTAGCACAGTGTGTTGAGCTAGTAGTGGTAGGCTTTATGCCAATGAAAATGTGAGCGATCTTTTGAAATGGAGGAATGATGACGATAATGACTTCACCACATGTCTGGCATCTGCCGGAGGTGGTGGTGATCATGGACTGAGTAGGCTTTTTGTTTTACTTCTGACATTGATTAGGATTTAATGGGAATAGGAACAAGTCTGTTGTTTCTTCTCAGCATTTTACAGGTCAGTTTTTAGCTTTTTTAGAATAGTTGCATGATGTACTGACACAAGGCAATCTGGTGGATTTTTCATCCATTAACATTTCAATTAAATTCAACTGCTATTTTTACAATATTTTTTCAGAATCATGTAAGGGATACATTATATTAAAGGTAATATGTGTGCCCTCAAACACTTGAAAACTTAGAATTATATGTCTAAAAATATGTGCAACTATTAGCTCTGTAGTATTTCGTCAAAACCAAATGACGCAGATTAAATCAAGTCCCTTTTTAGGTGTTTATAGCCCTAGCATAGACAGCAGTCCAAGACCATGCAACTAGGTTTCTGACAGGAATTATAGGAAACAAAAATAAGGCAGTTGTTACATTGAACACTTTTCTTCCTGGCTATTCCACTTTCCCTTCTCTAGCACTCCTTCCCTAATACTTGAGGATTTTAACATCCCAATCAACAACCTCAGCTGTCCTGATGCCTCCCATCTTCTCTCTGTAACCTCCTCCTTCGGGCTCACACAGTGGTCTACTTCATCAACTCATACAGCAGAAAACACTAGTGACCTCATCTCCACCAATCTCTGCACCACCTTTAATCTCTCCGTTGTTCCATTTCCTTTGTCTGACCACCATCTGCTGATCTTTGACATCGGCACACCCCTTACCCAAATTACACCATGCTCACCACATCTGTCTTGACCTACAGTGATTCTCCACCAACCACCAAAGTCTCCTTTTACCCATCTCAAATCTCACTTGCCCTAACTCTGCAACCTCTCTCTGCAACTCCATTCTCTCCTCTCAACTAGACATCATGGCACCTCCTACATTTAAACGCAGTAAGCGTTCCCTATTAAAACCCTGGCACACCAAGCTGACCCAATACCTCCAAAAAAGTCTCACTCTGCACCTGTCTTCCTCCACTATAAATTTATGCTGTGCTCCTACAGTCTGGCTCCTTCCTCTGCAAAAATAAATTACTTCAACACCCTCATACGCACACTGACCCATCAACCCAAATGCCTATTCACACTTTTAATGTTCTTCTTCGCCCTGTTGCTCCCCCTCCTCCTACCATCTTGTCAGCCTCAAACTTTGCAACTCACTTCACAGAGAAGATTTCTACGATCAGGGAAGAGATCTTTAATCTCTCTCCCTCTCCTACCAATACATCACCCAACCCCACTCCCTCCACTGTTATATGCTCATTTACACCTGCTACAGCAGAAGAGGTTTCTGCTCTGCTCCTGTCCTCTTGCCCCACCACCTGTTCCCTCGATCCTATTCCATCTTATCTCATCCGCACTCTGTCTCCCTCTCTTGCTATCCTTTCACTAAAATGTACAATCTCTCCTTTTCCTCAGGCACTTTTTATTCACCTTCATCCTTAAAGCATCCAACCATAACCCCAACTTCCCATCCAACTGCCCTATATCGCTACAGCAATTTGCCTCCAAGATCCTTGAGAATGTTGTGTATGAGAGATTCACAGACTTCGAGTCCAACTCTCTGCTTGACCTGTTTCAGTCTAGATTCCGCGCTCGTCACTCTGTTCAAATGGCTGTGACCAAAGTATCAAATGATTTAATCGCTGCTAAATCTCACAACCATTACTCTATCCTAATTCTCCTTGATCTTTCTGCTGCCTTTGACACTGTTGATTATCAACAGCTTCTTCTCATTCTCCGTAATCTCGGTCTACAGGATACTGTTCTCTCCTGGTGCTCCTCCAACCTCTCCCAGTGCTTTTTCAGTGTTTCTTTCTCTGGCCTGGCCTCTTCTCCCCAACCCCTCTCTGTTGGCATTCCCCAAGGGTTTGTCCCTGGTGCACTACTGTTCTCTATCTATACCGCCTCCCTTGGTAAACTCATCCGCTCCTTTGGCTTCCATTATCATTTATATGCAAATGACACGCAAATCTACCCATCCTCTCATGATCTCTCTGCCCATCTTGACTCGTGTCTCTGTCTGCCTCTCTGCAATTTCCAACTGGATGCTGGCTCACTTCCTTAAACTCAACCTGTTAAAAACAAAACTTGTGGTCTATCTAGCCTCACGAATGCTACTCCTTTATCTGTCTCCCTCTAAGTCAACAGTGCCACCATCACCTCTACCTCGCAGGCTCGCTGCCTGGCTGTTCTTTTTGACTTCCTTCTCCCCTCATGTCCAAATCCCGCCACTTCCATCTCAAAAACATAGCTCGCATCTGCCCCTATATATCTCCGGACAGGGCTAAGGTGCTGGTCCATGCCATTGTTCTCTTTCGCCTTGACTACAGTGGTCTTACATATTCCCAGTTTGCACCGCTGTAATCCCCTCTGTCAGTCCCTACATTGGTTTCCAGTTAGATATAGGTCTCAATTTAAGATTCTGGTGCTTGCTTACAAGTCCCTACATAATGCTGCTCTAACCTACCTATCCTCCCTAATACACAAGTATGTCCCATCTAGGCCCCTGCGCTCTACCGTGTGTGTACTTCCACCTCTGATGCTCGCCTTCAAGACTTTTCCAGGGTTGCACTTTTTCTGTTGAACTCCCTTCCCTTCTCCATTAGATTTTTCACCCAGTCTCCACTCCTTCAAAAAATTATTTAAAAACACACTTCTTCAGGAAAGCATATCAATTAAACGGTTAGCAGGTTTTGATCCCCCCCCATTAATCATCTCCTGCAACTGTCAAAAATAACCTACTAAGCACTCTAGCAACCTACTTTGTTGCCCCTACTTATACCCATTGTGTCACTATACCACACTTCCGCTAGCATGTAAGCTCATTGAGAGGGCCCTCAACCCCTCTGTTCCTATGTGTCCACTTGTCTGGTTACAATTACGTGTCTGTTAATCCACCCATTGTACAGCACTATGGAATTTCCTGGCGCTATATAAATAATATAATAATAATAATAAAGCTGACCGTAGGAGACATAACATATTTCCCTTCCACAGAAGTGTCCAGTTTAATTAATTTCTAATTGTTCAAGTTCAAAGAGTAGTTTGCAGTTTTTCTTTGTATGGTTTGTATGGCCCATTGCGACTCCTTTGCTACATGGACAGCACCAAATTTTTGGTTTATATTTTAGGTACTTCAAGGCAAAGAATCCTTAGACATAAGTCCCTCTCAAAAAATTACTTGATGCATGGATGCAATGGAGTACATCTCTCTTCGTCCCTCTGCAAACAAACAAAAAACAGTAATAAATATATCATGTAGCAAACTGAAAAGTATGTGAAAAATATCTCAAAGGAAAAAATGCACATTTTTATTCCGGTTAGGGTAGGAAAAATGTGGAATCCCTAACTATTTACAATTGGGTGGGCACCAGGGTACTCCTGTACTGGTTAATGGTCCTTTAATGAATTGTTAAATTGCCATTTTTCTAATCAACAATTTTGTCCTAAATTGTACAATTTAGGTTTAATGCATTCCTTGAATATCAATTATTGTTAGCTAAACAAACATTCCACATATCCATTCCACTCCCACCCTGGCCTGTATATCACCTTTACTATCTCAACAATTACTCAATAACTTCCAGATAAGGTATTGCTAGCTGCACTGAAAGCAGCATTGAGCACAATGTGACATTATACATACAATAGGATTTTTCAAAGCACATGACTACTCTTTGACACTTAGGGCTGTAATCCACTAGATAATATAAATATTGCTTACCATAAATTTCCCTTTCCCTAGGATTGTAGGCAGTACTTACAGTCAAATATGTAGAAATAAACAAATAAAAGAGGCACTAACTAATGTGTTATAAACAAAGTTCAAAAGTATGCAAAATTGTGCTAAAATGCTGCACCTATAAAGTGCAACAGCCCAATAATTGTACACTAATACAAACTAATATATATACCCATATTTATTATTATTATTTTTTATTTATTTTTTTTAATTTGTATTACTTACAGTCACCTCTTTCCAGGACAGGCAGAACACTAAGTGAATGTTTCTACGACTGAAAGGAATACTTTGGAGAGAGTTCAGAGAAGGGCTACTAAACAGATTAATTGACTGCAGGATTAAACTTCCCAGGAAAGGTTAAATGATCTTCACATGTATAGTTTGGAGGCAAGACGAGAAAGGGGGGATATGAAACATTTAAATACACAAAGGGAATCAACACAGTAAAGGAGGAGACTATGTTTAAAAGAAGAAAAACTACCACAACAAGAGGACATAGTCTTAAAGGACATAGGGTCAAGAACAAACCTGTATTCCTGACTATAGTGTTAAAAACACCATCTAGGGAGCAGAGTTGGGACACTAAAGGAGAAAGTTGCATGTGGCTGGAGCTCCTTGGGGAATACTGCTTAATAAGCCAAATCTGGAACAGTTTAATTTACTTTGCCCAACATGCATTATCTTGCACTTATCCACATTAAAGGGACACTCCAGGCACCCAGACCACTTCTGCCCATTGGAGTGGTCTGGGTGCCAACTCCCACGACCCTTACCCCTGCAAGTGTAATTAGTGCAGTTTTTCATAAACTGCACTAATTGCCTAACAGGGTTAAGTCCTCCTCTAGTGGCTGTATATGAGAGTGAGACAGCCACTAGAGAAGCTTCCGGGTTCTTAAAACACTTTTAGTGTTTTAAGAGATGCTGGACGTCCTCACGCATTGCATGAGGACCTCCAGCATTGCCGGAATCCCCATAGGAAAGCATTGAATAATGCTTTCCTATGGGGTGGTGTAATGCGTGCGAGTGGCCATTGCCACGCATGTGCATTAGGTCTCCCCGCCGTCTTACGTCGGCGGGGGAGGAGAGTTGGCGGAGCCTGACCCAGTGCCGAGGGACATCGGCGCTGGATACAAGTAAGTCACTGAAGGGGTTTTAACCCTCTCAGCAACCTGGGATGGGAGGTGGTAAGGAGAGGGGTCCTGCAGTGCCAGGAAAACGGTTTGTTTTCCTGGCACTGGAGAGTCCCTTTAAATGTCAGCTGCCAAAGCTCTGATGATTTTTGTAATTTACCTAAATTATTTGCCATTTGGCTTATCCCTCTTGGAACATCAACCCTGTTACATATCTTAGTATCATTAGCAAAAGGACATACCTTACCATCAAGACCTTCTGCAATATCACTAATAAAAATATTAAAGAGAATGGGTCCCTGAGGTACCCCACTGGTGACAAGCCCATGCTTCGAATATACTCCATTGACTACAACTATCTGTTGCCTGTCACTCAGCCACTGCCTTAGCGGTTCAACAATATTGGAATCCAAACTTAAAGATTGCAGTTTATTGATAAGCCTTCTATGTGCAACAGTGTCAAAAGCCTTACTGAAATCTAGGTAAGCAATGTCTACTGCACCATCATGATCTATTATTTTAGTTACCCTCAAAAAAATCAATAAGATTAGTTTGGCATGATCTCCCTGAAGTAAACCCATGTTGTCTCTGATCTTGAAATCCATGTGTTTTTAGATGTTCAACAATCCTATCCTTTAACATGGTTTCCATCACTTTCCCCACTACTGAAGTAAGGCTTACTGGCTTATAGATGATCGACTCCTCCCTACTACCTTTCTTGTGAATGGGCACAACATTTGCTATCTTCCAATCTTCTGGGACTACTCCTGTTAACAAAGATTGGTTAAATAAATATGTTTATGGTTTTACTAGTACACCACTAAGCTCTTTTAATAACTTAGTAGCCATTGTGTCTCTCTTACACTCATGGACAACCAGATTGAATATGAGCTTGCCCACAGTTCACGCCAAGCAGGCATTGTTTCCACACTTATCATGCATTTTATTTTCCATTGTGAGAAATCATGCTCTACATTTTAGTTCAGAACTAAATATGAATATTAATACTAGCACAGTGTGTTGAGCTCTGAGATGCAGTGGTAGGCTTTATGCCAATGAAAATGTGAGCAAGCTTTTGAAATGGAGACATGATGACGATAATGGCTTCACCACATGTCTGGCATCTGCCGGAGGTGGTGGTGATCATGGACTGAGTAGGCTTTTTGTTTTACTTCTGACATTGATTAGGATTTAATGGGAATAGGAACAAGTCTGGTTTTTATTTCTTCTCCACATATTACAGCACAGTTTTTATCTTATTTAGAATAGTTGCACAATATACTGACATATGGTAATGTGGTGGTTTCTTCATCCATTACCATTTCAATAAAGTTCACCAACTATCTTTACAATGCTTTCCCCCCATAATTATGTAAAGGATACTTTATAGTAAAGGTAATACTCTATGTGTGCCCTCAAACACTTGACACTGTAAACCTATGTAATTCTAATGGATTATCATGGTTATTCACATAAGTCTGAATGGCTCTGTACTGTACTGTTCTGAATGGGGGGGCGGGGGGATGTAACATCGCTGCAATCTTGGAATTTCTGTGGGAAAAGCAAGTCTTATGGCTTGACTGGTGTGCAGAATTTTGTTTAACATTGTATTAATTATCCACAGACTTCAGGTGGAAGGGGGTTTCAATCACAATTTTTCCCCACCATAACCTATTTGGATTTTGCTGTATATATATATATAAATATATATTGTGTTTTTGTGTATGTTTTGTTAGTGTGCATGTAAGGAATATATTAGGTGTGTGTTGGAGATATATAATGACATAGGGGATGCCGTGTCTGTGTGAGTGCTTTTGGATCCAGTTTGTGTGTGCTGGGGATGTAGTTTGTATGTGTGATAGAGATGCAGTGTGTGTGTTTGTGCTTGAGTGCAATTTGTCTATTTGTATGCTGGAGATGAAGTGTGTGTCATTTCAGGGGATGAAGTGTGTCTGTGCGTGTGTTGGGGATGTAGTGTGTGTGTGTGTTGTGGGTGCAATGTATCTGTGTGTGCGCTGGGTATGCAGTGTGTGTGGGTGTGTGTGTGTATGCTGGGGATACATAATATGTGACTGTGTGTATGATGGTGATTGGCTTCCAATGAGCAGCACATTGTGTGTGCACTGTAGCCAATCAATGCACTTTTACTTGCTGTATCCGCTACGCAGTGGTGTGGCTTCTAGTTGGAGTGACTCCCAGCGGCCTTGCTTTTTTTTTTTTATCATTTTCTTTACAATAAATGTAAATACATATCTCCCGTCATATATTCTTGACTTAACTTTATCATATTTATTGATATTAATCCTACCATCTCTTATCCTTTTTAAATCAAAACCCATCTTGTACTCAAGCTTGTCCTTCATATCTACTGATATACATAAATTCATTTATACATACACCCATGCGTGTATACAAATATCAACATATACGTGCACCTGTTCATATATACTTTTACTTTTCCCTTCCTTCCCTTTCTCTCATCTCTTCCCACTCCTTCCTCTTTCCTTCCCTTCCTTTCCTTTATACTTTATATATTTTTTTCACCTCTGGACAAATAGGCCACAATTTAGTATGAGTATGTTCTTTACCAGTAACACTGTAAGCTATTAATTCAAACTGAAAAGTGTTGTCTACTCTTTCCAAGACTTCTTTCAAAGAGGGGGGGCATGTTTTTTTTCCATTGAGCCGCAATACTAATTTTCGCAGCCACTAAAAGATTAAGATTCACAACCCTATGTGGCAGATCAGCTAGAGAAGGGATTAAATGAAGTAGCATTCTGGCTGAAAAGGATTTTTTTCCCTTTTTTTTTAATTTTATTTTTTACTTTACTAATAGTTTTCCAAAATGGTTTTAGCCTAGAACACTCCCAAAAAATATGTTTTAAGGACCCTATTTCACCTAAACATCTCCAACATACCGGTGATATCTGAACATGCATACATGCCAATCTGATAAGTACCATCTGATAAGTATTTTACAAAAAGCGTCCCACTGAGATAAGCTATGGGGTGCTGTTTTTGTTATCTTAATAGTCTGTAACCATTGGGAAATAGGGAAGGCTTTACCCAACTCTTCTTCCCATTTTGTAATATGGTTTGGTTTAACCTCATTCCACAATTCTGAGAACGCATTATAACATAAAGATAATAGTTTACTCTTTTTGTTTTCCCCATATAGGGATGGCCAAAGGAAGTTATATCAGAGATATTATTTGCATATAAGTCTCTAGAAATAATAATATTTTTAAGATGCATGAATAATTCTTTAGGTGATAAGTGGAATTGTTCCTGCAGATCTTAAAAAGACTTAATTCCTTTTTCATCGCGTCAGACTTATTTTATCTGTTCCTTTCCCAACCCATGATTCCACTGAAAGATCTGCAGTTGTAGAAGGTGATGTAAGCATTTGTAAAAGGGCTAATGATAAGAGATTAACCATACCCATAAGAGTAGGAGCCCATTTTTTCCAACATTGAAGCATATATCTAGAGCAAGAAAGTATTAAAGTTTTAATAGAAGCTGGTATCATAGTTTATTTTTTTTTGTAAATCTGTTTTTATTGAAGATTTTGACAATAGATACATATAACAGTAGGGTATATCAGGTGGGACACGCAGGTCACCATCATAGCAAGATCATGAGCATTACGTTTGTGTGACATACATGCTCGTGAGGTTCTCATGTGTAGCTAGTGTATCTCTCTGAGTGTTTTAGCCTGTGGCCTCTGCTTGTAGATTCCCACATGACCTCTTTCCACCCCCGTAGGTGTTATGGAGTTTGTCACCGTTTTCCTGGACTGATTTCATGAATTTTCCCATGTTTTGGACCTAAGGCCCCCCCCATATAAATTTGGAGCTGCGTCAATCCTGTTAGGGTGTGGTCCTATTCTGTCTCATCGGTTATGCCTGACCGTTGGCTCTGATTGAGGTATAATTGTCGTCTTCATTTTAGGTAAGGTGAGGTGTAGGGGGGTGTGAGTAGTGTTGTGTGTGATCAATAGTGTTGTGGCTGTGTTTATGATCATTGACAGTTTCGCGTTCAATGTGTTATGGGTTATAGCCATGTGTATTGCGTGTCTTGTGGGGTGCCAATGAACTTGTTGAGTGAGCAGTTGTCCTTGGTTGTTTCTCCTTTTTCTCTTGTGAGCATTGTGGTGGTTGAGTGTTGACAAAGTGCCATCTATTTTCCATGGTGGTGTACTCTCTCTGCTCCTGATTTATGGTTGTGTTGGGGGGGAGGGAGGGAGAAGGAAAGGATAAGTGTTGGGGGGGGGTTGTTAGTGAGAGTTCCGTGTTACGGGGGACCCTGGCTCGTCCGCACATCCACCCCGGCTCCGCGAGCATCCCCACCCCGTGAGTGTCGGCGATATATATACAAAGCACAGTTGCCACATTTCCACGTGTTAGTTTCTCTGCCTGTTAGGGAGTCATGAAGTGCCTCCGCGCTCTGTATGTATTCCACTCTCTGGATCCATTCCTTTTTCGTTGGGATGTTGGTTGTTTTCCAGTAGGCTGGTATTGACGCTTTAGCCGCATTCAAGAGGTGTCGAAGTATTGATTTTTTTAAAGCTCGAGATCGTTTGTTGAGAGATATGTAGGAGGGCGAGTTCTGCAGACCACTCTGGGACATCCCCCAGCACCAGAGTCACCTCAGTTTTTACCATGTCCCAATATGGGAGTATGTCGCGGCATTCCCACCATATATGTAGTAGTGTGCCTCTGTCCTCCTGGCATCTCCAGCACGTTGGTGGCACTGCCAGGAAAATCCGATGTATTACGGTCGGTGTTCTATACCAGAGGGATAGCAGCTTGTAATTTACCTCCTGGTAGTAGGAACTCATGGAGTTTTGTGTTGCCATATCAGAGCTTTATCTTACCCAGATAAATGTCTTACCCAGGGATTCCTCCCATTGTCTCTGGAAGGTGGTATTGTTTGTTTGGGTATCCGTTATTAGTTGTTGGAATAGCGTTGAAACTGCATGGTTCAGTCTGGTTCCTTGTTCACATAGTCCCTCGAACCATGTTAATTCCCTGTGTAGGCACTCTTAATGTGTGAGCGTGATGTAATATCGTTTCAGTTGTATGTATCTGAGAGTAGTCATGATGGTCTTTGGTCTACCCTTCAGTAGCGATTCTAAGTCTCGTATTCCACCAGCTCGTAGAGCTCTGCTTACTGGGATATATTCCCCTTCTCCCAGGAAGCTCCAGCCCTCACCTATTTTACTATTGTGCGTAACCGGGAGCATTGGGCTAGGTGTGGGCGAGATGTACGACTTTTACCTCAGCGATTTCCATCCACATAATGTTTGTGTGACTGATCCCACATTATCCTCCCTTTTCTGGGGTTGCAGGCCTCCCTCCCAAACCATCAACTCCAAGGTCCCCTCCGTGGCTTCTCTGTCTAGCGTCACCCAATGTTTGTGTGGGGGGTTCATGTGCCAGTCTAGGATACGCTGTAGTACCGTGGCCTGATGGTATTTTCGGAAGTCCGGTAATGCTAGTCTAGGTAGGCACAGTATGTTGTGTCTTAGTCTAGATCGTTCCCCTCGCCACGTAAAGCGTATGACTGCCATTTTCAGTGAGCAAAAGAAGTTTGCTGGAGGGGTGAGGGGTATGGTCTGCAGGAGGTATAGAACCCTGGGGAGCACGTTCATTTTAGATTCCCAGATATTTAATTTTGCCATGGCACCACTTGAAGTCGAATTCCGATCCCAGCTCCAAGTATTCTGATGTGGGTAGCCTGAGGTTCAGCACCTCGTATTTTGATAGATTGAGCTTTAAACCTGATATTTTGCCGTAGCGTTCGAACTCCTCTAGGAGGTTTGGTATAGTTATTCTAGGGTGTTTGATAAAGAAGAGCAAGTCATCGGCGTATGCCGCAACTTTATGAGTCGTTCCCCGTCCGTCATGTCCCTGTATGTTTGGATTCAAGCAGATCGCTTGCAGGAGAGGTTCCAGGGACAGGGCGAATAATAGTGGGGAGAGGGGGCATCCCTGCCGTGTTCCATTGCTGATCGCGAAGTCCGCTGTCCGGGCTCCGTTGACCCGCACCGAAGCCCGCGGAGTGCTATACATGGCAGATATCCAGGTGAGGAGCGTCTGTCCCATGCCCATCTCTTTTAGCATGGCTATCATATACTGCCAGTTGACTCGGTCAAACGCCTTCTCTGCGTCAGTTGATAACAGCAAAAGGCGCCCTCCCGTCTTCCTCGCCCGGTGTTGAATGGAGAAGAGTCGTAAGGTGCTATGCCGTGCCCGACGACCGGGGATGAAGCCCGTCTGGTCCGTGTGGATTAGATTCGGGAGGTATGGTTGTATCCTACTTCACCTTTGTGAATAATTTCGTTTCGACATTTAGGAGGGATATTGGGCAATAGCTACTGCAGCACATTGGGTCCTTTCCCGATTTGAGTATGATGGTTATCATCGCGGATAGGGATTCTGGTTCGAGTTGCAAGACGTAGTTTGCATATTTGCATTCGGGGCACATTGCCCTTCAGAAGTCGGGCCAAGTATCTACCCCCTTTATTAGCATGGGCATAGAAAAAGCCCTTTGAGCTTTGTAAGTAGCGAAGATGTTTTTTCACTATGAGGTCCTTCAGTGTCTCCGTATACTTAGTGTAGTTGGTTTCAATTATGTTGTAACTCCAGGGTCGAGATGGACTTATAGAGAGCTGCCATTTCCTGAGATGCCTCTTTCTTCTTTCTGGAGGCGATGCGGATGAGCGATCCCCGGATTACGCTTTTATGTGCTTCCCATAAGGTGATGGGCGACATCCCCTCATGGTCATTCTCCCTGAAATAATTGTCTATGTCTTGTCCGATTTGCTCATGTGTGACCAGGTCTATTAGTAGTGCTTCATTAAGTCTCCATGTCCAAGTGGAGGGTCGGAACAGGGGTGACTCTAGTTCCATGCTGACCGGGCTATGGTCTGACCAAGTTGCTGGTTCTATGGTCGCTTTTAGTAAGCGAGAGAGACCCTCTTGTTTAATGAAGAGATAATGAATTCTTGCGTAGCGGTTGTGAAGAGCGGAGTAGTGCGTGAAATCTTTGTCGGATGGGTTGAGGGCTCTCCAGTAATCGGCCAGATCCAAGCTGTTCAGCAAGTTCCGTATGGCTCGGATGCATCGTTGTGGTATACAGCTATGTCCCGAGGCATTAAAGTCCCCCCCCCAATATTAGCACGCCCTCCACAAACTCCCATAGTTTGACCAGTGCTCCTCTCAGGAATGCGGCTTGGCGTCTGTTTGTGACGTATAGCGTTGCAAACGTATATATTTTGTCCGCTAAGAAACCCTTTAGGAAAAGAAAGAACCCCTGTCCATCCTGGGTTTGTGTCAGTTCTTTGAATTCGAGGTCTGCTGCTATCATTATGGCTACTCCGGACTTACAAGCAGTCGGATGGTTGCAGAAGTAGTTGTTCGGGTACGATTTGTTGCGTAACTGGGGGGCTGAGCCTTCCCTGAAGTGCGTTTCTTGGAGCATTGCCACTGTGATATGTTTTTTCTTTAGTTCCCTCAGCAGGTGTGTTCTGCGTTCCGGGATGTTCAGGCCCCTACAGTTGATTGTGAGGACAGACAGTGGCTTGCTACGGTATGTCATGTTTCTTTGTGGTTGTTGGCTCTCACTCTCCAGGAATATGGAGTCTAGCTCCCGCGACAGATGCCTTCAGAACCCGTGACCCCGGCACGGACTTGGGGGGCATGGGTAGGAAGGAGGGTGTTGGGGAGAGATGTGTGCTGGGGTGCGTGTGTGGTGTGGTGGCTGGTATCAAAGTTGTCCACAAAAATTGATCTGACATATGTTTTATACATGCATTTTTAAAATAAGTCATATTGGTAGTTTAGAACTTATAATAGCTTTTAGTTTCTGTGTAAGTATTGATGCTTTATAATATGTTTGTATACATGGTATACCTAACCCTCCTAAAACATAGGGTTTCCTTGCTAAGTGATGAGCTATCCGTGGAGGTCTCTTTTTCCAAACGTAGGTATTAATAATGAACTGAATTTTCTTACTATACTATTAAGTAATGCTATGGGTATTGTGCGAAAAAGATAGAGCATGTGTGGTATAATCAACATCTTTATTGAAATCATGCGGCCTAATAATGGTACCTCCCTAACCCTCCATTTCTCCATTTGTTGTTCTAATTTATACTTAAGTTTCTTATGGTTTTCCTGAATTAGGAGGCTATTGGTTTGAGCCAGATTAATACCTAAGTACATAAGAGATGTTTTATGCCACTCAAATGTATATATCTCCTTTAAAAGTTGTATTTCATGATTTGATAATCCAATAGGTGAAACTTGTGTTTTTTTACCATTATTTTTATAATGTAAGACTCGATCATATCTTTCAAAGAGTGTGATCAAAGAAGGGTTAGCACTCACTGGCTGAGTTAGAAATAGTAGCACGTCATCCGCAAATAGGGCTGATTTTTGTTCTCACTAAAGGTTCTAAACATAAAATAAAATGTTTGGGTGAAAGAGGGCAACCTTGGCGGGTACCGTTTTTTATATTAAATGATTGGATAAAAAGTCCATATGAAATACCTTTGCAGAAGGGTTTGAGTAAAGTGCTAAAATGCTTTTCATAAACTCTATGGGATCCCCATCTTGCTCAAAGTCACAGTCATATATGTCCAATGTAAGCGATCAAACGCTTTATCAGCGTCTAATGTCATAATTATACTTTGCTGTTTACTCTTATGCGCCCATTTAATGAGATCAATAAAATATCTGGTATAATCACCTACTTGCCTATTTGGCACAAACCCAGCCTGTTCTGTTGAGACAAGATCATCTAATTAAGGCTTAATGCGCGTAGCCAATAATTTGATATATAGTTTTATATCAGCATTTAAAAGCGCTATAGGCCTTAAGTTTGCGCCCTCAATGGGTAGTTTCCCTGGTTCTGGCAACGTCACCACATATGCTTCCATCATTTCCTTTGGTATATTACCTGAATTTTTTATATAATTAAAAAGTACAATAAGGTAAGGTGTTAGAATGGATTCCATTTTAATATATTAATAATTAGAAAACCCATATGGACCTGGTGCTTTTTGTTTTGGAAGGGTTAAGATTGCATTACACACTTCATCTTCTGTAAAATAATTTTTTTAAGACCTTTTTTGCTCCAAATTTATTTCCAACGAAGGAACTTCATCCAAAAAACAGTTAATTTCCTCTGGTGTGGGCTGATATGTTTCTACATCCCCTGTTAAGTTATACAGTTTACTATAGTACAAAGCTAACTCCTCTACAATATCGTTTGGATTGTAAAGTTTCACATTATGGGCAGAAATAATATATGGGATTTAAGTTTGTAAATAGTTCGCTTTTAATTTCCGCGCGAGTAGCTTTCCTGCTTTGTTACCATAGCTGTAATGTGTTTGTTTTAAGGAACGCATTTGTTTCTCAGTTTCTTGTAAAGAAAATATCTGTAATTGTTTTTTACTCTATCCTATCCTTTTAGATAACTTTTTTGAGGGATTCGATTTATTTTGAGATTCTAAAATAGAAAATTCTTGCAACTGTCGTGACCTAGCCGTATCTACTCTCCTTTTATTCAAGGAACCAATTTGAATCAAAATACCTCTTATTACAGCCTTATGAACTATCCACTGCATCGTTACTGAGATTGGGCCTATTAAATTTTCCTGAAAGTATAGTTCTATCATTTCCTTGACTCTTTGTTGATTTATTAGATCATCTAGCAGTGCCTCATTTAGGCGCCATTTACCTCTCCCACGAGCTGGATAAAGTGAATTACAATTGATACATTTCGGCACATGATCTGACCAGGTTCTACTGCCTATATTAACATTGATTATGTTTTTAATTGTATTTTCATCCACTACGCACATATCAATATGTGAATATGTAAGGTGGACCGGAGGAAAAAAACGAGAAATCACTTGCTGTTGGATATAAACTTTGCCAAGTGTCATATAAATCATGCATATAAAATAATTTAGCTAATCTCTTAGCTAATAAAGTTGAAATATGACTAGGATTCTTATTTAGTTGTCGTTTAATGTCTTGTTCTGGGTCCAATGTGCAATTGAAGTCCCCGCAGATAATAAAATAACCTTTTTTCAATAATGCATTTTTTCAAAAGATTTTTAAAAAAATACTGCTTGAGGTTGATTTGGGGCATACAAAGATACTATAGTAATTTCACATCCATTCATAGAACCTACTAATATCAAAAGTCTCCCTATATCATCCCCATATCTTTTCTCTAGCTGAAATAACCAATCTGCATGAAAGAATATAGAAACACCTTTTGTTTTTTGTTGTGAACATACATGAAAAGCTTGAGGGTATTTCTTAGAATTAAAATTGGTTGCATTTATTAAACTAAAATGTGTTTCCTGAAAACAAACGATTGCTGCATTAGATTTGTACATTTCATGCAGTGCTAGTCTTTGTTTGTTTGGGCTATTTAAACCATTAACATTTAATAAAAAAATTTAAAATGGTTCATACAGAAACACCTTAATATTCTTATTGTTCCTCCCACTCACCCCCTTCGTTCCTATCTTCCTTTTCTTTTCCCTTTTTTACCCCGTTTCCTTGAAATAAGGGCTCTATATATTTCCTGCAATACTGTAGAGGTCCAAAAAAAAAAAAAAACCTCAGAATTTGAAAAAAAAAATAGGTATTTACAACAACTCTCATTATTGAGAGTAAAGGTTTGGCTGTATGGGGGTTAAAGAACTGACCCCCCAAATTCCAGCCCTTAGGCACATGTAATTGAACAACGCATGTGGACAACGCCTAGTGGTTAATGTCTATATATATATATATTATTATGCATATTATTATGCATATATATTATTCTCTCAAGACATTTTAAACCTTTTAACCATACAATCATTTAAACATTTAAGTTCTTACTTATGCAACTAATATGTGCCACAAGAGGAAAAACCAAACAACCTCTTTTCTTTTCATCCCCCCTCCTTTCTCCCCCTTCTCATTCCTTCCCTTTTTTCCCATTCTCCCCATATATTATTTTTTATATATTTTTTTCTTTTCCTTCCCTCTCCCTCTTTTTCCCCCTTTCTGCTCCTTTTTCCCTTTATCCCCACTCCCGCCTTTCCTTTCTCCTTTTTTTTATATATTTTTTTTATTTATATATAATTAACACTTATAAGTTGGTATATTTTTTTTTTTTACCAATTATTTGGTTTTCACATTTGGTCATTCAAAGTTCCATTCCTCCAAATCATCAACTTTGTAGGGTAACCCCACTGATATGGAATTTTCTTTTCTCTTTTTTTTGTAATATTCCCAAATTCTCGTCTTAAAGCCATAGTCGTGGCGGATAAATCCGCAAACAAACATATATTCTCATAGGAGCTGGTAATGTTGACAACTTTCTGACAGCGTTTACTAATGACTCTTTAGATTTATAATAGTGAAAGCGGATAATTTTATCACCGGGTGTATCTGCGGGAACATGAAATGGCCGATCTATAGCCCAAGCAGACGCTTCCATCTCTGGCACTATCGTTGAACATAACGTTTGCACATATTCTAAAAGATCACTTTGTGCAACAGCCTTGGGTACCCCCTGAATTCTTAGATTGTTGCGCCGTGAAGGATCCTCGAGGTCTGCTACTTTTTTTTCAGAACAAATTGATCAGCCTCCAGATTTTGCAACTTATCCACAACAATATTCTGTGTTGCATGCATTTCCTCTGACTCCTTTTCAAGCTAATCGATTCTATTTCCCAATTCTGCCAGATCCACATGCAGAGAACCAATAATCTGCTTAAAATATGTTTGTATGGTTATACCAAGCTCCTGTAGCATCCTACTGAAGCTTGCGTGACCAGGCTGTCAGCATTTTCCCCAGCAGCAGTGATTAAGCTGAGCAGGTTAGGTGGTTTGGGAGAGACCGCATCTGTGGCAGGTAACACTGTGTCAGTGCTCATTTGCTCCCTTTGCGCATCCCCTTGTACCTCTGAGCTGGGGGATTCTGGTGGTGATTTTGCGTGTGAGTGTTCTCCAACCTCGTCGCCATCTTGCTGGGGCTTACACTGATCTTTCCTCCCCTGTTGGATTGTATCTGTAAGTTTTGCCTGCTTCGAGGGAGCCATCCTCCATACAGCAGTCCCGGGCAGACCTGTACAGATCTGTTCAACAGTCCGGTGTTCAACCAGCGTACGAGGGAGTTCTCCTCTGGAACTCTCACCGAAGAGAAACCTGTTTTTTGCTTTACACTCAGAGCTGTGCGGACCAAGGTAAGTATCAAAGGGTATCACCAAGGATCTTTTGCCACTTGACGATTCACGCTGCTTCACTCTCCGCTATTTTATAGCAGCTTATACCAGCATTAACTGTAGCTTTTTTTTCGGGCTTGGGCAGTGTAGGATAAAGAGCCCTGCTACATGCGACTGCTCTCACTGGAAGGCAGACATGCCCCAGAGTGGCCTTGGTTTTTACATCCCCACTGCTGCTGGTTCAATCTCGACTTCTTTCACTCCGCACAATACTGTAAGTAACCACTGAAGTCCCAAGATGCGAGGGTAGTAATTTCAGGGCGCCAGAACTTCAGTGGAGATGTGAGCATAGCCCAGAGTTCCCGCCCAACCCAGAACAGCCTCATCCTACAGCAGCACCAGATTTCTTGAGTTTTGGCGGCTGGCTAAGCCCACCCCAGTGGATGGGCTGATTGGGGAAAATGAGTGAGTGCTTTCCCCCTGCCTCATCAGGAGAAATGGGCTGGTTAGCAATGTACACACATACAAACTGACATTCCACACAAGTACTCACCTACATTTAAACATGTACACACACAATTGTGTAAGACATATTACTCTGAAATCACATACACTGAAACTACAAATGTACTGGCACTAAACACTAGCAGGAAAGATGGAGTGGCTGGAGAGGCCAGGTGGCCACTGTGAAAAAAATTTGCACAGGGTGCCTAAATATCTAAGACCAGCCCCGTATATACTTATCATCAGATGTCTTCTATCTTCTTAAAACTTCTTGTCTTCCAAAAAGGGCAAATAAAACCATTAAGTCTGGACGCAACTATTACACAACAAGAAAAGCAAACAAAAACTGACAGAAAAATAAGACAACATAAAAGTTAAATCCATGTTTGCTCAGGGCTCCTTGCATACTGGCTTTCTTCACAGGCACAGCCCTCATAAGGACTTTTGTATGCTATGCAAACTCAGTCAAATCACTCTGATTGGTTAGCTTGTGAATGAGAGCACTGAAAGTCACTAGTCTCTTTTATGACAGAAGCATGACCCGACTCACGACATGCAAGAATTTAAACCTCCATTATGCTATTTGGTAATAGTTGAAAGACCAAAAGGGCTTTTCTTAATTACAATCTTTCAGCTCCTTAGTTTGATTGCTATCATTATGTGCTATATGATAAAATAGCGCTCTAATTTTGTGGTATCCTTATGTGAGATTGCCACTAAGATACCAAATAAGGAAACTATCTACTAAAGAGCTTCATAATTTAGCCCTCTTAAATATGGCATCCCACGTAATGGTACCAGTTTAGAGAGATATTTATTTAATCGGCTAAATTATGCATTTTTAGAATTTCATCTGACCCGAATGTTGTCAATTGGGCTGTTCATTTCTGATTAAATTTGGTCAATATTTTTGGAATGTAATTTCATTTGGACAATTATTACGACCTATGGCTTTATTTTGCAGTCATTTATCAGATAAGTCACTAAATTGGGGTCTCTTCAGTGGGATTGAAATATGTAAGGGTACCAAATTAGCGAACTGTTTAGTAGATAGCTCCATTATTTTATATTCATTTTGATCAACCAAAAATGTCCATTGTGCCCAAGTTCCCAGGAGACAGAGCAGATAAAGATGACCTAAGAATACAATACAAAGTTGAACGAAGAATGCAAGTGTACAGTTTAGTTTTTTCTAATTGTTGAAAGAGTTCAAAAAGTATTTGGTGGTTTTTCTTTGCTTGGTTTGTATGGCCCATTCAGGGCCGTCTTTAACGCGGGGCAAACGGGGCAGCTGCCCCGGGCCCAGTTGCTCCTGAGGGGCCCCAGAGCAGCTGCCTCGTGGGCCCCGTGATTTGAGCAGCCCCCATGGACCTGGCGGGGTGGCTGCACAGAGCCACACCAGCCGCACACTAAGGAGGCCCCCGGGAGACCCGGTGGGCATGTGTCAGCAGGGGCCCGGTCGGGCGCTGGGCCCCTTCCTGTTTGGCAGCCGGCTGGGAGGAAGTGAGTGCCGCGCGGGAGTCCCACCGGGGATCACAACCGCGCAGGAGGAGAAAGTCAGGGAGGAGGGGAGTTCCAGAGTGCCTCAGCCTGCCACTGGACCAGGGAAACCACCCTCCAGAAAAAGGTAAGAAACTGGAGGGTGGCTAAATGTATGTCTGTGTGTGTGTGTCTATGTCTATCTGTGTGCATGTCAGTATGTCTGGGTGTGTGTGTCAGTATGTGTGTATGTCTGTGAGTGTCAGTATGTCTCTGTGTGTCTGTGTGTGTGTGTGTGTGTGTGTGTGTATGTCAGTATGTCTGTGTGTCACTAAGTTTGTGTGTGTCTATGTCTGTGTGTGTGTGTATGTCTCTATGTGTGTGTGTGTGTGTGTGTGTGTGTGTCAGTATGTCTGTGTATGTCTGTGTGTGTCAGTATGTCTGTGTGTATGTCTGTGTGTGTGTCTGTGTATGTCAGTATGCCTCTGTGTGTGTTTGTCAGTATGTCTGTGTGTGTCAGTATGTCTGTGTGTGTGTCAGTATGTCTGTGTGTGTCAGTATGTCTGCCTGTGTGTGTCAGTATGTCTGTGTGTCTGTCTGTGTGTCAGTATGTATGTCTGTCTGTGTGTCTATGTGTTTGTCAGTATGTCTGCCTGTGTGTCTGTGTCAGTAAGCCTGTGTGTGTGTCAAAAGGTCTGTCAGTGTATGCGTCTGTGTGTGTCAGTATATTTGTCAGTTTATGTGTCTGTGTATTCATGAATGTGTGTCTGTGTGTGTGTCAGTATGTCTGAATGTGTGTCAATATGTCTGCCAGTATATATTTGTGTGTCAGTGTATGTGTATGTCAGTATGTATCTGAGAATGTTTTAATATGTCTGTCTGTGTGCGTATGTGTCAGTATGTCTGTCAGTGTGATTGTGGGTTGGGTGTAATTAAGGGGGTTGGGGGGGAAGGAGCAGGGCCCAGGGGGTCCAAGAAAATGCATTGCCCAGGGTCCTAATCATATTATAGACGGCCCTGGGCCCATTTGGCAACTCTTTTCTTTATGGGCAGAGCCAAATTTATATTTTATATTTTAGGCACTTATAGGTATAGAATTTGAAGGCACTCGTAAGTTCCTCCAAAAATTTAGTTCTTTAATGCATGCCCCATGATTTGGAGGACACAAGTGAACCAGTATGTGCACCTCACTTCTTGCCTCTGCTAACAAAAAAATGCAATTCTCATATAGCACATTGAAAAATACGTGGGGAAAAAAATCTGAAAAGGAAAAATGCATATTTTTATTTAGTTTACGTTATAAAAATTGTGACTTAAATGTGGTGCCTCTTAATAATTAAAGATCTAATACCACACCTCATAAATGAGACAAATATTTATTCCGTTTAATTTTTGGTCATTGAGTTATTTTAGTTCAGGTTAGCTGGGGAACTCATCCCAATGCCCATGAGTACTAGAGAGCAGCTGCCAATGTATTTTTTCTTTTTGGGCAAATATGTTCTGCTTGCTTCAAACAGTGAGAGAAGAAAGGAGGTGAGTTCATGGCTGGTGAATGAATCATTCTGTACAATTTGTCACAGTTCTTATAAGGCAAACTAATCTGTTTTCAACCAAAACATATTTTTAAATTTTTGTTTTTTCCTTCTCCTTTTTTCTCTTGTGTACTTGGAGTCCTTACGTTTTATAACCTTATAACTCTTAAAGAGACACTATTGTCACTAGAACAACTACAGCTTAATGTAGTTGTTCTGGTGTTTACAGCCTGTCCCTGCAGGGATTGTTTTCCTGTAAGCACTGCCTTTTCAGAGAAAATACAGTGTTTATATTACTGCCTAGGGCATGGGTAGGCAACCAGATGTTGTGGACTACATATCCCTTGATGCTTTGCCATGGCTTTAAGAGCATAATGGGAGGTGTAGTCCACAATATCTGAGGTGCTGAACTTTCCCCATAGAGATGCATTGAGTCAATGCATCTCCATGAGGAGATGTTTATTGGCACAGAGCCAATGAGGAAAGCATTGGATTGGCTGAGATCATAAAAAATTATGATTTCATCCAAGAGGAGCATAGCTGGAAAAAGGTGAGTAAACAAAAATTTTAACTGAAGGTAAGGCAGGGCCATGGACTTAAAAAGCTTTTTTGACCTATAGTGTCAGAAATACACATTTGTGTTCCTGATACTATAGTGTCCCTTCAATGTTTAATGTTTTGCTAAACCATGTAGGAACGCCAGGTAGCTCTATTTGGACAAATGTCGTATGACGTTTTTTTTTTTATAAATAAAAGTATTGGCAAGTTCTGGAGGTAAAATAAACCTGAATAGTGACAAGCGTACTTTAAGTGTATAAACAACATAAATATTCAGTGTCTGCTAGCTGTGATGAATGACACTTTGTAAAAATACATTTATAAGAAATTGCCCGAATGGCTTTACTTTATTAAATCATGGGAACGTTTTACTGAAAATAATATTGCATGTTTTGGACATATATCCTTAAAAAGACATACAGTACATCACTTTGAAACAACTCTCTCATTCAAACGCTTTAGCTTTGAATAAGAGAGTTGCCTCCTTCAGAAGTCTGAAAAAGCAGGTATGTATTTACTTTTTTTGTATTTACCTGTTTCTCTTTCCTTGGACTTTTCATGAATGTGAATGAGTGATATCATCCAGGAGCAGGAACAGCATGGGACCCAGCCACAATGTTACAGACCAGGAAACCCCACGTAGATCAAACATCCAGCCTTAGACTGTATCAGAGACCAAGATTACTGTAAATCAGCAAAAATATTCAGCACTTAAACTGCCAAAGTGTTTTCATTACTGTTCGTTCTTTGCCCTGTTTACCCTACCCCCTAACAAACCTTTACACACACAACAAGCTACTTCAACTAGAATACCATTGATATTAGTGGTGGAACCCCCAAGGGTCGCTGAGGTCATGAGTGTAACCGGCTCTCTGTGTTCCTGCCATCACAGGGGACCCATGATCTGGCTGGCTGGACACTTAGGGCACCCCACACAGGAGGGCAGCTATGCACTAAGACAAAGTAGGAAGACAGGTGCCTACTCTGATGAAATATAGTGTGGGGGGGAGGGAAAAGGAGGTGGTGGCGAAGGAGCTGTAATCCTCATGCTTTACCAGCACTGTTCCCTAGCGTTTTCTGCGGTGATGGCAGGAAGATAAATCTGACATCACTTCAGCCCCAGCTTCACTAAAGGGTGCATGAGGGAGCTGGGCAGAAAGAGCACAAAAATTACAGCAGCTCCACACAGGAGCTCCACTCCAGGTCTCTAAAGGTTCTGAGGCTGGGTGGGCTTAAACGAACAAAAAACAATAATAATTTGGGAGTGTTTGAGAGAATGTGTATATTTGAGTATTTCAGAATCAGTGAAAGTGTGTGTCTGTCAGTGTATATCTCTGTCAGTGAGTTTGTGTGTGTCTGTCAGTGTGTGTAAAACAGTGAGGGTATGTCTGTCAGTGAGTGTTTGTCAGTGTATGTGTATCTGTGAGTGTCTGTCAGTGAGTCTCTGTCAGTAAAAGTGTGTGTTTGGTAAACAGTGTGTGTCAATGACTGTATTGTCTGTCAGTGAGTATATATCAGTGTATGTGTATCAGTGAGAATGTGTTTCTGTCAGTGAAAGTGTGTGTTAGTTAAATAGTGTATGTGTGTGTGTGTGTGTATGTGTCAGTAAGAGTGTGTGTGTGTGTTCTTAAAAGGATAAAAATGTTTAATAAAAAATAGTTTCATTCAACTCATGGAATTTGTTGTAATGTGCATATACGTGTGTATGTGTTTATATACATTTGTAGGTGCATATATACAGTATATACACACATGTATGTATTAGCAATAAATGTGTATTATTGTAAAGTGTATATAAAATAAGTGTATATTAAAGGGACACTATAGTCACCAGAACAACTACAGCTTATTGAATTTGTTCTGGTTAATAAAATCATTACCTTCAGGCTTTTTGCTGTAAACACTGTCTTTCCAGCGAAAATGCAGTGTTTACATTACAACCTATCGATAACTTCACTGGCCACTCTTCAGATGTCTGTTTGAGATCCTACCTGGGTCATGGCTGCCTTAAATGCATCCAAACATTCAGTGTCTCCACCCTCTGCATGCAGACACTGAACTTTCCTCATTGATTCAATTCATCTCTATGAGGAGATGCTGATTGTGTTTGAATTGTGCTGGTTCTGCCCCTGATCTGCCTCTTTGCCAGTCGCAGCCAATCCTATGGGGAAGCATTGTGATCGGATCAGGCTACCACTTATGCTGATGTCAGCAGGCAGGTCTAAAGGAAACAGGGACAAAGCCAGCAGCTTCAGGCTTGATTACAAGTAAGATTGTACTATATTTAGGGAAGCATGAAGGGACAGGGGGGCTAGATGGTGGTTTTAACCCTGTAGTGCTCCTTTAACCCCTTAAGGACACATGACGTGTGACATGTCATGATTCCCTTTTATTCCAGAAGTTTGGTCCTTAAGGGGTTAAAGAGCAAAAATATGGTCCCTCCCCTAATTGTTAATGAAATCCTCAACATTAGACCTGTGTGCCAATGGCACACACGGTGTAATGCCATAAATTGACTGGCAGATCGTACTGTTGCTCCCTGTCACTGTGTTCCTTCCCCAACAGTAGCTTGTTGGGGAGTATGGGATGCACTGATGCCAGTGTGCTGGCAGTAACAGTCAATATATCACTGTCATGCTAACACACACCATTGCCTCAACATAAATACAACACACACATCAAGATCACAAGCAGCCCCCACACACACATCACATTGAAAGCAGCTCACTCACATGCTTACACTCCCGGACACAGAGATACACATGTTCACGGACACATAGATGTACAGACATAGATATGCATTCTAGATATAGTCACGGATACACATACAGATTTACACTTACAGATGCACAAGGACACTCGCTTCCTCACGGGAACATACACAGATACACAATTCCAGAAATGCACATACAGGTACCAATACAATACTCTTTTTTTCTGTATCAGTTTGCCATTATTGTTTCCCTGAAATTTCCCGGTGGGCCGTCGGCACCTGGGGCCGGGCAGGCAGCTGGCTCACCTGCGGCCGCCGAGGGAGCTCCTTTGGCGGCCGCAGGGGGAGCTGGCTGTTCTGTCTCTGCTCCCCCTTCCCAGCGCGCCGCTTAATGAGACCGGGGATGGAATATGACGTCATATTCCCGCCCCGGTATCATTAAGCAGTGCGCTGGGGAGGGGGAGCAGAGACAGAACAGCCAGCTTCCCTTGCGGCCGCCAGAAGAGCCAGCTCCCCCATGCAGCCGCCATAAGAGCTCCCCACAGGTAGAAATTGTGTGAGTGTATGTGTGTGTCTGTGGCATTTGTGTGTGTGTGTCATGGTGTGTGTGTCTGTCTGTCTGTGTCATGGTGTGTGTGTGTGTGTGTCTGTCATGGTGTGTGTGTCTGTGTCATTGTGTGTGTCTGTGTCATGGTGTGTGTGTGTCTCTGTCTGTCATGGTGTGTGTGTCTGTGTCATGCAGTGTGTGTCAGTGTCATGGTGTGTGTGTGTGTGTGTGTCTGTCATGTAATTTGTGTCTGTCTGTGTCACGGTCTGTCTGTGTCATGGTGTGTGTCTGTATGTCATGGTGTGTGTGTGTGTCTGTCTGTGTCGTGTAATGTGTGTCTGTCTGTCACGGTGTGTGTGTGTCTGTGTCACTGCCTCTCTGTGTCATGGTGTGTGTGTCTGTCTGTGTCGTGTGTGTGTGTCTGTCACGGTCTGTCTGTGTTATGGTGTGTGTGTGTCAAGGTGTGTGTGTCTTTTTTAAGGTGTGTGTCTGTCATGGTATGTGTGTGTGTCTGTCATGGTGTGTGTGTGTGTCTCTCATGGTGTGTGTGTGTCTGTGTCATGGTGTGTCTGTCTGTCATGGTGTGTGTGTTTCTGTCTGTGTCACGGTGTGTGTGTGTCTGTGTCACAGTCTGTCTGTGTCATGGTGTGTGTCTGTCATGGTATGTGTGTGTGTATGTGTGTTTTTACTCACATTTCCCCCCCCCCCACGTCGTGCTGGTCTCCCCTCGACTGGCCCTGCCTCTACGGCTGAGATCATCAAGCTTGATGATCTCAGCCAATCTGCACTGACACAGGAAGCACCTCTAGTGGCCGTCTGAGTGTCTGTTACTTGGAAGAAATGTAAACACTGCCTTTTCTCTAAAACGTCAGTGTTTACATTGAAAAGCCTGCAGGAACAGGCTATAGACACCAGAGCCACTACATTAAGCTGTGTGTGTGTGCGCACCTGCTAGTGAGTGGGCTTGCGTGTGTGTGTGTGCCTGCTACTGAGTGAGCTTGTGTTTTTATGTCAATGACCTTATGTTTATCAGTGAGATTGTTTGTCTATGAGGCTGTGTATCAATCCGCTTGTGTCAGTGAGATTGTCTGTGTCTACATGTGAGAATGCTTACTGTATAATTGAAAATTTTACTTTGAAAGGACCAATATTTTATATTGGAAAAACATAGCCACTTGGACAATATCCAGAGACTGTACCTTGCCTGTATGGCGGTGGGGATATGTGTTTAACTCTGTATACTGTATGCTGGCTGTAATGATGTGTAATTACTGTATTGGCTATCTGCCGAATGCAGATAGCTGTATGTGCTGTATTTTCTTTCGTTTCACGAACGGCACTTTTGCGGGCCGTTCGTGAACCGAAAATACCCCCATGTAGTAGCCCACACACTTAGAGGCGTGTGGCGCTTGTTAACCGATTGCAACAATGTTGCAATCGGTAATTAGAGGCTCTCCTAGGTGGCCGCCGTTCGACTACCTACCATGCAGCGGTCGGCCATCTTGGATCCTTTGTTCCCTCAGCGGTGTTTGATCGTCGAGCGCATGTTACTAAAAACGGCTACTCGACGGCGCGAACACCGCTGAGCTTCAAGGCCGTTCGGGAGTTCCGGGCCGTTCGGTATTTGGTTCCCTAGAATGCAATCGGTATTTTGAACATGTATTTTCATGAATGTGTTTTTCGTGCGGTGTTCGGTTGTTTTAGCTGGGATCTGAGCGGTAATCTCACGAATGATACACTCAGACCCCAGCTATCTACCGAACGTCCAGTCGTTTAAATAGACCTATTAGTCGAAAAGTTATGGATTTTAATATAAATTGTCGGTTCTGCTGCACGGAGGGATAATCCACTTAACGGTACATTCCTGTGGGAGGATCCCTCTCGTGCAGCAGTGCCTGATGGGAGAAATGTTTTGTACAGTAAGTCCCCCATGTAGTTCTCTCTGGGAATACTCCTGGGAGGGGACTCAGGAAACCCCTTGCATGGGGACTTGTATAAATTGTGGAGCTGAAAATAAAGACCGCAGTTGACTGTGTTTCGTCTGGTTACTGGGAGATTTGGGATATTGCCTTGCTTTTTCCAGCGCTTGACTGTGGATTACTTCCTGAACCAGCGGAATTCGTGGATTTAATATTGGCGTTCCGCTACAATCTCAATCATCTAGGGTGGCAAGACATAGCCTTACATATTACATGCGACAATATATGGCGCAATGACTTATGGGGCTGGCATAGATTTTTTTTTTCCAGGGCTGCTTTGGAAATCCCCAGTCTGACCCTGTCTCTTACATCATTTGCTCCTTTGTTTAAAAAAAGTCACAAAAGTGCACAGTTTCTCACACATGGCTAGTGATAGTTCGCATGAAACTGAGATGGGTTGATAAGTGGATGGGGAGTGGCAGGAGGGGAGGATGTAGAACAAGCATGTCAAACTCAAAGTCTGGATCGGGCCACATAAGCAAGGTTTAAGTTTATGTGGGCCGCAAACAAAATACCGTAAATTTTCATAGAAACTAAGGTTTATTTTTAAAAGTACAGTATAATCCCTCCCCCCTCTACTAAACCTCCTAGCCTCCCTCTACTAAACCACAGCACCCCCTCTATCACCCTGTGACAAATCTGATCCTCCTGCTGACACACACAAATATTCACTGACAGACACAGACATACAGACACACTGACACACACATACTCACTGACAGACACACACACACATACTCACAGACAGACACACACACACACACAGACAGACACTCCCTGACAGACACACACATACTTGCTGACAGACACACACACACACACACACACATACTCACAGACACACACACGCTCACTGACAGACACATACATCCAGACACATACATCCAGACACACACACATTCACTGACAGACACACACATATACTCACTGACAGACACATACATACAGACACACTGACAGACACACACACACATACTCACCAACAGACACACACACATACTCACTAACAGACACACACACACACTTACACATTCTTGCACACACATTATTTTCTTTATTGCTCCTTACCTTATGGAGCCGATGTGGGGCATCTCCCTGGGGTCCTTCCTGCTCCTCACTGCTCCCTCGTGCGGTTTAGTGATGCCAGGTGCTGGAATATGACGTCATATTCCGGCGCCCGGCTTCACTTCAGATGGCGCATGCGAGGGAGCAGTGCAGAGCAGGATCACTGAGCTCCCTAGCTGGCCACGTACGTGTTAGCAGAGTAGGCACCTGCAGTATGGGGAAAGCAGGTGCCTACTCTGCTATAACACCAGCATGTACTCGTGGCTCGGCAGGCCGCAAAGATGGTCCTTGTGGGCCGCGAGTTTGACATGCTTGATGTATAAACTCCCCTAAGAGACGTGCCCGAGAATCCAACCTGACAAAGTTTACAGTACGTTTACATAGCATGATTACATGCTTTTGAAACATTTCTTGCTTTATTTTAGTTTTTATATTTATGCTTGTTAGTTTAAAAAAAATAAAAAATGTCAAGTGATGTATTTCCCTTTAAAAGACAATTGTATTTTCACTGCGGTAATGGAAAGTAAAACAGACATGACCATATACAGGTGTGGAACAATAAATTGACTCCTTTAGATTAAGTATATTTAAAATATATTTCTCTCCCTTTAACAGAGTCGGACAGTCTTGACTTTGGAAAAAAGATAAGTGTCCCCAGGGACATCATGCTAGAGGAATTGACACTCTTCAACAATCGGGGTGCCAGGCTCTTTAAAAAGCGACAGAGGAGATCTGACAAGTATACATATGAAAACTTTCCATATGATATGAAACCACAGACCATAGTAAGTATTTGTCATCTTTAATATGTATAAGCAGAATGTAGAGTAATGATCACAGTCGTTATATTATACAGTTAGTGCCATGTATTTAGCTTAGAGACATTCGACTATATCATGACTAGGTCTCTGACAAGGTTATTCACTGAAGTGAGAATTCAAGTTGAATTTAAAAGTAAATTTGGATTTTGGATTATCTGAACTGTCTATAACAAAGGTATATATCATATTTCAGAACTGCCACTTCAGCTTAGAAAAAAACTGTTGCTCCATAGTGCATTACTCACACACTGTCAATCTCACTTACTAAACCAGTGCTTTCCAAACCAATCCTCATGACCATGGGTCGTCAAACCTGGTCCCTACCGCCCACTAGTGGGCATTTCAGGATTCCAGGTGGGCGGTAGGGATTTCAGAGATTGGGTAGGCGGGAGGGCGGGTGCGAGCTGGCGGCACCCGTGCGACCGCGTACGGCCGTCACCATTTGCGGCCCCGGCCCGCATGGCAAACCGCCGGGGCCGCCACCCAAGCGGTCCATCGGATGGCCCATGCTGTCTGACTCACCTGAGTCACCACTGCACCCCAGGGAAAGTCAGGAAGGTAGGAAACAGGAGGGTGACAAAAATATTTTGTGTGTGTGTGTGTGTCTGTCTGTATGTCTTGTGTGTGTCTATGTATGTATGTCTTGTGTGTGTGTGTCTATCTGTATATATGTGTGTGTATGTATGTGTGTCTTGTCTTTGTATGTATGTGTGTCTTGTGTCTGTATGTGTGTATGTATCTATGTATGTCTTATGTGTGTGTGTCTTTGTATGTGTACCTGTCTGTTTTTATGTATGTGTGTCTGTATGTATGTGTACCTGTCTGTTTGTATGGATGTGTGTGTCTGTATGTATGTGTGCGTGTGTTTGTATGTATTTGTGCCTGTCTGTGTGTATGTGTCTTGTGTGCGTGTGTGTCTGTATGTGTGCCTGTCTGTTTTTCTGTATTTATGTATGTGTGCGTGCCTGTCTGTATGCATGTGTCTTGTGTGTGTGTGCCTGTCTGTTTTTCTGTATGTATGTATGTGTGTCTGTATGTGTGCCTGTCTGTGTGCGTCTGTATGTGTGCCTGTCTGTATGTATGTGTCTTTTTATGTGTGTGTGTGTATGTATGTGTGCCTGTCTGTTATAGTGGGCTATAGTAAGTGGGCTACCGAGGTAAGCCTTCCTACTAGGCATTTCTATAAGGAAGGTTAAAAAATAGAAAAAAGGGATAAAAAAGGTGGGGAGGGGAATTGAGGAGTGACATGAGATGAGCTGACACACAGATGAGAAATTATATTATGCACAAACAGAGAAGTCGTCTGAATATCACCGAAAGAGGAGACCTTAGTTTGTTCCTTACGAAAATCGAACCAGATATCAAATATTTAGTCTTGCAGCATCAGCCTCAAGGATCTCATTAATCACTAGTAAAGGTAATTTCAATTTACTTTATTGTTTTCCAATTAAACTTTATAAAGTTAAAAACATTATAAACATGCATTATGTAGAAATAAAAAGATAAATGTACGTACATTAATTTTTTTTAAAACACCCTCCTTTCTAAAAAATATTCTGCACTTGCGCGAAAACTGGTGGGCGGTAAGGAAATTTTTCCATCAAGAAAGATGCATTAGTGGGCGGTAGGTAGAAAAAGGTTGACTACCACTGCTCATGACCAACCAACAGTCCAGGTTTTGTCAGTAAATACATAACATCATGACTTGGTGGTGGACCATGAGGACTGGTTTGGGAACTAATGCCCTAGAGTAAAACACTGATATAAATTGGTTGATTCACATGTCCAACACATGTTAATTTCACTTTTTAAACTTTATTAAAGTTATTGAAGTCAATACTGTACTTCTTCATGTTGTGATGTTTTCACACAAATTTTTATATTTTATACATTTGTAGACACATGCATGTAGGTTGTGACTGACAAACTTACCCTTGCTTTATCTTTTCTGTATCTCTTATACTCTTAAATTTAAATAAAGATTGTCAAAAAAATGTAAGGAGGTCATTTGTTTACAACCTCCCCTATTTTAACAAGGTGTTCTTATTGACTCATAGAGGCAAGTTATTTATTTAGTATGGGTACCTAAGTGTATGTGCCAGTGTGTGTATCTGTGTGCCAGTGTGTGTATCTGATTGTATGTCCTAGTGTGCGTGTCTGTGTTTCAATGTGTGTATCTCTGTTTCAGTGTGTATCTGAGTGTGTATGTGCTAGTATCTGTATGTCAAGGTGTTGATATGTGTGTCTGTGTGTGTATGGGGTGGGACAGGATGCATGCGTGTGCATGTTGGGATGTCTGGAAAGGAAGATGGAAGAAGGGGGCTGAAAATTTTACTAACTGGAAAGGGAGATGGGTCTGGAAACATGGCTAATTGCTGTCTTATAAACAAAGAGATTGGAGGTTGGCTATCTGAGGAGAAATAGAGAAAAATCTGGGACATGTCTGAATGGGATGGGAAGGAAACTATAAATGACTATATATTCACTGTAGAGGGAAGTCTAGGGGAAAGAAACACTCCACATACACACACACACACACAGAGAGAGACAGACATACATACACACATAGACACTCTGACATTTACACACACTAGTACAAATGCGCATGCATGCCACACACACACATATACATACACTCAAACACAGACTCTCTATGTGTCTGCACCCAACTATTTTTTTATATATATTGTTTTTTAAATTCAAGTTTGGTTTTTATTAGTTTGGTGGGTTGCGGTAATTAGATAATTCTGTGCCTATAGGGACTCATGGTGTAAATCTGGACCTGATTGCCGGGGTCGACTCAAAAGCCTGCACGCTTCTCTATATGTGAAAGTAGTCAAGTGTGCGTTATGATCATTTGGATTCTTTGGGCTAGCTGTGAGCTGATATGGCCTTATAACATGAATGGTTAAAAATGTATTAATGCAGGATTAAAAGATATTTTGTAAAATGTATAATGTGCAGATACTGTATTGTTAATAACATTTCAGTCCTTCTATCTGCACTTTAATTAAAGTATGCCTGTTCAGGGTGGAGCATCCATATTTATGTCTCTGTAACACAAGCATTTTAACACCTACTGACACCTGTTGCACAGTAATAGAACGCCTACTTTTATGTTGAATTTTTTTTTTTTACAAGCTTACAAACTATATCAGCGCGTACCATGGTTTACTGACACTTCCTTATCCAGCAACAGACATTACTCACCAATAAATAAGACACATCAAATAACACAGGCACATGACATTACATCATCTTAATGGTTTTACAAGGCACGTGAAACAACCAACAGCTAATCACTTTTGTTGGGCAATATTGTATTTTTCGTTATCTATGAATAGCAGGAAAGTAAAAATATCCCAAAAATGTTACAGTCATTTATTATTCATACATCTATATTTTACATAACTAGGCGCAGGCATACATTCACTAGTCATAGAATGTAATTAATTTAGCACATGAATGCATTTTAAAAACATAGGATATTTAGTACCAAAGAAAAAAAGTGATATGTTTTAAGACATACATAACTGGTTAACATGATTTTATTAACTCATCCATAATCTATTCAGTGTGTAAAATATACACTGATCAGCTACAACATTAAAACCACTGACAGGTGGTAAAACCACTGACAGAAGTAAATAGCATCAATTATATTGTTACAATGGCATCTGTCAAGAGGTGGGATATATTATGCAGCAAGTGAACAAAAAGTTCTCAAATTTTATATGTTGGAAGCAGGAAAAATTGGCAAGCGAAAAAATGTGAGTGACTTTGACAAAGTGATGGCTGGATGAGAGCATCTCCAAAACAGCAAGTCCTTTGAGGTGTTCCTGGTATGCAGTGTGGATAACCTACCAAAAGTGGTGCAAGGAAGGACAAATAGTGAGCCAGTGTCTGGGTCATAGGTTCTCAAGGTTCATTGATACACATGAACGCTGACCTGTCTGGTCCAATAACACAGAAGAGCTACTGTAGCTTAAATTGCTAAAACAAAAACAAAAAACGTAATGCTGGCATCACAGTTTGCTGCGTATGGGACTGCATAGCCATAGTCCAGTCAGAGTTCCAATGATGACCCCTATCCACCGATGAAAGTGCATCAGACCATCAGTTTATAAACAGAAAATGGCACTGTTACCATCTGGGGACTTTGCATAATTAACAAAGAGCCCTGAAGAAGTAATCTTGCAGGTGCTGATATCTTCTGACCTCTTATGCTCCTGCTGCTTCAAAGCCATGAGCCAATATCACTGCTGTATTCTTGCACATGCATGAGAGTACAGCATTAAGGTCTATCTAGGATCCCTCGAGACCGTGGAATCCTCCATGGATTCAGCTAACATCTCTGCAGCTGTCACTGGTGACGGATGGGAGATTGACACTTCTAGGATGTGGTCTAGAAGTGTCAGGTATGGAAAAATACAGAGACCAAGTAGTCACTACCTCAGTATATCTTTTGGCTTGGGTGGAATTTCAACAGTCAACAATGACAACAGTCAGAATGTGTATTTCATAAAGATTGTCAACTTCAGCCATAGAATATGATATGATATATGTGTTGCTATAACAAATTTGTTTCAAAAGTCAACGTTTTTAAAGGGAACCTTCGGGAACAAGATGTATAGAAACACATGATACATTATCTTGCTGGTTTCTCATATAATACCTGTGTCCTACAAGAAATCATAAACAGAATGTTTTCAAGTCATGAATAAAAAAAAATCATCTTTGCTCTTTGTATACTCTCCACTGTGCAGAGTTGCCTGGCTGAAAAAAAAAACCTTAAACACCAGTGAATACAATTCTGTTAGTTCACCATAGTGAACTTACAAGAGTAGAATTGTTTTATTCGATGTTATGCTTTACTTCCTGCCTCTGCAGGTGCCCGAGACTGAGAAAGTGGAATGTTTTGCTTGAAACCAAACAGTACTCGGTGTACAATAATAAAGCATCTGCGAACATTGTGAAACAGGCAGCCAGCATGACTCATGTCATAGAGAGGTCATTCTATGCAGTATGGCATCAGCTGTTTCAATCTGATTGGCTGAAGAGAGAATCATTTTGTAGCTGTAACTTGAATGTGAAAATGTTATTAGACATTCCACATTCTCAAGCGTCTTCATTGTCTGCCACAAAACATGTACTAAATGTATTTTTTCCTGTGTGGGTTTTATTTCAGTCAGTAATATTAAAGAGTGAATTTTCGATGTTTAACCCCTTGTTTTATGTTGGAGTTGTGACCCATCCCTCATGCTTAAAGGACCACTATAGTGCCAGGAAAACATACTTGTTTTCCTGGCACTATAGTGCCCTGAGGGTGCCCCCACCCTCAGGGTCCCCCTCTCGCCCGGCTCTGGGGAGAGGAAGGGGTTAAAACTTACCTTTTTTCCAGCGCCGGGCGGGGAGCTCTCCTCCTCCTCTCTGCCTCCTCTCCTCCCTTTCAGCTGAATGCGCATGCGCGGCAAGAGCTGCGCGCGCATTCAGCCGGTCTCATAGGAAAGCATTTACAATGCTTTCCTATGGACGCTTGCGTCTTCTCACTGTGATTTTCACAGTGAGAATCACGCAAGCGCCTCTAGCGGCTGTCAATGAGACAGCCACTAGAGGATTTGGAGGCTGTATTAACCCATTTATAAACATAGCAGATTCTCTGAAACTGCTATGTTTATAAAAAAGGGGTTAATCCTACAGGGACCTGGCACCCATACCACTTCATTAAGCTGAAGTGGTCTGGGTGCCTAGAGTGGTCCTTTAAGCACAAGCATGTTTCTGTTTAATTTAATTTTAATAACGTTATAAACAGCTTATTTCTTATCTTTATATATATATTTTTAAATCAACAAATTTATGGCACAGATTCCTTCAATATTATTAGACAAGATTGACAGTGTTCCCTGCAGGAAGTTAAACAGTTCATCTAAAACCAGTTAAACATTCTAAGGAACAGAGCCCACCTGAAGTGGAAGATGAGGTACAGAGGGGAGGTTGCTGTTCACATGACCGGTGCCACATTCAAGTGAAAATATCGAAAGTGGAACTCTTTTTATTTGATGTTACTACTTGAACGTTAATTTGTACCTTCACTGTTTAAATGCGATAAGAAGAGGCCCTCCATATAGAGATTAAGTTGTAGCACCAAAGGAAGGCATCAAGAGTTAGGAAATAGATATTAAGGAGTTATCAACATACCATGAGGGCAAGCTACATATGATTGTATTACTATGTCACTATTGTTTAGCTTTTACTCTAAGTTATACTTGACAGAACATGTTCCCTTGGCGTGTCATTTTGGCATGGTTCCTTCAGTGGATCCCAGCAGAATTCTGGAAGGGGTAATATTACTGTATAATTAAGAGAAAAAATTTTCTTCATGGTACTGATGGGGCTTTAGGGGGAACTTCTGCTGCTTGCGGCTAGGTACTTATCAAGGTCGAGTGATAACCCAACACACAGTATGTAAACCCACAGAAAACCCAAATACATTTTACCGAACCTTAGAATGGTCGGGTTTAACGTAAGAGAAAAGAGTAGTCAACGAATAGCCAAAAGTCAGGATACCAGAAATCAGGAGAGAGTATAAGAGTAGCCGGATCAGGATACCAGAAATCAGGAGAGAGTATAAGAGTAGCCAGGTCAGGATACTAGAAATCAGGAGGTCAAAAGTCAAGCTGAGTCAGGGAACCAGAAAAAAGGAAAGTCAGAAGTCAAGCCGGGTCAGAACACAGTAATAACAATAATAATAATGCAAGGAGAACCAAATAGCACTAAGGGGACCACAAGGAACCACAATAGGGCTCCTTAAGGCATAAGGAAGCGTCATTTGCCTTAAGACCATGCCCCCAAAAAGTTCTGGTCTGGTATTGATGACGTGGGGTCGCGTCATTGACGTATGCGCCGCAAAAACAGACGTGTTTCCAGTGTCTGGCATAGGACATGCTGAACACAGTCCGAGTGAAGTCGGCGTCGGATCCCACACCATGCAGGCGCGATGGATCAAGGTAAGAGATTGTACCAGTACTGACATTCTTTTGGGTCCTTGTTGGATGATACAGGGTAATGTTAATTTGTATCTATATTTTCCTATTCAAAAAAAGAATACATGAATGCAGAACCTATATAACTACAGTAATAGATGGATGCAGAGTCCGGTGCATGGACCAACGATCCAAGTCCACCCCTACGTGAAGATGGCCCAAGGCTTCCACAGGTGATATATACTCCGATACCATTTTCCCAATTATGCCCAGACACCATTACTTCATAATCTAAATTGGTCAGGGTGGGAGGGAATTCTTCAACTGATGCTTTGAGTTGACTGTTTTTGGTCCAATATGTAACACTTGCAAAGTAGTGTTTAGCCTGACAACCTGCACAGATAACCCACTTACTCCAATCTGGCGGCAAACCTGAACCCATATAGGGAGGTGGGGGGCTAGACTTACCTTAGTGACCATCTGACCCTGTCGTCGTCCCCCAAACCTGGGGTCTTTGTCACTAAAGTACATAGTTAGGCCGCAGGTACTACTACTCGTTTATTCTACCATTACCTTAACTGACTCCTACTAATTTATTCTAACGCTACTTTTCTATCCTTCCTCTATCCTTTCCCCTCACCCTTCTTTTTTTCCCTCTCTTTTATTCCCCTTGTACGCAATGCCAGAATGTTTGCTAATAATAATTAAGAAACCCAAAAAGCAGGAGTAGCCATATTGATTGTACACACAATACCTTGTAATTGCAAGGCAATGCAAGAATACCTCTTGGGTCGATATCTATTTGTCAAAGTGGCAATAGCAGATTGTCCACACATCTTTGCATGCCTATGTGCACCCAACAAACGGCAACATGTATTTCTGACCCACACTCTCTCAGCAGGCATATTGATTAGAGGAAATTGATATCAGTATCCCCCTCATTCCAAAGGTTGATACTTTGAAGGGTCAAGGCACAATTTCCTCCCACAGTAAAGGATCAATAGAGACTTCCAGGTTTGGTCGATTACTGCATGGTTGCACTCCTGGAGCTGTGGTAGAGCTGAAGTCTCCACTGTACAGATCAAGCAGTAGACAATGGAAACGTAACTAAAACCTATTGATAGACACTGATGATATTGAATGCGCGTGTCCAGCTCTAATTCTGTATTTTACAGAGAATTAGACGACACATGTATCCCCTTTGAAACTTGGGAGGCACACAAATGCATGATATGTGGTCACTATGTTATTACTTGCACGCGCTGCAAGAAAGAGCAGACGAGGATACTGACTGATTTGGTTGTACGGGTTACGCAACTGGAACAAGAACATAAGAAACTGAAGAGACTCGACTCCCTATGGTAGCATTTATAATTTAACCCATAACCACTCTCCTAACATAGAAAATAGACACAAAATGATGAGCTCTGATTATTTAGCCCAAAATATGAAAATAATTCTAACCTCAGAGACAGCTGAAGAACTTGAATGACTTTCCATTAACACTAGAGAAGCTTCAAGAAGCATTGAAGCACTGCAAAGCAAACAGAGTGACTGGCCCAGATGGCCTCCCATTCAAATACCTTAAAAACTTTGTGGACTTCTTGTTAACAAAATCACTACGAGGACTAAACTCCCTATTGAAAGTAAGCAATTTCCCAACAGCGACTACTATAACAATGATACCTAAGGATGGGAAAGATCCCACCTATTGCCCTAGCTACAGACCTATATCCCGACTTACTGTGGATTTAAAACTATTCACGAAGGCGGTGGCCCTAAAAATAGGACAAGTATTACCTGATCTGGTTCACCTGGATCAAGTAGGGTTCATTTTCAGTAGAGAGACAAAGGACAATGCAGTATGTGCCCTGAATATAATGCAAATGGCCCAACATACAGGATGAGAGCTTCTTCTCCTCTCTATCAATGTAGAAAAAGCTTTTAACTGGGTGGACTGGAGTTATATGGCACTAACCCATGAAAACAAAGGATTTGGATGTTTTATATGCAGTTGAATAGCAGCTCTCTACCCAACTACCAGTGCTTGCATAAGAATAAACTCAGCTTACAGTTTCGAAATGGCATGAGACAGGAATGACCTGTATCCCACTTCCTGTTTGCCCTCACTGTTTCTAGAGGCAGTCAGGCAGTACAGTGGTGTAACAAAGACTGCTGCCAAATTAAATTGCACTGTTTAGGAAATAAGAACAGCTTTCCAATTTGGAGCTAACTATGGATACATCTGAGATACTGGGAGTCACCCTATTGCAGTGGCTAACATCTTCGGTCCCAGTTCCCATTCACATGGTGTAAAAGTTGTCTTCGATATCCAAGAAATTTCCTGTCAGTAGACCTGAGACAATTGTACCAAGATAATTTTGTCCCTCTGCTCCAATCACTCTCCACAGATTTGACTCGATACACATTATCATGTATAGTATGGTTTTTCAGGATTAACACTATTACCATGACTTTGCTGCTGTCACTTCCTGGTCCTCGCACCGCCGCCCGGACAGTGTCTGGGTCCCGGGCACCGGACCGACACCCTGACAGATGGCCGTAGGCACTTGGAGTTCGTGTAGTGGACTTTGCAGCTTTCCTGTTCTGTCTGTATCATGTCATGCCTGGTTCTTCTGCAAGCAAGAGATCCTGTATCTGCACCAGTCTGCTGGAGATGGCTTCCTTATTTTTGTCGTGGAGGAGGTCGATCTGCTAAGTGGTACGGTGGTCGCTTCAGGTGTTCTCTTGTGATGCTTGGTTCCTGGTTTCTTGTTCTGGTTCCTGTTGGTTATTGGGCATGCAAGAGTTCCTGTATCTGGACCAGTCTGCTGGAGATGGCTTCCTTATTTTTGTCGTGGAGGAGGTCGATCTGCTAAGCTGTACGGTGGTCGCTTCAGGTGTTCTCTTGTGATGCTTGTTTCCCGTTTTGTGGCAGTGCTCCTGTTCTGGCGTGATCTCCATTCATTGCTGGTGGTTCCTATGCAGGAGGCCTCTCCGGCGGGGGATCCTTGCCTCTGTGGAAGTCAAGAGGACTTTGTTGCAGGATCTACTCGCCATTCTGCCTGGGAGGAGTTCACTCCTTAAGAGGGAAGTTATGTCCCATCCTGGTCCTCGCACCGCCACCAGGACAGTGTCTGGGTCCCGGGCACCGGACCCAGGGCCGTCTTTAATAATGAATGGACCCTGGGCAAGTGTTTGCTTGGGCCCCCTGTGCCCTGCCGCTCTCGCCCCTCACTCCCTGGTATGCAATCACGGCATCCATCGCAACGCAGTGGCGGTACTAAAGTAGAATGAATTTTATTGGGACCCCCAATTGCAAGGTTGGACTAAAGGTAGAACCCCATCTGTCGTGCAACTCCAACAATGCTTTGACAGCTGGGATTCTACCAATTTCCCATGCTTGCAGGGTTGTATTTAGCACGGAGCCATGTTAGTATGTTTGAATGTAAGCATGTGTTTGTATGGAGTATGTTTGTGTGAATGTGTTTGTATGTGGTACTGGAGTTTGAATGCAAGTGTGCATTTATGTGTAGTGTTTGTTTTGAATGTAGGAGTGTGCTTGTATGTAGTGTTGACGTTTCAATGCAGGAGTGTGTTTTATATGTAGTGTTGAAGTTTGAATGGAGGGGTGTATTTGTATTTAAAGTTGCGTCTCAGATGCACAGGTACACACTCTGACGCACAAACAGATACACAGATACATACACTGACTACATACAGATAAACAGGCACATACACTGACAGACACACTGACACAGGTACATATATTGACACACACACAGACACATACACTGGTAGACGTACTGACAGACATACTGACACAGGCACATATACAGACATACTGACACACAGACACATATACCGACATACTGACACACACACAGACACATACACTGACAGAAATACTGACACCCACACACTGACAGATATACTGACACCCACATACACTGAGAAATACTGACACACACACACAGGCACATACACTGACACACACAGACAGATATACTGACACACACACAGACATACTGGCACACAGACAGATATACTGACACATGCATACACATGCACTAACAGACATACTGACGCACTGACAGACATACATACTGACACACACAGATATATACACACATATATACTGACACACAGACAGACATACTGACACACACACAGACATACTGACACACACACAGACATGCTGACACACACACATACACTAACACACATTTTTTTTTTAAAATGTAATCCCCCCAGCCTCCTTACCTTTTGGAGTGCTGGGGGGATTCCCTGGGGTCCAGTGGTGCTGCTGGGCTCCTGGGCGGGTGGCCGGTCGGGCAGGAAGGCGGGCGCGCGAGGGAGCACTCACTGCTTCCTCTTCAGCTCCCTCGCGCGCCGCATAGGGATGCCGGCGCCGGAAGATGACGTCATCTTCCGGCTCCGGCATCAGTGCGGTGCGCGAGGGAGCTGAAGAGGAAGCAGTGAGTGCTCCCTCGCGCGCCCGCCTTCCTGCCCGACCGCCGGGGTCAGCGGTGCCCACGGGGCAGGTGCCTCGGGCCCCCCAAGAGAAACTGGGCCCGGGGCAGCTGCCCCGTTTGCCCCGCGTTAAAGACGGCCCTGACCGGACCGCCACCGTGACAGCTGCCAATTATACCTATTTCTGACAATCCCAAGCCATACTCATAAACAATACTATAGGCATGTAGGTTACAGTAGGTAGGGTGTGCATATAACTAACATGAATAGCATTGTGAGCAAGATGGCAGTATACTGCCTGATCTGGTTTCGTCCTCATCAGGGCATAGTATATGAGTCTAGGATAGTTCATGTTGGACTCACTCATGGGCTCACTCAGAGGCGTAACTAGAAACCACGGGGCCCTGGTGCAAAAAAATTGCCCTGGGTCCCCCCCATACATCTACCCCCATCCCATACATCCCTACCCCCCCCACACATGCAGACAGACAAATATACACGCAGGCACACACACAGACACACATACATGTAGACACACACATACACACAGACACACATAATACAGACACACATACACACAGACACATAGATACATACATACAGACACACACACAGAGACACATACATAGAAACACACACACATAAACACAGAGACCCATACATACAGACACACACACATACATACATACACACAGATATGTAGACACACACATACATACAGACATAAACATACATACAGACATACAAACACACACACATACATACAGACACACACATACACACAGAGACACATACATACAGACACACACACAGACACACACACATATATACTGATACAGACATTCTCTATCACACACACACAAAATTTAGTGACTTACCTGAGGTTCAGTGGTTGCCTCATGCTGATGGGAGTCAGAGCTCCCACCCTGACTCGCTCCTCTCCTGAATGGCATTCTGTTGGATGGGAGGAAGTGATGGCTTCCTCCCAGCTATGACATCATCCTGGGGCACGGTCACGCTCTTAAAGCGCCGCAGCGCTTACTGGCCCCCAGGAAACCCATTGCCATCCATGGGCTCCTTCAATGCCTCCCCAGGGGTTTTTCCACGCAGTCGGGGCTGCACCAAAATGCTGGCGGGCACCCTGGAATGACGGGCCCAGTTGCAGCTGTGACCCCTGCGATCATGGTAGTTCTGCAGGTTGGCAGGTCAGACATTCACCCTACTCCCCTGCAAGGGTCTCGCCACTGAATTGAGCATAGTCCACTTTGGTGAGCCATGCGGCGGTGTGGAGGTAGGTTGCCCCTACAGCCCCGCTATTGCTGGCCATTAGCATGGGGTCCATCGAGATCCAGGGTCCTCGCATGTGGGATAATACGGTGGGCTGTGCGTGCTTTTTGCAGGTAGTGTCTTTCGTGCCTTGTGGCCCTCCATAAGTGTGGCTGGTACCTTCGGGTCGAGACCCACTTTGCTCTCAGGTGGGCAATATGTGCAGGTGGTTGAAGCCCTTTTGTGCCCTTGAGGGGTTTCCCAAACCTCCTCTCACCTCTGCCTTGCTTTCTTTGCGGTAGCTCATGAGTGGTCATCGCTGGCTGCATGCGTTCCATCAGTTTGGCCCAGACTTGGTCGAAGATAGCTTTGATACAGTAGCATAGAACTTTTATACAATAGGAAAACTAGACATGTCAATAGTTTGTTTTTATCAATTGACAAAATGCAAAGTGGGGGAACAAGAAAAAAAGTCTAAAATCAATATTTGATAAGGAGTCCTGGCAGTGATTGTATGACCCCTCCCCCTCCCCCCACAAATCCCTGATCTCAACATCATAGTCTGTCTGGCTTCACATAAAGAGACAGTAGCAACTGAGTGAGCCTAAATCCTCAGAAAAAAGGTGGTTAGTTCTCCACAATGTTTGGAACAACCTGCAGAGATCCTTATAAAGCTCTGTATACCTCGAAGAATTGATTCTGTTTTGAATGCAAAGGGTGTCGCACCAAATATTGATTTTATTTTGGTTATTTTTCTGTTCACCCACTTTGCATTTCTTAACTGATAAAAATAAACTATTAACATGTCTATTTTTGAAGCATTCTTCCTTTGCAGCATTTGTTTTAACACCTGCCTAACACTTTTGTACAGTAGTGTATCTGGTAACTTAAGAGTCAGACAGTGAGAAAGACGAGACAGTCTATGTGCAAATAGGGAGAGGCATTCAAATATAAAGGATCAATGGAATGGAATGCCTGGGCATGGGGTTGCTAAAGCATTACGTCCTTTTACAAAGCTATTAAAAATTGTCCCTCTCGTCTAAGTGATTCTCTGTCAAAACAGAAATATCCAGGACAAGCACGGACCAAGTTACCAAGTTTTACTTTATTTCCATTAATACCTATGATCCTCAAGGAATAGGTCTCAATATCCACGCAATAAAGATGATACAATTATTCAGAGACCCTGATTAAAATCTGTGTCTACAGTCTGTTTGAATTGTGTTTTAAGATTTGAAATTCCCATAGTTACTGTCTCTGTTTTAATAAATTTGCAGTGTGTTTAGTCGAGCTCATAGTCTGCTTATGTGATACGGACAATTTAGCAAGTTATGTCATTTCGTGCTCATGTATATAACTAGCAACAGCTTTCTCATTTTCCATCTGTCTACAGCAAAACCAGATACAGCAACAACAAACCCCAAAACATCAGAACGAGAATTCAGAAGGCGCTACAGTGAATTCTGCCCAGCAAATCTCTCCACAGACCCCTCCAAACACACCAGACCCTCGAAGCCCTCCCAACCCTGAAAGCATTGCACCGGGTAAGCAATGAGCCATTCTCATGCAGTCCTATATGTAGTCAATAAAATATGATGCAATATGAACACTGCAAATCCTAAAGAAAATACAGACAAAAAAAATGCCAGAACAAGCACTCCAAATCCAAACATAGTTTAATAGATTTTGGTGCATAAATAGAAAAACACCTCACCTTACGTGTTTCAGACCTACTATGTTTAAGGACCTGTAGATCCAAAGCGCCTTACATGTTTTTCTTCATCTTTCCCCTGTTTGTCTATTTTTGCAATAAACTATTTTTGTATTTGGAATGGTTGTTCTTGCATTTTTTTTTATTTGGCTATATTATTAGTTCACTCCATCCCATCATCACAATGGATTAAAGGGTAGTAGTCATTCATTGCCCCCTGGTCAATCTTGGGTCTTTAAAAAAAAAAAATCCCCCACCTGACATGTATAGGAACTGTCTAGCTTGACTTAAAACTTGGGATTCACCATACTCAGATATGTTTACTTTTCTGCAATTTTTAATATACTTATTTATATTCATGAATAATTTTATTTTGTAACATGCTACTCTCTGCATGCCCACATTAGGTAACTTAACTTTTGGTGCTCACGTAATGCCTTATGTCTACTTTTCCTCCATAAATGATGGGTTTTTACGTCTTGAAAATGAAATGCTGTCAAAGTATTATTTTCTGACAATTCAACTCAGATATATCATGTAGTAAATGTCATTATCGTCTAACTTATCTGTAACAGTAAAATTGCTTATTTAAAAAAAATCTATCTCACCACAGGTTATACAGGCCCTCTCAAGGAAATCCCACCTGAGAAGTTCAATGAAACTGCTGTCCCTAAATACTACATGTCTCCATGGCAAGAAGCAATTGTGGATGATCCAGATCTTCTGGAGAGCTTGTACCCTAAAATGCCCAATCCTGGCGAAATGGCAGAAACTCCTGATTTCAGAAGCTTCAATAGGTAATTGCATTAAAAGCATTTCATTATCCTTATTACACCCACTCTACTACCGTCAAAACTAGCAATTTTAGCATCCTACTTATTTTCAATTAATATCCACTTTAGCAGCATTTATATGTCACTGGACAATACTTGGAAAATGAGGAACATTCAACTTGAAGTAAGAATCAGAGGAGTAAACATGCACTGAAGACAGCTATTTTAGGAGCAAAATGTATCAACAACTTGAAGGCCAGTTGTAGTACGGAAATGCCCAGGGGTAACTTGTCAAATTGTTTTTAAACTCTGTGACAGTGCCAGAGCACTCCTTGCACCATAACAAGTACTTGACCTTTTAAGGGTTAATCAATAAATGTTTTGCTAAGTACCACAACCCTTTTCTTTTGCATACAAGGACCTGCTCTGCGCAGTGGTTTAGCATGAATTACTGCCAGTCCTAGGATACTTACCCTTTCTTTTCAGGGTATAGCTCTACCTTTGGCTGCTTCCAATCATCTGGTCAGAAATGTTGGCTAAGCTCTCTTCTTCCCATGCGTAGACCATTGCTCACTTGATAGGTGCACATAGCCTGGTCCATTCAACAGTGAACTAAGCTACAGTTTACAAAGCAGTTCCGTCTATGATAAGTGAAACTGTTGCTAGGGTGATAAACTACTCATCCCATAAACTACCACTGAACAGGCATTTATGTCACAAAAGTCTCTTCCGGATGTGATCGGGAACACCAAGCAAACTTTAAAGGTATGCATCTTTTTTTCTAATGCATTAAAAATGGTTTTAATCCATAGTTTCCTTTTAAATGTTAATGAATGACATCGACAGAATGAAATCATAAGGCCATCAATACAATAATGCTATAAGATGATATGCTATCTTTTCTACTTTTGTTACATATGAAAATAACTTGTTTCTTTTTTTTTACATCCATAAATTATATTCCAATCATGTTACCATATTTGACTGTTTGGTATTTTATAGCATGACTCAGATTGTATCACTTACAGTTCCTTGTGTTTGCTAGTTACAGAGGTGTAAAACAGTGCTTGCATGCCTGCCAACAAACTAGGTCAGCTGTGCGATAATGATCCAGACCTAGGCTTCTAATTAACCTGAAATAGATCATTACGGCATAGCAGTGGTCTGTCTTATTTAATCTTTCATAAATGGCACAATCATTACGTATATTTTATAAAATAATAAGACCCTGCATTATAACATTGAAGCAATTAGGTAAAATACATATGAAGAGATATACGTTGCATGTAAGGTAGAAGTGGTGACACTAACACACTGACATTCAAGAAATGTCTGGAAAAAAATTGCAGAAAACAATTGATAAACTTTAAACATTCACTTATACTAGACTCGCCATACTGGAGTGAGCAAAGAAATGACTATCACCATATTTATGTTTTTCACACTGTTCTGTAGTCAGAGACGCACAATATTTTTTGGTGACCAAAACCACCATGTTATACTTTCATACTTAATATTATAGGGTAGGCTTTCCCAAGGGTTTTCAGGATAGTGGTGATTTGTTTCCAATTACATTCATATTTCCATGCATTTGTAATCTGTATCCTGGTTATAAATTCAATCTGGTAAATAAAATAAAATTGTGTCACATAAACTCCAAGTGTGCTATTCTTCCACTGCACTTCTGTATACCATATTAGCATTGGTAAAGGCCTCACGTTTCCCCAAGATTGGTCAATGAAGAGTAGTGATTATTTTGAAATAGATTTTAAACTGTTGCAAAACATGAATGATATATATCACACCCAATGTATTCCTCCAAAGTGTCCTATTAGGATATAGGCATAGGCACAATCATACATTATCTTACTCGAGATTATTTAACAAAAGGCTCTTGTGTGCTTACTAGTGTCAAATACTGTTTTCTTGAGATAGCTTGTATTACCTAATGCCAACCTTATTGATTAATATTTAAATGAACACTTCAGCGTTATCAAGTATACCAGGTCCACTTTTCCATCAGTACAAGATAAAATAAAGAGTGGCAAAAAGGGTCTCAGGATGCACCTTGCTCCATTTTTCTCACCTGGCTTGGTGCATGTATCATTATTCACCGCACAATGCTTTCCATAAAGCAATCAGAAAGCACACCCTCCTACCTGTCTGATTGACAGCCAACAGAGTTCAATTTAGGAGACTTATAAAAGTATGATTTCTCTTCAAGACAGTAACTAATTTTGTTTTGGAGTGTTCCTTTAAATCAAAACATATTTTCAGGTACACATTTGACATCAAACATTATGGATCAAAATGTTTTCTATTCAGAGCAAACCTTTTATTCTGAGCATACTTTGCATACTTTAATTGCTTATTTTATTTTGAAATTACAGAGCCGCCACCCCATTTGGGGGATTTGAAAATGCATCCAAGCTGACCAGGTTTAAGGTTCCAGAATATGATCTATTTGCAATGAGTGATCCAACTTTTGACATGCCCAACCCTCTCAGTACAAGAAGGTCTTTTAACAGAACGGCCCAAGGATGGACATCTGATCAAGTTCCTATTATACTGTATTCTGACCTATTCAATCCTGACGTCCCAGAGACTGATGATCTGTGAATCACATACATGTATTTAGAGTAAATATGCCATGGAGAGTAAATGTACCTTCCCCTGTATATTAATGTCATGCCTACACTTGTCACAGCCCTTCATCTGTGTGGGTCTGGGATATGAGTAGGTAAGAGTTAGCTCAACCATTCTTCTGCACTTCAAATATATCATGCCCCTTTCTGAGCTAGCTACCACTTATCCAATCTGACTTTAGGGAATTTTCCAAAAAACCCAGTATGATTAAAATGTTTTGGGGTTTTTTTGTCAAAAAATTAACTCTGCTGGAAATTGTCACTGAAAACCTTTACATAGATAAATATTTAGATAAGCATTTTCGTATTCTGTTTAACATACTTTGCTAAGTAAAGAAACAGAATTTTGGCAAATGGTTGGCAATATTATGTTTACCATATTCAGTTATGGTGACCCAAAAGTAACAGAAAAACTGTCACATTCGTGATTCCCATTAAGGATGCAATGATCTGTCCATTAATGAACAATCTGACACCATAGCCCCTAACCTATGCTATGTTTCAATAGCTGCCTTGAACTGCATACATAAGGTAAGGGAGTCTATTTATTAAGTGAACACAGAGATTAAAGCATACACTGAATTTCTCACTTGCGTGTATCTGCCCAGAATCCCTGGCTGCAGTGTAAGCATGGTATGGTATGTGATTCCATGGAAACGCTGTCTTTTGATATGTAGCTATGCTCAACAACACTCTAGTGATTTGAATATTCTACCTAGGCACACAAAAGCTTATACATTGTTAAACTAATAACACAACAGTTGAAACACAGATTTCTATCTCCACTAATGTAACTGTACTTTAGAACACAGATGATCCTTAAGGGAGGTGTAAATTATACACAATTTATGTACCAATAATAATCCAAATAGTTTGTTATAAATGCTTTCACAACACTTACCTTTCATATCCTGGTGTCAAAGTGTGTCAGGAACCTAAACGTACAGAGCTGAGTATCAACAAAGGGACTAAACATACAGACCTGAGTATCAACAAATAGACTAAATATACAGAACTGAGTATCAACAAATAAATATTCAGTTCTCAGAGTGGCCAGACTAACGGTGCACAGCGTCAGCAAGAATAGCCAACATCAAGGACAGGATACAGAGATCAGAAGAAACGTATTACAAGTCCGTATTAGGTACTAGAAAAATTATACACAAGGGATGAGCTCTCGGGCTACTAGAATCACAACAGGGCAACATGGAGTGGGAGAGCTCTTGGGCTACTAGAATCACAACAGGGCAACATGGAGTAGGCAGTACTTAATTCCTATTTATTCAGACCCGAATTCAGTCCAGCGAATTTGCTGTTTGGATCCAAATTTAGTCGCCCATAAGAACACGTTGTGTGTGAGCGTAAGCATCAAATAGAATGCGGAGGGGAGAAAGGGGGGGTGGAAGGTAAGAGGCTAGCGATCCTGACATCGTGGGTCTGGCCTTCCTAGGACTCTGATGCCTTGTTATAGAACATATTAAACTGTAAAACTGTGAATCTACTCTCAGCACTGTCAATTCTTTCATGTTTATGGCTGATATGATCGCCATTAATTGTCTAGAGTAGTGTTTTCCAAACCAGACCTCAAGGTCCCTCTACCAGTCCGGATTTAGGGGTTACCCAGTTTTGTCTAAGGTGTTTTTAGAGAAAAAAAAAATCACCTTGACACAATTGGGCAATCCCCAAATCCTGGACTGGTAGAGGGATCTTGAGGACTGGTTTGGAAAACACTGGTTTAGAGTAATTGGCAAGGTAACACTGCAGGGATATTTGTTAAGGGCTAGCAATGTGTGTCATGTGGACAATTGTATCCCCTATGTGTATAATTTATCAATATGTGCTTATGTCTACAAATTTACCACTATGTACAGTTACAATATACAACATTATTGTAAAGATGATTTTAGCATTGTAATGATACATTCTCTGTAATTCAAACTGGCATCAGGCAATACATTAGACTGCTTAGCATATTGTATGTAGCTACAATGAGATGTCCAGTGTATAAAATGTGTGATTAATGTTTGTGTGACTCCAATAGAAATAAAACAACTCTGATCTCTTTCTAAGAATATGTAATGTTATGTAACAATGGGTTTTAAACCCTTAATGCAACAAGTCAACACACCTTAAGTGTCATTCAACTACATCAAAAAGCAATCCTAGATACAACAAAAGGGACCTAAATCCTTCCCTACAGGCAAATGATTATGTTTGTTGTGACACTTAGTTTAATACAAACACATCATTACATCATTGTTATGATATAATATTGTTTTGGAAATGGAAAGATATATTGGATAGGAATGCATGTATGATATAATTATATACTCATGTTTTGGAGTGGAATAACATATGCATTTAAATATAGCTTTACATATCTTCAGGATGACTATTACATATATTAAAATGAAGTTCTCAAAAGATTATCTTCTGAACAGAATGTAATAAAGTAATGGCATTCCTGTAAAAGAAAATGTAAAAAAACTCAGTAGTCCGGGATGTTGAAATATGAGATCCCCATCTAGAAGCATGCTAAAACTACCATGAACTATGGAAATATACTTTTTATTTGTCCATGGTAGTTTGGGAATAGTTTGCCATCCAGTTTTAGAATTTTTCTGATAGAAATGTTCCATTATATAAAATTACATATATATATATATAATAATAATAAAGAAATAATAAATAGATAGTATAATGCTGCAGAGTATACACTGATCAACCTCAACTTTAAAACCACAGACAGGTGAAGTAAATAACATTGATTATATAGTTACAATGGCACCTGTCAAGGGGAGGGATATATTAGTCGACAAGTGAACAGTCAGTTCTTGAACTTTGTTGTTGGAAGCATGAAAAGTGGACAAGTGAAAAGATATGAATGACTTTGAAAAGTGCCAAATAGTGATGGCTGGACGACCGGGCCAGAGCATCTCCAAAATGGCAAGTTTGAAGGGGTGTTCCCCATATGCAGTTGTTAGTAACGGTGTCATGGTCATGGGTGCCCAAGACTCATTGATGAACGTGGGGAGCAAATGCCATCCCATCTGCCACACTGCAACATTTGTTCAGGAATGGTTTGAGGAACATGACAAAGAGTTCAAGGTGTTGCCTTGGCCTCCAAATTTCCTAAATCTCAATCCAATTGAGCATCTGTGGCATGTGCTGGAACAACCAATCCGATCCACGGAGGCCCCACCTCGTAACTTGCACTAATTAAATGATCTGCTGTTAATGTCTTGGTGCCAGATACCACAGGGCTGTTTTGGAAATACGAGGGGGACCTACACGATTTTAGGCAGGTGGTTTTATTGTTGTGGCTGATCAGTGTATAGCACTATAAAATAATGGTATAGCAAAAATATACTTGATTGATTATGAATCAGGTGATTTGGAATGCATTCCAGAAAAACTTTAAATCTGGAAGTTAAATATGACAGAACGTACTGTGCAATACAGGTAGTGTCTAATCACAAATCCAGGTGAAGTCAAGCTGAACATTGTTCAATATTTGGCTCTCAGTGAATGCCTTATTCAGTGACCAAAATAGCAAGAATCGTTTCTCAGTATGGCCAGTGAACATACCTTCATATCACATGATCCTAGAATGCAAATAAAGCATGTATGGAAAAGAATAGTTGGGTGTACGTTAAATAACAGAAATTTAAGTAAACTATATATATATTTACAAAAGGAGAGTTTGCAGGGTATAGGTTAAATGGCGTGTATTCATGTGTATGCATGTGTGAATAAATGTATGAGTGCATGTACGCATGTGTAAAAAAAAAGTGTATAATGCATGTCTTTATAATGTATATATGCTTGTAACTGTTTACAGTATAAAATTACCACTAGCTGTGCAAACAGAATCACATTTCTGCATGAGAAAGTGACCTCAGAGCAGAAATAGCTATCCTTGCACCTCAAGTTTAGTAAAATGTAGTCCACAGACATGACCTGGAGTGCCAAGAACAGCCACTCAACTAGGATTATGAATAAGGATGCACTGTACAGTAAAGTTATTATTCATGTGAGATAAAGAAGAGCATTAGGGAAGTAGAAGCCATGGTGTGAATAGGAAATGTGTGTCCTTAGACAAGGTATATTGTGTTTATACATGCAAACACACATGTACTTTTAACAAGACTTAATTTTGTCTTTTACACACTCAGCCAAACACAAAAAATATCCACTAGATTTTATAGATATATACACAGCTACACAACATGACACATACACATTTGGCACACAATCACATTATTTAAGATATCCTGTGTACACACTTAGCATTCAAAACTACTATCCTACTCACCTTCTTATGAAATAATCACAATGATGTTGGAGTGGAGAAGAGATCTGTTTATAAAGTAAATGTTTGCCTTTGGAAGACAAACACACTATAGCTCAGCTACTTGCATGCAATACTTCCAGAATATCTTGGATGTGAATAGGTATATTTATATTCACATGGGATGACTGAAAAGTGTTTTTTTCAAAAATTTAAGAAGTGGGCTGTGTAAAAAACACTAGATCAGCAAACAGTAATTCAATAACTAAAAGCCGTATAAACGGCATTCCAGACATTGTGTTCCCAGGAAACGTGGCATAGTATTCTTTCTAAGAATTTATAGATTCTAGCATAGACTGAAATATGAACATTACACTTCATCTCCAAGGTATCCAAAAAGAAATGGGAAAGCAGAGACGGAAGTAAAACAAACAAAGCGACTTATGAAAAAGGCAAACCCAACTTATATATTGTATATACTCTAACTATATCTTAACTGTGAATCGTCTTCACAGAGTGCTAAAAAATGCACTGTGTGCCTCTTATAAGGAGAATATAGGTATATATTTGTTCAAAAGAAAAGATGATTTAATTTCAAGACACTGAGGCTCATATTGTGCGTTAACCCTTTCTTTGCGCCCTAATCTAAAACGTTTGATTTATCTGAACCTAGAGGGCAATCCCCAAATGGTGCAGTTCTTGGCAAAGTTGTATAGGAATCCTCAGTAGGGTTTGGAATAATCAGAGGTTCATTGTGCCTGCCAGCAATGGGCTTTGCTCGCAGTTTGCACCTTCAGCATGTTGAAGTATTTGGATTGTTACAATTTCAAAAAAAAATTTGGTCTTGTTTCGGGCTGTTTGCATTGTCGCAAAGAAAAAGGACGTGCTCTCTGTGAGAGACACTTTGTCCTGGTGGGGTATCTGAGATCATGCGTCATTAAATATAGGTTGTTCTTTACAAAACAAAGAAAGAGTTAAAACACAATATGAGCCTCTGTGTCATTCATAAAATCATGACTTTAAATGAAATAGCAAAATCACGTAATCAGATCCAGATTTCAATCTCGGGAGGGACACCTCTCAATTATTTTGTCTCATCAGATAAATAAAAAGTTTTAGAGAGGAGACAATGTTTTGTTTATAGCATAGTGCAGTGTTAAATTTATGGCAGCATCATTTTAGTGTTACAGTTTATGGGTTCTTTCATTAGATATGGGCATGATCCTGTTAAACATACACACCTGTATTACTACAATTAGTATGAAGGTATCTTACCATTGGTGATATCGGTGCAGAAGCTGTGTACATCACAGCTGCCTGTTGCTACTGTCCACATGATTTTCTCCATTCCAGTTCTAGAGCATGCTCCACTCACTAGGAGAGTACTGCATGAACAACAGTGACAGGCAGTCGCAATGCATATCACCTGTTACTGCTTCTATACCTATATCCAGGGACGTTTTAGCCGCGAGGCAAACAAGGCATTTGCCTTGGGTGGCATTTTCCAGGGGGCGACAAAAAAAGCCGCCCCCAAATGCGGCCCCCTTGCGGCTAACAGACATGCCGGTTGGGCTGATGGGCTGGCTGATGGGCGGTTGGGTGCGCTGGCGGGCGGCTGACGAGGGAGCACTTAATCTGAGCTGTCTGCTCAGCTCCCTCACACGCCGCAGAGTGAGGCTGGGAGCCGGACTATGACGTCATATTCCGGCTCCTGGCATCACTCTGCGGCGCGCAAGGGAGCTGAGCAGAGTGCTCAGGGGAAGTGCTCCCTCACCAAACGCCTGTCAGCGCCGCCCACCCAGCAGCCCCACTGGACATTCCCAAAGGTAAGGAGGCTGGAGGGGGGTAAATAAAAAAAAATGTGTTAATGTGAGTGAGTGTGTGTGTATGTCTGTTAGTGTGTGTCTGTTAGTGTGTGTGTGTCTGTTAGTGTGTGTAAGTGTGTGTGTTAGTGTGTGTCTGTTAGTGAGTGTGAGTGTGTCTGTTAGTGTGTGTGTGTGTGTGTGTGTCTGTTAGTGAGTGTGTGTCTGTTAGTGAGTGTGTGTCTGTTAGTGTGTGTGTCTGTTAGTGTGTGTGTGGCTGTGTGTGTGTGTGTCTGTTAGTGTGAGTGTGTGTGTGTGTCTGCTAGTGAGTGAGAGTGTGTGTTAGTGTGTGTCTGTGTGTGTTTGTGTGTGTCTGTTAGTGAATGTGAGGGTGTTTCTGTTAGCTAGTGTATGAGTATCTGTCAGTGAATGTGTGTGTGTGTGTGTGTGTATTTAGCAGGCGGGGCGGGGGGAAGGGTTGGGTGGAATTGGCGTGGGGGAGAGGGGGGTGCCTGAGTTTTGTCCTGTCTAGGGCAGCACAAAACCAAGATACACCACTGCCTATATCACCAATGGAGTGAATATTGCATTGCAAGAAAGGCTTTTAGTGGGGGCAACACCACATTGCACAAGCTGGTCTCATAAATAGTTTTTAAATTCTTCACTAAATATAAAACAAAAAGACAAAGCTGAGAGGTCAGGGAGTTTGGGGCAGAAAACCTGCCTTGGTGCTTCCCTGCTCCATCCATCCTTGTTCAGCCATCTACAAACACTTTTTGTCATTAAAATCTTGACAAGTGTCATCATGCAATTTTGTCAGCATCATCACATAGTATAGGTAGATGGGAACACTCTAAAAGAATAGTGTGTAAAATTCAGGAGCTGGCTTGTGATAATGCCTCAAATATAGTCATGTCTCTGATGAAGTAGGGCATTCTCCTACGAAACGCGTAAGACAGATTCATCCAGCAGGATACCGAGTCCGACAGCGTTTACCAGCAGAGTTCATTCTTCCATGCAGGACCTTTGGCAGCACCTGGGAACCGAGATTGTCTGCTGTGCAACCCGAAGTGAGATTTTTGCCGGGACGTACACCCAGACTCACGCCGTCCTCACCGGCAGCCAGAATACAGGCTCCTAACCTGTCAATACAATCCAGGTCCATCTTTACCCCATCCGAAGGTCCTTGCTCACTTTTAACTTGCATAAGACTGGTAATGCCTTTATGAACTATTTCTGATCTGTATTTTTGCACTTTTAATAATTTTTACCATTTTTTACTATTTTGTTCAATAAACTGTTTTTTTAATACATAGATCCAGTTTCAGTATTGCTTCAGTCCATAGTGATACATTGTTGGTGTTGCAAGAGCAAACAGTTCCACATACTGTGTTGCTAAATTACATAGATAGATTTACCTTTGATGTTACAAAGTATATTATTTGGAGCAGACATCATCTACCCTATACTGCATTAGGGATAGAGATACCTGCTCTGCACGTATATATTGGCTGCACACCGATCCATTTATTCTATTTCTAACATTCCATTTTTATTCTTTTATCTGATTTTATTATATTCTATTTTATCCCACTTTTATTTATTATTTTTATGTACCTACCCCCCTTTTTCCTACTCCTTATCTTTTACTACTCTTATTTCTTTCTTTTATACTTCTATTTTCTGATTTTATTCATTTTTTTTCTCTCATCCACTTTTTATCACCAATCCCTTATTGCATTTAAAGACACAGTACCTAGTTTTTATTTCAACTGATTTTTCTATCTTATTGTAATTTATCTCATGCGATTTCCCACTTACTTTATTTTAGCCATTATCACAAGCCAGCTCCTGGATTTTACACACTATTCTTTTAGAGTGTTCCCATCTACCTTTTCCTATTGAGGTTTTTTCCCTATTATTTCCAGTTGTAGCAACTTAGTGTCAGTCAGACTCCCTCCCCCCTGTGTGTTACATTAGGTATACCAGTACGTGTTTTCTCTCATCACATAGTATGTTACATATGCTATACAATGAGGTTTACTCACTGAACCATGAGCTCAGGAGCAATGAGTTAAAGATTTTACGAAAGGATAGGCAGCAATTACACCTATTTTTCATCTCTGCTATTTTGGCTTTAAATGTGCTATTATCTGGTCAAATGTTCATGTTGACGTTATTCACCAAACTGTGAGATGATAATTTCCCCATGTTGGACATTTTTCCATCTTGGTAATTTTAGCTT